GACTAGTTAAAATTCAGCTGGGGCGTACATAAGCTTTTTGGACAAGCTGCATGCATAAGCTTTTTCGACAAGCTGCATTCACCTGTCACAGGCGACCGATTTGGGATAGAAAACACCGAATAGGTAGATGAAACTCGCTTCTTTTAAGGTTCTTTGCGGGGAGATTTCCTGTACAGCGAACCCAATTCTGTCATATCCTGGCTTATTCAGGGGATTTAAGGCTATCTTCTTTAATTGTCTTGGTATAAATCTATACATGCACTCTCTGATTAGTAAATGATCATTATGGCTGTTATTGAGTACACCTTTTGACACACTCTCTTCGGTTATTATAAAGCATACCTTCGAAGTGATCAATGAGATGAATATATGCCAGTCACAGATATGCATTGTCAAATATAACTTCGAGGCACTGCCAAACTGTTGAACTTATTTTCCTAGCCCGCAAGATATGTTGTCCTGATTTCTCCCTTTTGTCTAAAGTCCTTAGGTATCTAAGAACAATCGCCTACCTGCGTCTCGTTTACGCAGGTGCGTGGCTAGTTTGTGCGCCTCGAAATGCACTCCTATTGAGGAACCGATTATGCAACCGTGGAATGAGTAACAGGCTTAGTACCTCGTGTATTACCGAATAGTCCAAACAGTGAAACTGCCCCATATTCCAAGCTCCGATATTGTATCATCGTGATGACTTATTTTTGTTGGGGCGGTTTCTTGTACGATTACTAAAGATTTCCACCAAGATTAGACGGCAGCTTATGGCCCGTCGTGGATGCGCTCACAGGCTCGAAAAATTAGGAATACACAGGTTCTCTATTCAAATTTTATATGATTCTTGGATAATGATTTTTCGGGTGGGGGGTTGGATAACCGTTAGTAACCCCTATAGCTATTTAGCCGACGAAAGTGTAAGAGCTAAGATACAAGCTTTCTACATGGGCCATGCTGCACGAATCTATGGAAAAAAGCTTCCTTTCGGTACAGAATTCGACCTTTTTGCACTAATTAGAAATCCCATAACGACCCACAGGCCTGGTTACCCAAAACAATGTTGACATACCTGGTGCTACGTGGGTTCTGGACCCTTGCCTGCATACCCTACACGGCGCGAATTTGTCGAAATAAAGCCGCCCCATCTAGCTAAGTAAACTGGTATGTATAGCCTCCACGAGGGTGAAATTCATCATTTTCAAAACTTACCATGTTTATAAGTTGTAATGGTCTATTTTGTGTTCATATCATTCACATTGGTATATGCCCCCTGGAGTACCAAGTCAAGTAGCCATGACAGTCGTAGATGTTTGCTGAATTCCAACCCAGGGTCATTTAATTTTAAGTGAGGGGAGGAAACCCCCAACTTTGTTCAGTTTTAAGCGAATCGGGATATATGCGCCTGTCCTTAAAGGTCATGTAGCATTTCAGGTCAGCTCTTTCGGAACGTCTGTTTATTCCCTGGAATGTATAGCTTATTGTTTCATGGTTTTAAGCGTCAACGAACTCATTACGTAAATACGTGCATTGGCTTCCAGAGCTTCTCTTTGTTTCTGCGGGCTGGTTATGAGGCAAGCTGTAAGAAAGCTCGTTTCATTTTCCATTCTTCGTCTTTATAAAAACGACTGATATTCTATTTGAGGTCATTCAGCTTGGCCATTATCCTCTTTTGGAGCAGTCACTGGTTTATTTTCCGCCTTACCTTGGACCAGAAGAAATGCGTGCTATAAACCCCATCTAGCTTTGAGTTACTTCCGGGAGTGTGTGCATTGACGGTTTTTTTGTGAGGTATCATATGGCATCCAATTTTTCCACCGCTGACTTTTTTTCTTTCTACACCAGTGCATCTATTTCAGCTTTTTGCCTGTTGGCATTGGTTTTACTTTTCTTTAGGGTTATACAGCATCTAGACCCATTCTTGGGTTACATATTGATGGTTATTTGACCTGAAATCATATCCCTCCAATTTTCAGGCAGAATCTCACGCATTTACTAGTAAAATTAAACCTGGGCATGGTATATTCTCGTCTCACGCCCCCACACACACTTCGGCATTCCCAGCTTTTATTCCATGTCTACGGGCTTTGAGTGTGGTACATCTAGTAGATATTATTGGCTATGAGAGAATATTGAGGGTTATCCAATACATTAGATAGATTGAGGGACCGAGAAGATTCTTATATACCGTAAAAACAACCGTATTACGCCACTTCGGATAAGGGAAAGGGGTCCGGCGAACCGATGGAACGTCTACAGCACATGACGTAACACCCCTTTAACATATTACGCTTAGCTTAGGCAATAAGTAAACGGTTTATTTCTAGTGAATTATGGTCATTGTCTCCGATGACGTTATTTTCAAAAAAAATTGGCCCGGACATTACGTCAATTTGCTATAGCTTTAGCCATTCCCTGTCTCGGCTATTGTACAGCTGCCGGCCTACTTACCATTGCAATATTTTGTATCAGTGCTCACAATCGACGTTTGCTTTTCCTAGCCCTAACTCCTTCCTTTAACCAGGGCCTGAATTCGAATGTCCCTTTAGCGAGTTAATGGGCGGAGGATATGGTATTTGGCGTCAGCGAACCAAACGTCTTGTTTTAAATCTGTTTTGGACACATGTGAAAGAGGAAAGTATCAGAGAGCAACCATAAGATATTCGTATGCTGGCCCCTATATATGTAGCCTCTCTTTCCCGCTGAGCTATATGTCTACGTAATCTTTATCTTATTCTATTATATTAGTATGGCGGTGGTTAAATATAACCGTCTCCTAACCGTTATGTCTGTGTCAATAAGACACCTTCAATTATCGCGGTATAACTATTGAACATTCAAAATTCCTGAAAAGGTTATTAAGCCGCCACGGCCAAAAATCTTTAAAAGGCGTGACTCCAATTTGGGTTATAGTTACCATTCTTAACGTGTGCTGGGTATTGAAAACATGTTTAAAGTACTCCTAAAGCTAAGTGTGAACGGGCGCAACAGGGGACTGCTAGATAAGGACTGTATCTTTCTAACATCCAATAAGCAACCTTGCATATATTCCGCGTAATTCTGATCGCATGTCAAATCCTAGTCGCATGTCAAATCCTAATCGCACGTCAGATCCTAATCGCACGTCTATCTTTGGTTTTGAAAATACAGTTTTTGCATTACACTTTAGATGAGCGCCAGTGTCCTATGGCAACGTTTTAACTGTATTAGCCACGGGAGGATTCGGCTCTCGAACAAGGATCTCGCGATTCCCATGTGCAAAAAGAGAAAAACCTAATCTCATGGCAGATACCTATAGCTGTGCACGAACGGCCCGGCGGCCCTCGTTCAGCTCCCTGGCTAGGCCACACGGAATCACGCCATTTCTTTTTTTGAATCTTTTTTTCGCATCTTCAAACCTTATTCAACTCCCTGTTCGTTTCTTTTTTCTCGTTCGTGTATAAAAAGTAAACTGTTGTACAAACCCATTTTTCGGAATCTTTTTGCAAGGGTCTTTTGTTCTTTTCATAAGCTTACATCAACAATGGCATCCGTTCAAGTGTCTTCCAGCGGCAGCGCCGTTTTGGATAACGAATCCTCCACCTTAAAGACCACCAGAGTTGGTAACGTCTCCTCTTTGACCACCGACTCTAAAGAGGTTATAACCACTACTGACTTAAACGGTAACCGGTTTGAAGTCCCTAACTACAGTATGGGAGACATTTTGTCTGCTATTCCAAAGCACTGTTACGACCGTAACTTGCTCTACTCCTTGCATTTTGTGGCCAGAGACATTGCCGCCATGGTCGCGTTGGGGTACTTGGCCTATAACTTTATCCCAATGGTGCCTAACTACTACGCCAGAGGTGTTCTTTGGTCTCTCTATTCCTACGCCACCGGTTTGTTCAGTTTTGGTTTGTGGATCTTGGCCCATGAGTGTGGCCACTCCGCCTTCTCTGACTACCCAGTTGTCAACAACTTTGTCGGTTGGGTGTTGCACTCTTACTGCGGTGTCCCGTACTTTTCTTGGAAGTATTCTCATGCCAAGCACCACAAGGCTACTGGCCATTTGACTAGAGACATGGTGTTTGTTCCATACACCGCCGAGGAGTTCAAGGAATCGAAGGGCATCTCCAAGTGGGCTGAAGCTGTTGAGGATACTCCAATCTACACCATGGGTATGTTGCTTTTCCAGCAGATCGGTGGTATGCAGCTTTACTTGTCCACCAACGCCAGTGGTCAACCGATCAACTTGCCATGGTGGAAAAAGTCTCACTTCCACCCGACCTCCCCGATCTTTGAAGCCAAGGACTACTGGTATGTCATTCTCTCTGATATTGGTCTCTTGCTCGTTGTTGCCATGGCTTACTGGTGGTACAAGACCTACGGTCTCTTCTGCATGGTGACCTCCTACTTCATCCCATACTTGTACGTGAACCACTGGTTGGTCTTTATCACCTTCTTGCAGCACACCGACGCCTCCATGCCTCACTACACTGCTGAGCAATGGACTTTTGCCCGTGGTGCTGCTGCTACCATTGACAGAAACTTTGGTTTCGTCGGTCAGCACATCTTCCACGACATTGCCGAAACCCACGTGTTGCACCACTATGTTTCTCGTATTCCATTCTACCGTGCCAGAGAAGCCACTGCCGCGATCCAGAAAGTCATGGGCCAGCACTACAGGTACGAGGGTGAAAACATGTGGAAGAGTTTGTGGAAATGTGCCCGTACCTGTCAGTTCGTTGAAGACACCCCAGACAACAAGGGTGTTTTAATGTTTAGAAACGTCAACGGTGTTGGGGTGAAGCCAAGAGATTAGGCGTGTTGCTACGCAGCATCGCACCCACATTGATGTTGTTCCTCGCAACGCCTTTTTATTTATCATTCTTTTCTCTTTTAGGTATTGTTCATCTAGATTTATGAAAGAAACCTTATAGTTGTATATAGAAACACGCGTCACATCTGTCGCCTCAACGTCGTAGAGGCCCCTTCCCAATGTCAGCACAAAATATTCTCTATATGATGGATTGGCAAAAAGCTTGAACCCGACGCGGGGGTCGAACCCGCAACCTTGTGATCGCGTACTGCTAAGAGTCACACGCTCTACCGATTGAGCTAGCCAGGCTTCAAGACTTTTGTGGGAGAATGAGTATAAGTTCACGTACCTGGTGATTTTAGAGAGATTGGGATAAGGGTTAGTCCACTAGTAGATGTACCCACACAAGGTGTTGCAAATCGAGGAGATTGCCTGCTTGCGAAGTTAGTTCTTTTTTATAAGTATATTACTATTTTATATAGTTTTTGTTTTAGCCAGAAAGTGGCCTTTATTTTGGAGACTCTAAGCGTACAATTGGAATCTCTCAGCATATCATTGGAATCTCTCAGCATATCATTAGAATCTCTCAGTATATCATTGGAATCTCTCAGTTGACAGTCACTAGTAAAGCACGGAAACTGTTATAGAATATTGATCCGGATGACACGTTAGGAAAGTCGGGAAGATTCCAGCAGAATGTTGACATTGTTATGTTTTTTGGGTTCCGTACATGACTAATGGCTATCTTTTAAGTTGGAAAACTCAGCCAGTTTTAAGCCTCTTGAAGACTACTTTAGCAGTTTTATTTGATGCATGTATTCTCCTTCAATATCGATTATAAATAATCAAAATCAAAAGGACTAGATTCAATTGAGTATAATTGTCTAGTTATTAACTGTATATGCATATTTAGCTTAAAGATTAAAATCTGAATTGTAATATATATATATATATATATATATGGCTCAATCCATATAGCTACATATACTATAGATTTTAACATGTATGGATAGTAACAATACGCTTATAGTGTATTATACGTATCCGCATACTCAATATTTTCCGAAAACTCCCTTTATCGGTTAAAGAGGTAATATCATCCAGATATTATGAGCTAGTATACCTAGAGGCATATAGCAACGGCCGTGTGGTCTAGTGGTATGATACTCGCTTTGGGTGTGAGTGGCCCAGGGTTCAATTCCCTGCTCGGCCCGTTTCTTTTTCTTACGCTTATTAATCGAGATTCGTGTTCGGCGAGAAACGATATATATTTCCGGACTTTATGAATGTTGAGGCTCACGTGCACAATCCTTCACGTGACGGAAACGGTGCCCCCCCCCGTTCTACAGAATTCTCTAGCAACTGCCGTGACTATCGATACGATACGGCAAAATCGAGGTGGAAAGTTTTCTTGCGGGCATACGGTCCTGGTACGCGCGAGGACTCAACTATATTTGATAGGATTCATTAGCTGACCATCTTTATATATTCCATCAGCAAGAGGAATAATATTGCCACCAGGCCGTTTGCTCAACAAATCTAAGCCCCCAGACAACTAGCGCCATGGCATCCTACACCAAAGACCAGGAGATCTTAATCCAGAAGATCCTATCCTACAAATCCCTGGAATACTACAGGATTTTGGCGATCGAAAGATCCGCCACTGAAGGTGAGATCAAAAAGTCGTACCGTAAGCTTGCCATCAAGTTGCATCCAGATAAGAACAACCATCCTCGAGCCGCCGAGGCTTTCAAATTCACAGCCAAAGCGTACGAGGTTCTCAGTGACCCTGATAAGAAACGTATATATGACCAGACCGGCCTGGATCCAGATAGTCGAGGCGGCGGTGGCGACGACTTCGCGCAGCACTTCAGACAGCGCGGCGGGGCTGGCCGGCAAACTCAGTTCGGCGGAGGGTTTCAGGACGCTGGGTTCAACGAAGATATCTTTAATTTATTCTTCGGTGGTCAGGGCGGGGCCCAGACGTTCTCATTTGGTAACGGTGGCGGCTTCCAGTTCGGCGGTGGTTCACCGTTCGGCCAGGCTGGCGCCTCGCCGTTTGGCTTCCAGCAGCAGCAGCGTCGTAGACAGCCGCAGCAGCCACAGCGCCCGCAAGAGTTGTCTGACACACTTAAACAGCTCCTTCCGTTGCTCTTGTTTATTCTCGTTCCGTTGCTTTCTAACTTGTTTTCAGGTGGCGACTCTACCCTGAAATTACCTGCATTCTCCTTCTCCCCCACTGCCCAGCTCAACATGGAGCTGCTCACCCCGACGTACAAGGTACCATTTTACGTGGGCAAGTCCACGATGGACGCCTATGCCGACAACGCCAAGTTGCGCCGCCAGTTCAGCAACAAGGTGGAGGCGGCCTACATTCAGGGTGTTAGAAGCCAGTGTCGCATGGAGAGATTGCGCAAGGAGGATATGGTTGATCAGGCACATGCTGGCTGGTTTTTTGTGGACCAAGAAAAGTTGGATAAGGCGAATGCCATGGTGATGCCGAGCTGCATGAAGTTGGAACAGATGGGGTTGTTGTAACAAACATTTGCTTTTCCAAGCCTGTATTTAACCGTCATTAGCACTCTACCATAGTATCGAACTGGGAGGTAAATTCCTGTAGTGGGCCCAATGTCCGTGAGGCACAAGCTAATGCGATTTTCTGCACTTTAGACGCACATCCCGACGAATGTTTCACCTCGACAGATGGTTTCGTAAACAATCTATAACCCTGAAATTAGCGATTTAATTCTATCTCTTCAATTTCCGCACCTTAACCATGGATAATCTCACTCAGACTTCAAGCAGCCCTGCCCCTGACTTTCAGGAAAGAATAAACGAGATCAGGTTGCAGCGAGTGTTGAACTTGAACCAGAGGCTCAGAGCGGATTTGAAAAGGGAGCGAATTACGGCATCCAATGCCTGCTTACTGTATGTATACCCTTCTGCCCTGAATGATCACTAACAAAATTAGCATTATCGATTTCACCAGAACAAAGCCAGATTATCTCGTACCTGAAGTTTGGGGCCAGCTACCACCAAGCCAAAATAACTTTCATCAGGCATTATTGGCCCAGCGAGGCAAGAGCCGACGCGAGGATTTGGGAGCTGGGTGCTGTGTAATAGTTTAACGCTTGTGGTTTCGGTCTCCAACCCCCTATTTCCATAACTGCTTAATAAACTTAAGCCATTTATGATTGATATTTGAGAGTAGATTGGCCTATGCTGTTTTACATCCCTTCACTCCTATACACGTATCCTTTCTCGGAGCTTTCAGTGGCTCTTCACACTATTCATTAAAGTTGGTCCACCAGCCCTTACCTAGTTCGTATCATCGTATATACATGCTAACCAAGTTGCTTATCCTCTACACTAATCTCTATATCCCTCAAGTGATTCTTGGTTTCCGAGTCCAGCCCTTGTTTCACGATCTTCTTGGCTGCCGTTGCCGCCTCGTCGGCTTCATCAGCACCGCAGCCACAGTCATAGTCCTCTAGGATGTTTGCGCAGTCATACATCTCCTTTTCCAACCGCTTATTGACCTTGTTGTGCAAATCGCAGCCCCATACCGATGCCGTGTTACGGTTCGTGAGCTGTGGCGGGTATTGCGTGATCAACTTGTTGAAGTGTCTCGCACAGTCGCCGCACGGGTAGACTTGAGCAAACAAAAGCAAGTAGTCATGGGTGATTTGTCTCTGGCTGGCAGATGGTTCCATCGGATAGCGCGCCAAAATTGTGTGGAAAAGTTTCCAGGAGGCGCGCCCGAGTTCAGCCTTAAGGGTGGCGTTTTCCATCTTTGGCATAAACGGCTCATCCGATAGTATGCTCACCGACGAGGACAAGTCCTGGGACTCGACTTCCCCGCCTAAGGAATCCTTCGCAAGCACCACGGATTCCTTGCGGGTCTGACTGGTTAATGGGTGCTCGTCGGGGGAGTCCAAATTCGAGGATTGGGTGAAGATGTAGACGATGAGTAGCATGGCTAGCAACGCCATCAAGGACGTTTGAGTCTTTCTGAGGGGCTTGATCATCGAGTGTGGTTTAGTTTATGTTTCCGAAATGAGCTGGGTTATAACTGTAAGGTGATAAATAAGGTGGTCTGGGAGGTTGCTGTGTGCCGTACCATGGAGACGCGTCTCCGAATGGCACATGTGGCCTGAGGGTGGAAATAGATACCAGGGCACATGCATGTGCTTGTTTCACGATTTTGGGATAGGATGACTAAATGTTTCCAGATATTCTGCAATATAAAAATAGCATTATAAACTGTCACTTCAAGACTGGTGGGAATTTTGAAGATTGATCTTGCAGATTGGTCTTGCAGATTTTTTCAACAGTTTTGCATGAACTACTTGCTATATTCTCCCCCAATTGTCCGAAATTGCCGCAAAGTTTGTCCAGAAGTCAGCACTGACTATAAGACATAATCTCTATAGGCATTTAGGTAAATACAATAATATAATGGCTGTCGATAGATACGGGACAAGCTCATTGAGGATTCTATAATGTAAAAGCCCAGCACCACTCCGTAACCTACGCCAATTGAGGGGCTGAGACGAGTCTCAACGTATCTATCACCAATTTTTATACCATGCTAGAGTTTTTTCCGGGCCATTCTACATTTAGCTACAAAATCATCAACATTAATCCTTACCTACCAATCCAAAACAGCAGCGGCGCATCAGAAGATGTTATCTCCATACTTTACATAATTTCCCGGGACAGTGCCGCACTGGCTGGTACGCAAGTTTTGTACCCCAAACCAGTTATCAGACATCATCTCGTAAACAAGCAAGCGGTCACCGCGCTCCATGCTCACGTCGATCTCCTCATCACCAGCCTGAAACGGATACTTTGCAATGGCTTTGGTCACCACCTTGGCGCCGTTCAGACAGTACTCAGGGGTAGGCGCGGCAGGCGCGATAAAAGAGTTCAAATTCAGGAACGACTTTCTCGTTCGGGATTTTGTTCTCACAGGGGATTCAAACGGTGCTGGGAGGTCGTTATACGTGCTATGTGGTCGGGCATGGTCAGTTTTTGAATAAGTGGGTCTGACCTGGCCAGCCTCTGAGTAGGCGGGTCTCGCCTCGTGTGCATACATGTGTGCGGGGCGCGCCCGGTCCAAGCATGGTGTGACGGGCGCGGATTTTGATGCCTCAGCCGCTCTGACGGACTTCCGGAACTGATTCATATCGCCGTTACCGCCATGGTTCAAACTATCCAATGCCTTGGACAACGGGTCAAAGTTCATAGAAAAGTCCTTCACCAACGGAACAGGCTTCGAGGGTGGTGCGAGTACCGGCACCGGCTTGGCGTGCATCTGTGCGTACTCCGGTTCGCGCGACGCACGCGAGCGCCGGCGGTCGGGTGAGGACCATGTTTTGTTGGAAGAGGCTGATGCGGCGGTGTACGCGGAGGCTTCCGAGCCAGACTGGGACTTGGCTCTTTCAAACAAGGTAGAAGCAGAATAATGAGAACGGCGGTTTTCGTCAGACATGTTGGATCTACGGTGATCATCCGAGACGTTAGACCCCGCAGGGCCAAAGAAGGCCCGTTCTTCTGGTGGCGCGAGCCTGGACGGGGATTCCTTGCTTTGGGCAAAAATCGGCTGCATTCCCGAGTCGCCAAAGAGTTGCGTCGCTGCAACACTCTTTGGCCTTTCTTCGTACGTAGAAGGGGTGCTTTCCTTGCTTTGTCCCCCAAAACTGGCCCAGATAAAGTTACGCGGCGTTTCGGTCTGGCCCCTTTCGTAATCTATAAACAGCGCGGGGTCAAAGATCTGATTACCCGTGTGATTGCGTTCAACAAACGAGTACACGTCGCCCTTGGCATCCACCTTTTCCAAAACCGTCCGAACCTCTTCTGCAGAGTCCGCGTCGTTCACACAGCTGGTTGAAATGGCGTTGGTGTACTCCCAGACGTTTTTACGCACCTCGTTGATGCGCTCACCCTCCAAGCTTTCCAACCGACGCGCGGCCAACTTCCAGTTCAACACGTACTGGTCATGGAGCTGCGCCGCCTGGGTGACTGCGAGATGGTACTTCTGCCCGAGGGTGGTCATGGCCTCATGGGTACGCCCGATTTTCACGTGGATTTTCTCCAACTCGCGCCCCAATGCTAATTGTGTCTCTGCGCGCAACGCCTTGTACTTGGCACACTCGTGTGCGTACGCCGCGCGCAACTTTTCGACGCTAGCGTCCGCGTGGTCCATTTCCTCCTTCAGCAACCGCACATTGCGTTCGATTGCGCGCTTCTGTTCGGAAAAGTGGTCGGCAAACCGTCTTAACGGCTCGTACACAGCTTGGCCGATGTGGCTTGCCTGCTGGTTGTGGTACTCGGACATTTTGCGCGTCTCGTGAAGAAGCGCGTTGACTGACTGCTTCAAAGTGCCGGACTCGCACGAGCCCACCATCTGTTTGGAAAGGGCCTCGAGCTTGCGCGCGTACTCCTGTTCGAGCTGGATCTTGTGTTTACAGAATTGCACGAGCTCGTCGACAGAGGTGGCCCCGTTGGCCATGTGTGTCTGAACAACGTCGAAGCCAGTGTTCTCCTGGCCCCAAAAGTTGTTGACAAAGGTACCGTCAAATACCGGTTGGGACATTATGGAATCTGTGTATGGGATATCGCGTAAAGAATACTGTAAGTGTGAAGAAAGATGTTTGAATATTGAGGATTAAGAGTCAGTGCTCTTTTCTTGGGCTTCGCTGCACCTCATCTAGCTGTCTTGATCAGGGTGTTTATGTTTATCCGAAACAGGATTTTTTGGGCATGCACAACTGAGACAAATGGCGCACGAGCCGCAGAGGGTATTCAGTATTGGTTTTCTGCAGTGCATAATTGAAGTATGGTCTGAAGGAGATTATAAATATCAACCCAGTACATCAAGAATAAAGATGAGATATGATGAAAAGGTTTGGAGGAAGCAATAGGGATGTCACTAAACACGCACAATAATGGGTGTTGCTGCAGTATATAAGTGCCTTAATACCCGAATTGCAGAATAGGGTCATACGGCCCAAACTGAGTGTAAAATTATAGAAAACACCAAGCTGGAATTGCTATATCCTTGACCTCAAAAAAATACATTACAGGTTGTTCATGGATCAAGTGTCTACAGACGTGTGGTGCCCGAGGAACCTTACAGCCAAATTGTAGCAGGAGCTTTCCTCTATTAATACAGGTGATATATTGGAAATCTCCACGTAATTATAATTGTTCCCAAAGAATACCCATATAATTAGACAGATACAAAATAATCTGAAGCTAGAATCACCCAGAAATAAACGGATATTGGGATATAACCCCACCGCGGCTCTCCAAGGTGAAGTGACAAGCACAAAAGACGGGTGATATATAATAAAACTAACAATCACGATGAATAGCAACATCGTGTTAAAGGCTTCTTCCTACGCTCCCCCAAAACTTCATAAACGGAAAACCTTACAAACTACTCGATATCCAAGTCAACCAACTGAGGCTCGCTCTTCTTCAACTCCGCAACAACCTTGTCGATCTTCTTGGTGGCCCATGGGAACCTTGGATTGATCAAGAACGGCCGCAAGTCGAAGCGGTTGTCATCCGGCGAGTACGCCTCGGCGTGGTACGACGGGGTCAACACGGTCTGCTTGTGGCGGTTGATAGCGTAGAAGAAGTAGAAGCGCTTGACTTTCTCGGCAATCTCCTCGGCGCTCAAGCGGTCACCCCATGTGTGGTACAACTTTATGAACATGGAGTACGGCCCGCACTTGTCAACTTTGCGGAGGCGCCCAAAGATAGACAACTCGTCGTAGCTCATACCCATGTCAACCTCGTCACTCTGCACGTAGTCCTTCGTGATCGGCTCTAACTCTGCGGTCGGCGTCGCGGTCAAAAAGTCGTGCAAAATCGGCATCTCAAACTCCGTCTCCGCGTACGCGATGAAGCGCTTCAAATCGGTCTTGGATATTCCGCCAATCGGGTTGATGTCTGCAGACGAGCAGTCGTACTTTGTCAAGTACCCGCGGAGACACTCGTCTACGTTAGCCGAGCCCAAAACCAACAACCCGCCGTATTCGCGGCCACGTACCCATGGCAACAACTGCGCAAAGAGGTACGCCAATACCATGCGCAAGCGCGCCTGGATGTTCTGCAACGCCAAGTTCTCGGTTTGGGAGCCACCAAAGATCTTGAAGATCGGGCGCTTGCCGGTGGCAACCTCAAACAAGCTCACCACGGCCGAAACAAGGGTGTCCATGTTGAAATCAACGTGGTAGGAACCAATCACGGCAGCAAGCTCCTTTGCGCGACTTCTGGTCTCGGTCGACGAGTTCTCCGTGCCCATGAAACAGGTGTGGAAGATCCTGCTAGCAAAATCCTGGGGATCGGTCGGGATCCAGTCCGGTTCGGAGTCATCAATCTTGGCCAACATGCGTGCGTCCGAAATGACCTGAGCGTTGCCCGCAGCAGCTGCCCGTGCAACCAAGCGCGTCATCGAGTGCACAATCACAGCTGTTGCGCACGAGTCAATCCCACCCGACAACGGGAGGAAGAACCCGGCCGCGCGACACCGTCTCAAGTAGTCCCATAACCAGCATGCAGGGCCAAGCGCAATCTCCTCCTCGGGTGAGTGGTAGCGGATCGCGCGCGGTGCTGACGGCACAATCTTCGGGTCGAAGGACGTCGCGTGCGGGGACAACTCCACGTCCGCGTAAACCCGCGTGTAGCTCGCATTCGTCGCGACCGCTTGCAACCCGTTTGCGATGGAGTGTCTGTAGGAGCGGACGTCCTCTAAATCGACCGTGGCGGTCACGACCTCGACGTCTTCCAAAGAAAACTGCGAAGCCTGGGCCACGACCTTGCCGTTGATGACGATCATGGCGCAACCGTCGTAGTACAAACGGTCACCATCGCACCCCTTCTGGTTCGCATAGAGGTACACCCCGCCGCACTTGGTGGTGGCGTTTGTAATCAAGTCGAGACGCGTGTTCAACTTGCGCAACTCGTGGTGCGAGCCGGACGAGTTGGTGAAAATCTCCACGCCGTCAAGCGCCATGGCGATGTGGGGCGACTGAGGGGTAAACAACTCCTCGCAGGTTTCGGCACCGATCACCGTGTCGAGCGTGCGGATCACGGCATCCCCAAAGTCGACGGTGCGCTGGCCCGTGAGCTGTGCAATCTCGCGTGGCAACTGGTAGCGTTCCACATGCCGCGCCCGCATCCATGGCGTGAAGAAGCGCATCTCGCGGTAGTTGCCGTCGTTTGCGAGAAAGAGCTTTGGACGGATAAGCAAGATCTTGCCGTCGTACGAGATCACGCGACAGTTATACTTCACGTTTTTGTGGAGCACCGGCATCCCGATGTCCAACATGATCCCGTGCGTTTCAGAGTTCGCCAAAAGCGTCGCATACATCTCCCAGCAGTGGAGGTATAGGTCGTGTTCGAGAAAATGATCCAAGCAGCCGTACCCCGGCACTTCCAATTCTGGTCCCACTCGCAAGGTGGCGCCCTTCTGTTTGGCGAGTACGATGCTCTCCAAGATCCGGTCGCGGTTGCCCTCAAAGTCGAGCGCCCATTGGTTCAAGTTGCACGCCGCTAACGTTACGTAATGGCCCATAGTGTAGAAATGGATGTATTTGATGGATATGCTATGGGTCCCAGTCTTCAATCGAGGAAGAACAGATGACCAGGTGAGTCAAATTTAAAACGCGGGTATGAGGAGCGCGAAAGAAAGGGCGAAAAAGTGACGCAAAAGTAACACTATAGATAAGCGCTCAGGGAAGAAATTATTGGATGGTCAAAGGCTAAATAACGACGGGAGTAAATGGGCAAAAAAAAGTTTACTAAAATTAAGGGTATTCACGTTCCAATATGAAGTAGATTTTCAATATTCTACGTGCGCGACTTGTCCAAGGGATTTAGCGCGGGGGTACTATCAATTTAACCGGTAGGATAATGGAAACACACTTGAACCTGAGTTGTGGCCTATAGAACATTTTACTTATCGCGGACAGACGGATATCTTTCATCGTGAGAGTAGAAATCAGCGGCGTGATGAGTACCTTTCCAATAACTTTGACGACCCTGGTTGGCGCGGCATCACGCAAGCTACACATAGACAGGAAACCCATGCCAACGAGGGGGAAATGGAACGTCAGTAAACCGGACAGCTGTTTGGTGCCATAATCCAGGTACAAGCTCGGCTACCAGTCTACAGGCCAGTGGCAAATATTAGTTCTTTATTAGTGTATAAAAACAAGTGTAGGTAGATATTTTAAGACTGCTCCAATTACAACTCATCGTGGTCATAGTCAAAGTCCTCATCGTCAGAGTCATCGGCGGCAGCACCGGCTTCAGGGCCACCGTACAACTTAGAGGTAATTGGGTAGGCAACCTTAGACAACTTCTCCTTCTGCTCCTCGAACTCTTCCTTGGTGGCAGAGTCAAAGTTGTCTTCCAAGAACTCCAAGGTGTCCTTAACCGCATCGGCCAAGGTTTCCTTGTCATCTTCGTCCAACTTGGAGCCCAAGCCGGTGGCGGAGTCGTCAGCGATCTGGTTTTTCAAGTTGTGGGCGTAGTTCTCCAACCCATTACGGGCCTCAATCTTGCCTCTCAACTCATCGTCCTGGGCAGCGTACTTTTCAGCTTCGTCAACCATACGGGCAATCTCCTCCTTGGACAATCTGCCCTTGTCATTCGTGATGGTGATGGATTCGGTGGTACCAGTACCCTTGTCGGTGGCCATGACCTTCAAGATCCCATTGGCATCCAAGTTGAAGGTGACCTCAATCTGTGGAACACCTCTTGGGGCTGGTGGAATACCGGTCAATTCAAACTTACCCAACAAGTTGTTGTCCTTGGCCAAGGCTCTTTCACCCTCGTAAACGGAGATCAAGACGGTTGGCTGGTTGTCAACGGCGGTAGAGAAGATCTGGGACTTCTTGGTTGGAATGGCGGTGTTTCTGTTGATCAAAGTGGTCATGACACCACCGGAGGTTTCAATCCCCAAGGTCAAGGGGTTAACATCCAACAAGACAATGTCATCAACCCCTTCTTCACCAGACAAGACACCAGCCTGAACCGCAGCACCGTAGGCAACGGCTTCGTCCGGGTTAATACCCTTAGAGGCCTTCTTACCGTCAAAGTACTTTTCCAACAACTCCTGGACTTTTGGAATTCTGGTGGATCCACCGACAAGCACAATGTCGTCGATTTCGGACTTGGACACACCGGCATCCTTCAAGACTTGCTCAACTGGCTTGAGGGTCTTCTTGAACAACTCAATGTTGATTTCCTCAAACTTGGCTCTAGTCAAGGTCTCGGAGAAGTCGATACCCTCAACGAGGGAGTCAATCTCGATTCTGGTGGACATCTGGGAAGACAAGGTTCTCTTGGCCTTTTCAACCTCTCTCTTCAACTTACTGATGGCCTTAGCGTTGTCAGAAACGTCGACGTTGTTCTTGCGCTTGAAGACCTTGACAAGGTGTCTGACGACTCTGAAATCAAAATCTTCACCACCCAAGTGGGTGTCACCAGCAGTGGCCAAGACCTCAAAGACACCACCCTCAATGGACAAGAGGGAGACATCGAAGGTACCACCACCGAGATCGTAGACAATGATTTGCTTTTCGCCCTCTGTCTGGTCCAAACCGTAGGCAATAGCAGCGGCGGTAGGCTCGTTGACAATTCTCAACACGTTCAACCCGGCAATGGTACCGGCATCCTTGGTGGCCTGTCTCTGGGCATCGTTGAAGTAGGCCGGAACGGTAACGACGGCGTGGGTGACCTTCTTGCCCAAGAAGTCTTCGGCAATGTTCTTCATCTTACTCAAGATCATACCGGAAATTTCCTCTGGAGAAAAGTTCTTGGTTTCGCCCTGGTACTCAACCTCGACGGCCGGCTTTCCGTCCTTCTTGGCAACCTTGAATGGCAAGTGCTTGACGTCCTTCTGGACGGTCTTGTCGTCCCACTTCAACCCAATTAATCTCTTGATGTCAAAGACGGTGTTGAATGGGTTGCTAGCGGCCTGGTTCTTGGCGGCATCACCGACAAGTCTTTCGGTCTCGGTGAAGGCGACGTAGGATGGTGTGATTCTGTTACCCTGGTCGTTAGCCAAGATTTCAACCTTACCACCCTTCATGACACCGACACAGGAGTAGGTGGTACCCAAATCGATACCGATGACAGTACCGTAGTTCTCGACATCGGTAGAGTCATCACCGTGCACTGGGCGGGAGAAAAGTGGCACGGAAATCAACAAGAAGGCGTAGAGGAACGCGGCAAGCGAGAACCAGCTGGTACGCTTGTTTGTGGATAACATGATAAACAATTACAGATAGCAGAAGCTGTAGCGGATTGTGTTTAAGATGTGAGAAGGAAAAAATGGAATGAAGAAAAAGAGAACCCAAAAAAAAAGGGTTCGACTGTGGAAGGACACCTGCTGGTATATATATTCGGCGCTTACGCCAGCGCATCATAGGGCGTGTCGCTGCAAAAGTGAAGAGACGCCAAGATGCAACGTTTCGAGTGACGTGGTCGATCGCGTAGAAGTTGCCAGAACAAGCGGGTGTGGAGTGAGGCCACGTGATCGGATCTCTGGTGTTTGAATATGCTTAACTCTGTGCGCTAGTGCCACGTAGCGCATTGTGGGACTCGAGTCAGGAACGTGCATTAATTGGTGGCGTGGCGAACGTCTGCCTAGCCCGTTTCTAAATATTTCCAAGCCATATCAGTGTTAGTTTAAGGTGCCTGGAATCCCAAGCGAGATGAAGCTCCCAGGTCGAAACCATGCGGATTTTCCTAGTTAAAATACTAAACGAAACGTTTAGAAGTCGCGGTAAATACTCGGCCGTTCCACATAATCCTGCGATAAAAGTACCGAGTGAAGTGTGATATAAGCCCTGTAGGGTGTAAAGGTAGCTATTACAATATTGTAACCAGAAATTTCGTGTAGCGGCTTGCGACCAAGGGGGCCAGAGTTATCACCAGTCCGTGATCTCTGTTCCATAAACCCATCACATCGAAAATGTGTTAATAACGGTTGATCCCACAGAAAGGCTTCGTGCGGCTGTTGGCAAGATATGGTTAGGATCAACGGCATACTGTGCTCGTGCCCACAGTGGTATCTCACCTTGACTCGCAGAACGTTTGGAAATTTTCATTACTCTCTCTGTGTTGGACGGTGTATATGCGCACCTTTTTCTGAACCGGCATCTGATTGAAAGCGATTTCTCCTCCCCACATAATTTTTTTTTAGTCCAAAAGGGTGGTGCATTAGTCTAATCAAGTTTCTACTTGACTTTTCTCAGTAGCACGTAATGCCTCTTCCGAAAACAGCTAACAGTATGCGGCCAAGCCAAGAATGTAGATATTTGGTAAAGCGCATCTTATGCAAATTTCAATCCACGTTGAGCCGGTTCGAGCCATACAGAGGAACACCTTGCATCGTCAAGCCAAGCGTAGGATACTCCGTATAACACTATTCACAATACTACGACGCACACTGTACCCTAGTTTTATTACAACGGTACCTAGATATGTCAGCTATTGCCTGACTGGTATTTCAGGCTTCTAAACCTGCATCAGGGTTTAATTGTTTGTACATTTATGATAGCCATATACGATCGACAACATTCACGTGTCTAAGCATTCGACAAAATGACAGATGTCGACATGATGATACCCCCATCTAGTTATATCACTTTCACCAACATAATGTGTTAAATCAACAAAATACGCTTGATAAGATGTTTCATAATGCTAGTAAAAGGGACCTCGTCTAGCTATATACTGGGGTCGTGAGCAGCGTTTCCCCGCAGGTGCTACTTTCCCCATCGGGGTCATCAAGGAAGTGGCCCTTTCTATATACAGCAAGATGGTAGGGCCAGCGAATGATACCAAGGAAATATATGATACGCGCAAAGGACTAAAGTATCCTAACACCCCCAAAATGGAACGCTATACTACGAGGCGTCAACTGATGCGCTCTCACCTCGTGTGCCATCAAAATTAGACCATACACTAATCAACAGTAAGTGTGTATCTATAATGTAACCGATGATCAGACACAATCCCTGCCAAAAATCAGTACGACTCCGCACATGTGCATTTTGTTTTCTTCTTGATGCCGCATACATGAAATAAGCAAGACCGGCCATCCGAATATGACGTCAAGGAAACTCAATTTCACGCGGCGGTTCACACCTATTATTAGAATGACCGCCTCCTGCAAAAGCTCCTCGTTTCTGAGAGGTCCTTTCCCTTCTATGGTACAGGATTTTATACAAACGCACGTGCTTGGTAAGGGCAGCATTGTTTGATAGCCAGTAATATATCTGAGTGACAACAGCTCTCAAAGACGGGTGCACACATCACGCACATCTCACATGATACTACCGTATCCTGGATGGTCACAATCTTTTCCAAGGGTCTGCGGGTAATCGGATAGATTTTATTTCTTGTACCTGGTGTTGTAAATCGGCCCTTCGTGGTTGCCGTGGCAGCAATTTAGACTCCTGTGAAACCAGCATGCAGATTTGTGAGAGAACAGCCGCACGGATAGTGCAGCCGCCAGACTACGAACATTTAACTATAAGGAGACTATATCTCGACAGGTTTTTGACCACAACCTCTCTGCCTCGCAAAACACCTTTAACTACACTTACAACAACAAAACACCGCTAACAGCAATACTAGCACAGACTTATATAACCATGTCTGCTCCAGATGTGTTATCGATCCTTCAGGATCCGCACCTCTTTGAACTCCACGGGGCTTCCATTAGAGAAGACCTCCTCAGATCCTATACCACCCAGTCAGATAACCAGGTGCAGCTTGAAAATGGCCTCCTCCACGCGGAAAATGCTAACAAGGCGTTTAAACAGGCGCTAAGTGAGATCGGAACGGTTGTGATCAGCGTCGCTATGGGAGACTTGTCGAAAAAGGTGGAGATCCATCCGGTCGAAAGCGATCCCGAGATTCTCAAAGTTAAAATCACCATCAACACCATGATGGACCAGCTTCAGACCTTTGCCAGTGAGGTTACCAAGGTGGCCACGGAGGTGGCTAACGGTGAGCTCGGTGGGCAGGCCAAGAACGCGGGCTCCGTGGGTATTTGGCGCTCCTTAACCGACAATGTCAATATTATGGCGCTTAACTTGACGAACCAGGTCAGAGAAATCGCCGACGTCACCGAGGCCGTCGCGAAGGGCGACTTGTCACGAAAGATTAATGTACACGCCCAAGGCGAGATTTTGCAGCTCCAGGGTACGATCAATACCATGGTGGACCAGTTACGAACCTTTGCTTTTGAAGTCACGAGAGTAGCCCGTGAAACCGGTGTGGATGGCCAGCTAGGGGGCCAGGCGCAAATTAACAACGTGGAGGGTATCTGGAAGGAGTTGACGGACAATGTCAACGCCATGGCGCTGAACTTGACTAACCAGGTGAGAAATATTGCCAACGTCACCACCGCCGTCGCCAAGGGTGACTTGTCGAAAAAGGTCACGGCAGACTGTAAGGGTGAGATCCTTGATTTGAAATTAACCATCAACCAGATGGTGGACCGATTGCAAAACTTTGCCAGCGAGGTGACAACCTTGGCGAGAGAAGTCGGAACGGAGGGGATTCTAGGCGGTCAGGCCAACGTCGAGGGTGTCGAGGGTGCTTGGAAGGCCGTCACTGAGAACGTCAACAACATGGCTGCCAACTTGACAAACCAGGTCAGAGCCATCGCCACCGTCACCACTGCCGTCGCGCACGGTGACTTGTCCCAGAAGATTGACGTCATCGCCAGGGGAGAGATCTTGGAGTTGAAGGACACCATCAACAAGATGGTGGACTCCTTGCAGGTTTTTGCGCGGGAAGTGACGCGTGTGGCCAAGGATGTCGGGATCGATGGTAAGTTGGGTGTCCAGGCCCAGGTCAGCGATGTGGACGGGTTGTGGAAGGAGATCACCACCAATGTCAACACCATGGCCGCGAACCTTACGTCCCAGGTCAGAGCCTTTGCCCAGATTACGGCAGCAGCCACAGACGGGGACTTTACCAGATTCATTACCGTCGAGGCATCCGGTGAAATGGATGCGTTAAAGACAAAGATTAACCAGATGGTGTTGAATTTGAGAGAATCCATCCAGCGTAACACCGCCGCCAGAGAGGCGGCTGAGTTGGCCAACAGCGCAAAGTCAGAGTTTCTCGCCAACATGTCGCACGAGATTCGTACCCCCTTGAACGGTATTATCGGGATGACCCAGTTATCGCTAGATACCGAGCTCACCCAGTACCAGCGAGAGATGTTGTCGATTGTGCATAACTTGGCAAACTCCTTGTTAACCATCATTGACGATATCTTGGATATCTCCAAGATCGAGGCGAACCGAATGACGGTGGAGCAGATTGACTTCAGCTTGCGAGGCACGGTATTTGCTGCCTTGAAGACGCTTGCCGTCAAGGCGATCGAGAAGAACTTGGATTTGGTGTACCGGACGGACAACTCCTTCCCGGACAATCTTATCGGGGACTCCTTTCGGTTGAGACAAGTGATCCTCAACTTGGCTGGTAACGCGATCAAGTTTACCAAGACCGGGAAGGTTACCGTGACCGTGAAAAAGTCGAGGCGCAAGGAGCACGCTGACATTCCCGATAACGAGATGTTCTTAGAGATTTTTGTGGCTGATACGGGGATTGGTATTGAGAAGGACAAGTTGGGGCTTATCTTTGACACATTCTGCCAGGCCGATGGTAGCACCACCCGAAAGTTTGGCGGGACGGGCTTGGGGTTGTCCATCTCCAAGCAGTTGATTCAATTAATGGGTGGTGAGATCTGGGTCGCCTCTGAGTATGGGGTCGGCTCCCACTTTGATTTCTCCATTTTGGTGGCGCCTGCCCCTAACGACTTGACCCGCCACGCCAACAGCCTCAGGCCGTTCAAGAACCACAACATTTTGTTCATCGCCAGTGAGCACTCTGAGTCTGATCTCCAGATTATCCACCAGGGTATCCTCGAGTTGGAATTGAAGCCAGATATTGTCAGAAGCATAGAAGAGGCGAACTTGTCCGACCCGGATAAGTACGACATAATTATTGTCGACTCTCTCCTCACGGCTGAAAATTTGCGGTTGTTGCCGGAAGTGAAGTATATCCCGCTTGTGTTGCTCCACCCCTCGATCCCCTCCTTAAACATGAGATTGTGTATCGATTTGGGTATCTCCTCGTACGGTAACACCCCGTGCTCCGTCTGTGATTTGGCAGGCGCCCTCATCCCTGCGTTAGAGTCCAGGTCCATCTCTCAGAGCAACGATGGCTCCACCTCCTACAAGATTTTATTGGCGGAAGATAACTTGGTGAACCAAAAGTTAGCAGTGCGCATTTTGGAGAAGTTTGGCCACAAGGTGGAGGTGGTGGAGAACGGGTTGGAGGCGTTCAAGGCCATCAAAAAGAACCATTACGACGTGATCTTGATGGATGTACAGATGCCTATTATGGGTGGGTTTGAAGCGACTGCCAACATCCGTGAATGGGAGAAAGAGTCGAACCCAATCGATCCTATGAGTTTCCGCACTCCGATCATCGCTTTGACCGCCCACGCCATGATTGGTGATCGCGAGCGCTGCTTGAGGGCCCAAATGGACGAATACTTGTCAAAGCCGTTGAAGCCAAAATTGCTTGTCCAGACCATCAGCAAGTGTATCCACAACTTTAATCAGCTCAAGGACTTGTCTCGTGACAACCAACGGAACTCTTCGTTTGCGACCGCTATGACCAAAGAAGCTGTGAACCCTACGGGGACTAGCTTTGCCCACCGTTCGTCCTCCGATTCCAACACCCCCACTACCTCCTCGTTAAAGCTGGACACTGACGCCCTCGTGCGGCTAGGAGAATCGATCAAGAGCAATCTTGCAGGATTGGTGGGTCTCCTGCAAGAGATTTCAGGCACCAATGGAGCTATCAGAGTTTCCCCCGATGGTGAGAGACTTCTTAAAGGGGCAAAGTCCCTTATCGGCACTCCAAACCCTGAAAGACCAAAGTTGGCTCTCTCTCAGAGATCCATCACAGAGAGTAGCTTGCAAACCTTGGCTAGTTCCAGTGAACCTTCCCCGGTCTTGAAACGGCCTAGATCCGATGATAAAGATGAGAGCTCTGATAGGCACCATTAACGCCGAAGCTTTCTATTAGCCATATAGCGTACTTTTATTTTTTCTGTTTCTTTGTGAATGTATTATATTTTTAGTGGTTGTAAGGTTAGGGCTCTATTTTATATCCAATGGAATACTGCAACGGTGCGTTACAAAAAAAAAACTACTCTGGCAGCGTTCATCGTACGATGACTTCATGATTATATTTATTATTCCTTAGTTGTAGATATGGGTCAACCGGAATTATCTCATTGAAATACATCAACTCCGGCCATTCATGAACTGTTTAAGGGCCTGTCATTGCCATCTCTACGCATATTCCCTGGTTTAGCGGAAGAAAGCAAGTGTTGCGATTTAAATGCAACGAATACCTTGTCGGAGGACCAGACCTAGGAAAGACCCCCGTTGCCATTGGGCTTTGATCTATTCGATGAGCAGCAAGGTTTTCTGAGCCATGCCTTGTATTCCCCATCCGTAAGCCGTGCGTTTCTCGTTTCTTTCACAAATTTTACATCCAAGGATGGCATTGCTTTAGCACTCTCTCCCATGAAAAATCATGTATTCCCCCAAGACATATTTTGGTAGTTCTATGAGTTCTAGAATTTCTCCCAAGCTCCTACTTTCTATGTTTCCCATTTATCGATCTATAACGCAGCAATACCCCATGCGTCTTCGCCACTTTTCTGCTTACATAAGAAACGCGCTTAAAATTACGCGTCACAGTTTGCTAGATCAGGAACGCAACTTTTTATAGCACTTTGCCGCCCGAACCACTTCTTCTATATACGTATTTCCCAGCTATGCCTTCCCCTAAACGATCCGCAGATGCCGCGCTGTCTGACGGCAAACGAGTAAAGTTCGAAGTGAAGGTCGACGCGAATGGTGAATTGTCCTCCAAGGCAGCGACCGCGATGGCGGCTACGGAGGCCTCGAAGTTTGAGCAAGATTTGATCGACATGAGCCAGGCAACCCCACACAAATCCTCGTCGGAGGACCAAACCTGGGAAAGACCCTCGTTGCCATTAGACTTCGATCCGCGCACCACCGACGTGCACTTCCAGCAATTGGATGCAGAAGAGACTACTATTGGTGCCGCATCGGGGATCAGATTCTTTGGCGTGACACCGGAGGGCCACTCGATCTTGTGCAATGTCACCGGATTTATGCACTATTTGTACGTCCCGGCGCCGCGCAGCTTTCACAACGACCTCCTCCCGGCGTTCGTGGCGTATCTCAAGAACAACTACGTGGGGATCCACGGTGTGGAGATGCATCAGAAGGAAAGCATCTGGGGGTTTAACGATAATGTGAAGACTCCATTCCTCAAGGTAATTGTGGACAATCCCAAGTGCATCGCCAAGGTCAGGGCTGGGTTCGAACGAGGTGAGATTCACTTCCAGAACTTGTTCCCGCCCAACTGCATGACCTACGACAACCTCCAGTACTTGTTGAGAATGATGGTAGACACCAAGATCACGGGAATGTCGTGGGTGACGATGCCTAAGGGTGAGTACGAGGTGATTCCTGAGGCTGCCAAGGTCTCGCACTGCCAGATCGAGGCCGATATTCACTTTTCCAAATTGGTCAGCCACCAACCAGATGGCGAGTGGTTGAAGACCGCGCCGTTGCGAATCTTGTCGTTTGACATTGAGTGTGCCGGGCGCAAGGGGATCTTCCCTGAACCCCAGTACGACCCCGTTATCCAGATTGCCAATGTGGTGTCGGTCAGCGGTTCCTCTAAGCCGTTCATCCGCAATGTCTTTACCGTCGATACGTGCTCCCCGATAGTGGGGTCGCAGATCTTTGAACACCAGGACGAGCGCGATATGTTGATGGCGTGGTGCGACTTTATCGTGCGCGCGGATCCTGACGTCATCATCGGCTATAACACTGCCAACTTCGATTTGCCGTATCTTCTCGATAGGGCCCGGCACTTGGGAGTCAAGAACTTTCCGTACTTTGGGCGGCTCAAAAACGTGAAACAGGAGGCGAAAGACAGCGTGTTTTCCTCCAAGGCCTACGGGACGAGAGAGTCGAAAGTGATCAACATCGAAGGGCGCATGCAGTTGGATTTATTGCAGTTTATCCAGAGAGAGTACAAGTTGCGGTCGTACACGTTGAACTCGGTGTCGGCGCATTTCTTGGGCGAGCAGAAAGAGGATGTACAGCACTCGATTATCACAGACTTACAGAACGGTAACAGTGAGACCAGAAGACGATTAGCGGTGTATTGCTTGAAGGATGCCTACCTCCCGTTGCGGTTGCTCGAGAAGCTCATGTGTTTGGTGAACTACACCGAAATGGCGAGAGTAACCGGTATTCCGTTCTCCTTCTTGCTCACCAGAGGGCAGCAGATCAAGGTTATTTCCCAGCTCTTCCGCAAGTGCCTTGAGTTGGACATTGTGATTCCAAACTTGAAGCAGGAGGGGGGGAACGAGGAGTACGAGGGTGCCACGGTCATCGAGCCGATCAGAGGTTACTACGACGTGCCGATCGCAACGTTGGATTTCGCGTCGTTGTATCCGTCCATCATGATGGCCCACAACTTGTGCTACACTACGTTGTTGAATAAGCCCACGATTGACCGGCTCAACTTGAAGGAAGGTGATGACTACACTTTGAGCCCTAATGGGGACTGTTTCGTGAAGCCGCACAAGCGCCAGGGTATCTTGCCAACCATCTTAACCGAGTTGTTGGGTGCGAGAAAGAAAGCCAAGCAGGACTTGAAGAAGGAGACGGACCCGTTCAAAAAGGATGTGTTAAACGGGAGACAGCTCGCATTGAAGATCTCTGCCAACTCGGTTTATGGTTTCACCGGTGCCACCGTTGGGAAGCTTCCGTGCTTGGCCATCTCCTCCTCCACTACCGCCTTCGGCAGAGTGATGATTGAGAAAACAAAGAACGAGGTTGAGGAGCGGTATTCCATCAAAAACGGATACACATACGACGCCCAGGTCATTTACGGTGACACTGATTCCGTCATGGTCAAGTTCGGCCATGACGACTTGAAAACGTGCATGGAGATGGGTGAGGAGGCCGCGAAGTACGTCTCGACAAAGTTTATTACGCCCATCAAATTGGAGTTTGAGAAGGTGTATTTCCCGTACTTGTTGATCAACAAGAAGCGGTACGCCGGTTTGTACTGGACAAACACCAAGAAATATGACAAGATGGACACTAAGGGGATCGAGACCGTCAGAAGAGACAACTGTCGCTTGGTGCAGAACGTTATCACCCGTGTGTTGGAGTTCATCTTGCAGGAGCGAGACGTCACGGGGGCAGAGCGCTTTGTTAAGAAAACCATTGCCGATTTGTTGCAGAACCGAGTCGATTTGTCCCAGCTAGTCATTACAAAGGCCTATTCCAAGGTTGACTACGCCGGCAAGCAGGCCCATGTCGAGTTGGCAGAGAGAATGAGAAAGCGTGACGCGGGGTCCGCTCCTGCCTTGGGTGACCGTGTGGCCTATGTTATCATCAAGACGGCTGGCGACAAGAACTGGGAAAAGTCTGAAGACCCGTTGTACGTGTTAGAGCATGCTCTTCCGATTGACACCAAGTACTACTTGGAGAACCAGTTGGCCAACCCGTTGATGCGTATTTTCGAGCCCATATTGGGAGAGAAGCGCGCAAAGGAGTTGCTTCACGGTACCCACACCCGTGTCATCAAGATGGCTGCCCCCGCAAAGATGGGTGGTTTGATGCGCTTTGCCAAGAAAACCGAGACGTGCAAGAGCTGTAAGACCCCGTTGTCTGACTCGGACACCAGCGGGTTGTTATGCCAGAACTGTTTACCAAAGGCCGGTGAGTATTACAGTGAGGCGTTGGCCAATATGAACAACTTGGAAACCAAGTTTTCGCGTCTCTGGACCGAATGTCAGAGATGTCAGGGATCCTTACACCAAGATGTGTTGTGTTCCAATAAGGATTGTCCGATCTTTTACATGCGCAAGAAGGCCCAGTTGGATGCCAGCACCCTGGCGAAGGATTTGCAGAAGTGGGCAGACACCTTGTGGTGAGTGTGAATATTTATTAATGGATGATATTTTAGAAGGTCTTACGATATTGAATAAAGGTCGAACCTACAAACTCTCCGTGGTAATCAAGGTCTAGAGAGGGTGAATTGCATAGATGCGAAAGTCTCTTCATTTTCAGACAAATTTACCAACGACTCTTAACGCTTGAGGGTTGTGTCTTTTAGTCATAGGTCCTCCTTTCCCTGGATAATTTTCCTGATGCGATGGTGTTACAGGGGTGGCGCCTAGGTACGGTGTAGTAAAACGCCTAATACTGGTAGAACGACGGACCGCGATTGTTATTTCCTGTCAAATTCTTCAACTGGTTACGAATACATTTACCAATCGCTTGCACAACCAGTTTTCGATTTAATAGCTTGGCCAAGTACTCATTCATCTGAGCCCTTCCATCTGAGCCCTCTTCCATATCTCACCTTCACCTATCATGGCGTGGGCTGTCAAAGCAATAACGGGAGTGAGGAAGCTCAAGCTGTCAATTGAATTGTTCCAGCTTTGTGGCTAACCGTTTTTTTCTTGATCCTAAGTAATGCTCATGCCCTTCATCGTTGTTCTGTTTTGTGGAGCTCCGATAAATAATTACTCATGACTACCCCCCTCATTTTTGGAACACGAGTTCGCGTTAACGTTACCCAACATGGATCCTACGATGACTGTACCATCATATACATGTATGTTTAGGCAGACACGAATTCTAGCGGGGCTTCTGATACCTCCTAATCCTATTTACTCTAACTGTCAAGGATTTTCTGCCAGACACATAGGAATATCAAACTCTCAAGCCTGCAACGCCAAAACTCATTTCCAGTCGGTCGTATACGCAAAAGCCGGGAATCAACTTCAAGAAGCACCTCGGAAGGCTTGAGGATTGGCGGTAACGTGGACAATTTTCTGGCCCATAGTTTCCCTATTTAAGCCTTCTATAACATAGGTCAGACAGGAGATACTAATTATGGGTAGGCCGTTTAGCCGGTCTTTATGGTTCTGTACAGGATTATGAAAAAACCATTTGTCTATGAATGAGAGCCATGACTAACCACTAATTGTTCTCATCTTTAACCCTTGATAGTACGTCAAAATGTCCGAAATAGAGTATCAGTTTGACATCCAACACCCCGAATGGTACTACTTCAAGCTTGAACTGTAAGTGAAAACCTGTTTTTGCTAAAACTACCAAAGGTGTGAACCTAACGTCCCCTATCTAGAATCGTTGACCCTGCCATTGTACAAAATCGGTCAAATCCAGACAACACCACCCCTTCCGTGGTTCTTGATCACCTCACATGGAAAACATACCTCCTGTCAGCCTTGAAAAGGTTCCACGGGCTTGTTGGTGAATCAATCCCTGTGGACATCCTCCAGCTTATCGAGACACCCGGGACTCCAAGTTGCATTATCCGCACTCCATGGGACGGGAAGCAAAAGGTGGCTACGTCCATTACTGGATTCACCACGAGTATGAGCGGAGTTGTGGGTTTGGAGGACTACCACAAGGGTTCTTTAAGAATCAGTGCACAATCTGACTTCCTTGTAGGCGTGACGGGACCTGGGCGAATCTAGAACAAACCCACAGACACGATCTTCTCCCAGGTGGTAAAGGTAGATTTCTAGAGAATCTCTCTGAGATAAAACAGCGGTATTGGTATCTCCGGTTCTATCAAGTAGCTCAAGCCTACGTGTTCATTTTCCCTGAGCAGATAGACTGTTGTTTAAGCCATTGGCTATTACTGAAGATTGACATTCACATTTCAAGATATACATGGTTCCGCCAGCGACGTCATTCTTCTTTTTCTAGACCTTGACAGTTATTTATCCTCATAAGATGCAAAGCCTTATTATTCATATACATAACTATTATACAGAGAGGGGAGTATTCTCCTGATCCCACCTTACCAGTAGCAGGTTTCTGCTCCGCGAAACGAGCGAGGTGCTAACATTAATGTTTGGCAGAGTCTACCAGACGCTATAGGTGCGAGTTTAACGCTCCTTGAGCAACTTGTTTCTCTTCTCCTTCTTTCTCAATCTCTCAACCTTCTTGGCGTGCATCTTGGCGGCGATTCTCTCGTATCTCTCCTTCTCGGTCTGGGCTTCCTTCTTCTTCTTGATGGCTTCGATACGACTCTTGCGCTCGGACTCCTTCTCCTCCTTCATCTCCCTCAACTTGTCTTTGGTAGCCTGTTCTTTGATTCTCTGCTCTTCCTTCTTAGCCCAAGTGTTCTTGACACCTAATCTCTTGATACGGAAAGCATCCTTCTTGATCTTCCAGTCTTTACCGTTGACTCTGCTGCCCTCACCGAGGTCTTTGGCGGCGGCTGGGTCCGTGTAGATGGTCGATTCAACCTTCTTTGTGTGTATTGGTTGCATTGTGAATAATATCCGGGTGTTTCAGGAATCCGAACGGATGGTCTAACGAGGGGACTACTTATTGAAATAGATACCGAAACGCAGAGGGAAAAAAAAATTGTCGTGCATATCCGGTGATGAGGTTACCCGCTTGAAAGGCTTAAGCACAAGATATTAAGCCGTAGGATATAGCGATAGCACGGTTGAGAGGAGTGTAGTCTCAGTATATTGGCATAATTATAGAAATGCCAACCTATCGATCCCTGAAAGGGATTTAAATCTGGGAAAACTATAAAGTCATCTTTTCGTAGCTACAGTATTTTACCAATTTATGGTTATTTCAACAGGCTTTTCTGATTTCCCATGCTGGCATCATACTGGAATGCCGGAAGAGCTCAAGGATGCCCGATCGGCAAAGGAATCCACAATACCGTTAGCCTAGAAACATCAGTTATGCCAGGTATATATCTGTGTATTAATATTATTCGTTAGTTTGATTCTGGATATATACAATGCAATAGATTCGGGTCTAGATTCTCTCGGCGGTCCAAATGGCCACCTTGCACGTAGCTTTGATAGCCTCAGTCAATAACATATATGGAACAGCCTTTTCAGCATCGTGTTCAAGTGCAGTATCCAAATGCTCTAATTCTTCGTCTCTGAACTGCTTCACCGTCTCCTTCAAACTGGCAATTTCCGGAGACACTGGGGGGTTAGCGATCACCTCGCCGGTTTCCGCATCCACAGCACCAATGCTGAACTGATTCATCAAGACGCGCAACTGCTCGTTATAGTGGCCACCAATGACGGTTTCAACGGCAACGGTGCATGCCATGGCTGCCTCCTTGCTGAGGGACGCGGTAGAAAGACCAATCCCAAAGGCACCCACCTTCCAGAATGGTGTCATGATAGAGGGTCTCACTCTCTTAGCCGTCTGGAGCTGGTTGAAGGTATCGTGGTGGTGGATTTCCTGTTCCCACATATGCTTCAACACCGGCTTCAAATGAGGATATCTGTTAGCCAACACAAAATATTGGCCTGCGTAGATGTAGTTCGCTCCAAGCTCACCAGCTTGGTCTACACGAACAACTCTTTCCAAAAACGCCTTCTGGGCTTTCGACAACGGCTGGTACTTCAACTGAGGGGCATGTGAAGTGGTGTTGCTCTCAGCTGGTGTGGCAAGGGCTCTGACTGGGAAACGGGTCCGGACAACGGTCTTAGCTGATTTAGATAACATGCTAGCGGTGGAATATGAAACCGTAAAACGCCTAAATACCGTAGATGTCAGCATCAACGTCCCTTTGAAAGGTCAAAGGTACGATTAGGGGCTACGTCAAGGGATTGTCTCCTGTACACTTCTCTAAACGAGCTCCTGCATTGGACCTAACAGTCCCCGTCAGCTACTTTTAGACTAAACATAACTCAAATCGGATTATTCAAGACTCGCATTGAATATAAGCCACCTTTTTACGTATTTCAGAATGTAAATTAATTGCATCTGCATGCTTTCCCCTTACAATTCCCATTGACTGCTAAACTCCTTGTCAGCTTCGTCGACAAATCCCTCGTCCAACAAGCCAATACCAAACTCGTTGCACAACACACAGCTCTTCAACAAAACCTCATCAATCTCCGTCACGTACTTCAGCTTCTCCTCTCTTGAACTGTTTGTAGGTGAACTGCGCTGTCTCCTGAAGCTCTCAAAAAGCTTCTGAAATTTGTAGTCACCGTTCTGCACGTAGAACTTAAGCAAACAGTCCTTATGGAACCCGTGGCCACAAGGAAAGGAAATGAACTGTTTCTTCACCAAAAGCAGTTCACACAAGTGGCACTCTTCTCCAGGCTCGATGATCGTAAACCGGGTCTTATACGCCTCAATATCCTGCTTAATCCTCTCAGCGGTCTTGGTGGACTCTTTCATCTCCTGTGACAACTGGCTGATGGCGTTGTTGTAGCTCTTCAAGGAGTGGATGATCTCATCTTGAAAATGGTTGATGACGGTAAATTCAGGGAACAAGGGCAAGATGTCTTTGAGTGTGAGCAAGCCGTTGGACCTGTTAAGCAAGTAGCGGAGAATTGTGTTCAACTTTTTGGACTTGGAATCCTCGGCCGCAGAACTAGGTTCCGAGACTTCTTCGTCATCAAACTCTCTGAACACAAACTCCAACTTGTTTGAGCCACTCACCACCTCCTTGATCAAATACTTAGCCACCTTGAGCCAGAGCTTTTTCTTCTGGATGAACGTCGCGTTGTCGATCCAAAGCACATCATCGAGCACCCCCATCAGGTCGAGCCCGTCACCCAGTTGGCTGTCAAAATCGTTGATAATGTACTCCACCATGTCGTCCATGTTGTAGTCCAATGCCAAGTCAATGGCGGTGCTGTGCAAGCTCTGGGAGATCAACACCTGGATGGCTGGCTGGATCTGGTCGTGCTTAATCAACAACCGCAACACAAAGTCCTGGTCAATGTGTTTGGATAACTTTAAAAACTTTGTGATTTCCTTCGCTATTGCCTGGGACTTTTGCTCACTCGGGTACGTGATAAGGCTGCTCAAATACACATCGTGAATGATTTTTACGTCGCTCCGCGACGGAGTGGATAAACTACCCATCGTTTGAGTCATCTGGTCCATCTTATAGATCACTTTCTGCAAGAAGAGAATGACCAAATTCTCGTTCCATATTACCTGCGATTTGTGGGTCTTGCTGAAGGTTAAGAGCGCGGGCAACAACTTCACAACATTGACTGGATAGTTGGCATTGAACAACTTTGTCCAAACGTCGATGGTCGCCCTCGGGGAATTTACCAATAGCGTAGTGGAGTATTCGTATATGAGCTCCACTGGCGACGTTTCCTTGCTCAACATCTCTAGGTCCTTTTCCAGGGGTGGGTCGCAGTAGACGGCCATCAAAACCGCCAAGGCATTTTCCCAGTCCTTTAGCTTGATGTAGTACGTCATGGTGAACCGGTAGTCCTTGATGATGTTCGCGTAGAAGAGTAACTGCGGCTGGTTGTGGTAGTTGGTGAGAATCTGGTAGATTGTTTCCTTGTCCAAGCTGACCTGGTTTGTTCTCACAAACCGCTCATAGCTCTGGTTTGTCGCTGCCAAGAGCTTGCTCAAGCTCGCGCTGCTGGCTGTGGACACCCCGTGGAGGCTCGCCAGAAGGTCGGTTACTCCGACGTTTCTCTTAGACGAGATGATCCAGCCTTCGATTTGGTTGAGCTTCGTAATGTATAGCTCCACGATCCAGCTGCTGAGCAACTTTTTTTGCAAGGCGTTGGCGCCTTTGAAGGTCAATAGCAAGTAATCTAACAACGCATCCGTCTTTTCGGTTTGGGTATCGGCATCAGTCTCGGTATCATCCATTAGATTCAACGCAATGCTTTCAAACGGTTCTGTGGTGTTGGCAAGCAAGTTGGCTCCTTCCTTGAATTTGCCCTCGCTGAGGCACTGGCGGCCCTGTCTGATCTGGATGAGGTTACGCACCAGGGCCGAGTCTGTCGATTTCAAGGCTTCGTCGTATTCGTTTCGGGCGACAAAAAGCTCCCAGATATCTTTCGATTCGTTGTTGGGGACGATTTCCCAGATCTGGTGGGTGGAATAGAGCCAGAACGTGGCCGTATCAGACTGGTAGTCCGCCGTGCACCCCACAATTGACTCCTTCACATCAAGGCTGAGCTTGTTTTCGTAAACCACCTTGTTGTCAAGCTGGTTGGTGATGCTCAACGTGGAGCTCTTGGTGTCAAACGTCACCAAGTGGTACCGCGTCACAAGCACGTTGGCCGCGGGTACGGTCAATCCCTCCAACCTGGCACGGCTGCTCTTGATCACCTTGCCCTTTTTGACGATAAGATATTCGTCGCTGAATTTGCCAAATTGGTAAACCTGGTAACTCGAAGCGTCGGTCATGGACTCTGCTGGGGGCGTTTTGAGTGCGGCCACCACGTCATCCAGGGTCCACCCGTAGATCTCCTGGTGTGTGAACACCGTAATCTCGTGTCCCCGGATGACAATATCGTTGACGGCATTATTCGACCCTGCCTTGAACACGCATTTCAAGTGATGGTCGTCTTTTTTGGCAAAGTCATCGTGTCTGACCAACTTTGTGTGAAGAATCTGCCCGATTTTGGTGCCCACCAAAAGGTCGGTTTCGAAGGGATCGTCCGTTAGCCAGCGGAGACACGTGGTCTGAACGCCCTTGAAACGGGCCATGAGCTTCGGCCGATCGTAGTGAAGGTTCAAATAGTAGTGCGCGGAGGTCAACTCAAGAACCACGTGGCAGCCGCTGGGGGAAACAAAAACGTTCGTTACCGGCCCGTTCAGCGCAATCACAGAGGTAAGGGCGATCTCGGTGATCCGGGAGGGGTCCTCGAGGTTGATGCGGTAGACATGGGAATTGGCAATAAGGTAGAGGATGTTACTGGCGATCCGTAAGAACTGCAAGTTGCTCAAGTCAAACTGGAGCTGCACCAGCTCTAGCGAAAAGACTGGAGGTTTCATTGGTTGTATAAGGGGAGAATATGGGTATCTAGTGCGGTGAATTGACGGTGGCAATGGGGCGTAGTGGCATTGGTGGGGGGGAGGGGCTCCTTTTACTTTAACGGCGTGCCCAGAACTCTCAGACCCAAAAAGCGTAATATTCCTGATCAGGAAGTCAAGCCCGATAGGAGCGAGCAGTGCCTCAAACTGCGCTATCGGCTGGGCGGCGATATAACAGGACACATATCGCCTCACTTCCTGCCGCCTTCATTCCAATTACACATCTACACAACCCCAAAATGGATGAAACATTAATCAGCACCATTAATAAGTTACAGGACGCGTTGGCGCCATTGGGGGGAGGGTCACAGTCGCCAGTCGACTTGCCACAAATCACCGTCGTGGGATCGCAGTCCTCCGGTAAGTCCTCCGTCTTGGAAAACATTGTTGGAAGAGACTTCCTCCCTCGAGGAACGGGTATTGTTACCAGGAGACCGTTGGTGTTACAATTGGTCAACAGAAGAGCCGCGAAGAAGAGCGGTAACGAGTTGCTCAACATCAGCACGACCGAAGCGGATGGCTCCAAGTCGGAAAACAACGCCGATGAATGGGGTGAGTTCTTGCACTTGCCGGGCAAGAAGTTCTACAACTTTGACGAGATCAGGCAGGAGATTGTCAGGGAAACGGATGCCAAAACCGGAACCAACTTGGGGATTTCCGCCGTGCCAATCAACTTGAGAATCTACTCGCCCCACGTGTTGACCCTCACGTTGGTTGATTTGCCGGGCTTAACCAAGGTTCCGGTTGGTGACCAGCCAAAAGATATCGAAAAGCAGATCAGAGACATGCTCATGAAGTTCATCTCCAAGCCAAACGCCATCATTCTCTCCGTCAACGCCGCCAACACCGACTTGGCCAACTCTGATGGCTTGAAGTTAGCCAGAGAGGTTGACCCAGAGGGCTCCAGAACCATTGGGGTTTTGACCAAGGTTGATTTGATGGACCAGGGTACCGATGTGATTGATATCTTGGCGGGCAGGGTCATTCCGTTGAGATTCGGCTACGTGCCGGTCATCAATAGGGGGCAGAAGGATATCGAGCGCAAGAAAACGATCAGAGATGCGTTAGAAGATGAAAAGAACTACTTCGAGAACCATCCGTCGTACGGCTCCAAGTCCCACTTCTGCGGTACCCCGTACCTCGCCAAGAAGTTGAACACCATCTTGTTGCACCACATCAGAGCCACCTTGCCAGATATCAAGATGAGGATCGAGGCCTCCTTGAAAAAGTACGTCCAGGAGTTGGCCAGCTTGGGACCCGAAATTGCCGACTCTCCAAGCTCCGTCATCTTGAACATCATCACCGACTTTTCCAAAGATTTTAACGGGATCTTGGACGGTGAGACCAGGGAGTTGACCTCCCAGGAGTTGAGCGGTGGTGCCAGAATCTCCTTTGTCTTCCACGAGATCTACAAGAATGGTATCCAGTCCTTGGATCCGTTTGACCAGATCAAGGATGGTGACATCAGAACCATCATGTACAACTCTTCCGGTGCCGCTCCATCCTTGTTTGTGGGTACCCAGGCCTTTGAGGTTTTGGTCAAGCAGCAGATCAAGCGCTTTGAGGAGCCATCCTTGCGCTGTGTGACCTTGATCTTTGATGAGTTGGTGAGAATCTTGGCCCAGATCTTGGCCCAGCCACAGTATTCCAGATACCCGGCGTTAAAGGACCAGCTCTCCCAAGCGTTTATTGAGTTCTTGAGAAAGGCCATCATCCCAACCAACGCCTTTGTCACCGACATTATCGAGGCTGAGGAAACTTACATCAACACCGCCCACCCAGACTTGTTGAAGGGCACCCAGGCTATGACCATCGTGGAGGACAGACTCCACCCGAAGAAGCAAATTCAGCTCGACCCTAAGACCGGCAAGCCGTTGCCAAACCAGCAAGTCCAGCAGGTCCAACAGCCTCAAGCGAACGCTACCACAGGCGAGGAGGAAAAGTCTGGCGGCTTCTTCGGTGGCTTCTTTGCCTCCAAGAACAAGAAGAGGTTGGCGTCGATGGAGGCTCCTCCTCCAGTGTTGAGAGCCACCGGGCAAATGACAGAAAGAGAGACCCAGGAAACTGAGGTCATCAAGTTGTTGATCTCCTCCTACTTCAACATTGTCAAGAGAACCGTTTCCGATATCATCCCGAAGTCGATCATGTTGAAGTTGATCATCAGATCCAAGAACGAGATTCAAAAGGTATTGTTAGAGCAGTTGTATGCCAACAAGGATGTAGCTGATCTTGTCAAGGAGAACGAGGTGACCGTGCAGAGGAGAAAGGAGTGTGCCAAGATGGTGGAGGTTTTGAGAAACGCCAGCGAGATTGTCTCTAGTGTTTAGATGACTTTTATATTTTCTGTTCCATTTCTAATAATATTGTTTAATTTTTAGCGTGCTAGTTTGTAACTTGGCAGGTTTATCAAAGACCGCCCAGCAAATGGGGGTTTAGCCATAATTGGCCGTTTTCGGTGCAAACCCAACTCAATTGCGATATGACGAATCCATCCGTATGGAACGTGTAAACAGCGGAGCAGATCGATCAAATGTTTCGAAGCAGTAAGTATTTTATGGTCTGGTTGGGAAAGCTAAAGGCTAAACTGCTTCCAAGCAATTTGCCTGGTAGCAGGAATAAGCTCATGCTAATCAACAATAATGAGACTGCGGACAACAGGCAGGTATCGTTATAGCTACAAGTTAATCCAATATTACTGAGTGCTACGCTTTATACACAGCAGTTCTTCGTCCATATCTCCTGTGTAGAGCCGTAGGGAAGATTCCAGCCATGCCGACGCACGTTAGAGTAAATTCACGAACGTGTATCTGGAAAGTAAATTCTCATAAAGGAAAACGGGAGCTTACCAAGCTATAATAACCTGGCTATGGATCACTCGACTGTTCATACGTCATCGTCCTGACAAAGGTGACGGACATGCTGTCTTACAGATTGATAAGATAAGTACGACAGTTTACTACTGCTGGGATACGTAACAAACCCTATTTCCGGTGTCACTTGCAAACACTATTTAGCGCGATATCCAGTACTGGGTGGCCCCAGCAGGAGATTCCGCTAGGATCCTGCATGAGCAGTTTAGGTTAGTTCACCTGCATGCTAACTTCCCTGCACGCTGGTTCGTATCCTAATCGGGAGTCTGGAAGCGGCAATCATGCACATAGATAACGCATACATGAGGTCACCATTCAATTACGTACGGCTCCGATTAAGGGATGCAAGCGATACGCCACATATAACATGGTCAACCCTTGTGTGGGAAAGTTTTTCAGATATCTAGGTTCCTCAACAGCCGGGAATGTCTTGCTATAGATAGCGACCCTTCTGACGTATATAACCGGACACACTTGCAAGCAATAAGAGCCTGCGCGTGCATCTCTCTTACAGTCCCAGGACTTCTACCTCCCCAAATCGCCACACCCATGACAATACCGACCGCACTTATCTGTGCGATTAACACAACGGGTCTAATGATCCCGCTTTCTCGGCGCTTTACTGTTTCTTCTCCGCCAGCTTCAGATGAGAATGCACTAATCGATGAAAATACACATCTCATCCAATCTCGCCGGGTATATAAACGGCTCGAACGAGAACTCTATTTGCGAGACAACCCACCCAGATATGCATCCCGCCTTTTTGATGAGCTATCACGCTTCTATGACCAAGGAATGGTACCTCTAATTTTGGAGGCACTCTCCGCGACGTTTTACCTACTGTTTTATTCGCTCGAGCTCTTTGATGCCACCAGCCTTGGCTCTCCCGGAAAGCTCCTCGGTGGTCCTTCGTTTGGGCTTGCATTTGTGTTTGTATATTACGTTTTTCTAACGTTTCTACACTCTTGGAACATACGTTGGCCTTTCAAAGTGGCAGAGCTCGCCCATACGTCAAGTATGCCGTGTATTACCAACTCTCAGTCTGCCCAGCGCTATCAGATATTGCAAGGGGAGGAGTCCTTCCCCAGCTCACCCACTTTAGCTATTTCCGTCGATGGCAAATCGAAGAATGCGAAATTTACTGTCGTGGACTGTAGGGACGACATCATACCGGTTGTGTCCTCAATTACAGACACTGTCACCCAAGTTATCGAGATTCCCCACAAAGGCCCATACGATCCGTATCTGTGCAACAAGCAAAACGTGGTTACTGTTTCGGAGCTTCTTGAAGAGGGGCTTGACCTGACCGTCTCACAAGAACGGACACAGCGCTGTAACTCATTTGGCAGACATTCAGTGACGATTGGTCCCGTATTGGCCACTTTGTTAACGTTTAGCCCAGTCAAAGGTCATGCGCTTCCAGTTTACGACTACATGACTGCTTTTGTGGAAAGGGATACGGTCCCTAAGGCTGAGCTGGCTATTTCCAGCGACCTTTCTCGAGTGGTATTGTTGGAAATTGGATTGTTTTTGTTGCTCCTATCGAAGGTAAGCACTCTATTTTCATCATGTGTCAGATACACCAAGAAAGAGCGGCGCACAGACGTGCAAGGAGATATTGCAGATACCTGGGAGTATGGTGAGCCTTCTCGTAACCTTACCCATCCCTTTGTTTCTGGATTTGGGAATATCTATGTTGCTGAGGGGCTTTATTTCGTCACCATGATCGGTTTGGCGATTTCCGGTTACCCCGCATTCCCTGGTATTTTGGGTGGAAATAGTAACCCTCAAAACGGTTATAAAACTGCCAATATAGCATGTTTTTCGGCTCTCGCGGCTATGAATTTGGGGAGCTGTTACTTGGATTTTTGTGGAGCAGAAATTAAATAGACGAAGGAATTGACAAAAGTGGACGGGGTGTGAGCGTGTTTTATTAATGGCTGTTCAGTAACCTTTAACATGCTTGGGACATCAGAAGATTGTATCCGGAAAGAAAAGCGAGAATCTTTTACATGTGTTTCCTTTTTATCAGTACTAAGATTGTTAGTTTCGATCCGTTGTCATACAGTATGGTTGAGAATATAATCATATTTGATATGTGCAAGTACCAGCCTTGCTCGTAGAAAAAGAAAACGGTCAGCCACAAATCCACCCTTATGGGCTTTCATCGTGTTCCATGGAATGCTTAACCTCTTGGACAGTAGAACCGAAGTTCATGCCAAGGCCGTTGAAGTCAGCAGGGTCTTCACCGAACACCTTGGCCACTTCTTCCAAAGAGTAGCCGGCAGTCTCCACAAAGGTGAAATAAACAACCGCAAACTCCACCGCCAAGATACAGCAGTAAACAATGTAGTACCTCCATTCAATAGCATCCATGGCAACAGGGTTGACAAACCCGTTGTAAATCAAGCAAATGGCAATCCAAGAATTGCCAATGTTCAACCCCTTGACTCTCAAGCTGTATGGCAAAATCTCGGTGATGTACAAGAATGGCACACCGTTCATCCCAATGTTGTAACTCGCGTAGTACATGAAGATCATCGCCAACACCCCGGAGGCCAACAGCTTATCTTTAAAGTCTCTTTGTTGGTTGATGGCCGATAAGGCGGTCCAAACCACGTAGAATAAGCACATCAAGAAACATGACGTGAGGAACATGGTTCTTCTCTTGAACATACCAGCAATCAGAGCAACAAACGAGGCAGTGCCCAAATTGTAGATCATAAGCCCACCATTGATGATCAACTGTCTGTCGGGAGAAGTAATGCCGATAGAGTTCAATACCTTCGGTAAGTAGTAAGAAACCAAACCGTTACCGGACAATTGGGTCATAGTGGCAACCATGATCACTAAGAACAATCTCTTTCTGTTGGCAGGAGTTTTAAGGAAATCGGAATACTTGGAGTTATCAGCAATCCTTTCCATTTCCAAGGCCGTCTGAATTTCCGCAAGCTCGAAATCCACCATTTTACTCGCCACAGCTTCATCGCCCCCACCATGGTGTTTCATCAACACAGCACGGGCATCGGCGATTCTATCCTTGCTCACCAAGTATCTTGGAAACTCCGGGATCATGAAGATGGTACAAACCTGGAAGAGCGGAATTGCAGCTTGGCAGTAAGAAGGAATTCTCCAGGCGTAGTTCGATGCCAAGTTTCTGGTGCCGTAGGTCACCCAGGCAGCAATAACCGCACCCAAGTACCAACATGTGTTGTAGAAAGTGGTGGCCACCTGACGATGAGATGGGTAGGCAATCTCCGAGACCCACGCTGGAGATGAAACTGCCGCAATACACGATCCAAATCCAAGAATGACTCTGCTGACTAAAAACATAGCATAGTTTACACTAGCTCCCTGGATCATAGCGCCAATGATAAGAATAACCTGACCGAGAAGAACGGCTTTCTTACGACCCCATTTGTCAGAGAAGAACGACGCGATTGGAAAAGCAAGAACCGTACCGAACACCGTGCCGTTGGTTAAAGCACCTAAAACAGCGCCCTGTGGATGGCCCATTTTCTTGCCCCAGTAAGTCAAGGACTGCAACCCGTTCAACATGGAACCATCGTAGCCGTTGTTGGTCGAGGATAAGGTGATAAGGAAGATGCACCAATTGAGGTAGGAAAGGTGGGTAACTCTCCACCAAGGCTTCCCGTACGTCACAACGTAATCGCCGAGTAATTCACCGTGGCTGTTAATTTGGACCTCAGGATGCAAATCATCCTTTTCGTTGCTGTGGAAGGCATCCATTGTTGTAGTGTTAAAGTAGGGCTAAGCTTAAATGTAAAACTTGATGTTTCTGAGTAGGAAGACTTTTTAGGATAGAACGGTGAGGTTTTCGGTATATTTTATACCCTTGGTATGTATACCTCAAAATGAACCCTCTCCAAAGTAGCCCATATATGAACTTTAAGCCGCATGAGACGCATTCCTATGTAAAAGTATGGAGAAGTGACTACTCCATGCACCTCGGCTCATCATTAACCAAAATTCAAACCTAAACTGCTTACCGTCCCCAGTATGCGCAGCACGACCCGCGCTGTAGACTCAGTGGAACGTTACATATCCAGTCTCCGTAAAATCCTGCGGTCCTGGAGCACCCCGCATTGTTGCATTAGCACTGAAGGCTTCAAAAGTGAGGTGGTGACAATTTTAGAAGAGAACTATATCGGACATACAAAAAACAAAGTCCTAATAGGGGGTCTATCCTCGGTTCAGGGTTGTATCTATAGCCATGTGGAGGTTACATTCCGAAAATATGCATGCTTCCCCACACGTTGTCGATGAACAAAAGTAACAGGTCTCCACATTTGTTCACTAACTACGGTTGCAGTGGTAATCAACGGTATGGTAGGATCCTTTTAGAAAATTAAATTACGGTATATTTACTAAGTGTCAATGATATTATGAACAGCGGTAAGTTTGAAGGGATTAGGAGTGCGGATATTTTGTCTCAGCACTATATAAATGGGGGGTACACCGATCGGCGGTGGAGTCCGGCGCGACATCTGGACGAGTGGGTAAATCAGGTGTGCAAGGAAAAACGTATCCCCACCCCTCCCGGAACATCTTCGCTCCATCCTCCATGCATGTATCCATAATTCTGATGGAGCTAAAGCATATACCGTACGCTATGAGGTCTATGTCTGGGTAGCTTTTTCTTGGTTAGAATTGAGATGCCTTGAGGTCAGAGGTCTCTCCCCTCCACCAGCGTACACTTATTTGCTCTTCATAAACGAGCATTCATGGTTCTTCCGCTATCGGAGTAATCACTCACGTTTAAGCTCTGAATAAATAATACATCATGGGTCATTCGATAACTTTTTCTTGCTAATGCATGGCAAACCTTCGGTTATTATCGCCGAATCGCACATGACCAAATCCAAAAAAGAAATCTGAGATAATCAGAAGCACGGTTTATGCTGTTTCTATTACGAAATGAATCTTAAGTTGACCAGACTCTCGGTTTATCTTTACATTAAACTAAGAGCCAAGGATGTTTTCCATTTTCGGTTCGAGTGCGATAAAAGGGTAGGTCTTACGATAATTTGCGGTTTAATAATATCAATTTAAACACGTATGGAGATTATATGCACCATTGAGAACGCCGGTGTAGTTTCAAGTATTTACACCCCTCCCTCAAAGCGTTCTAATCAAAGCTCATGGGTTCGTTAAAGCTTTTAGTTGTGGAAAAGTGCGGGTGGGCTTGTCAGAATGGCAAGGTATCTTGAAGGTCTAAGTCACCCTCTCATCTAGGCTTAATTATAAGCCCATCCTTGTCCTCTAAGTTTCCACGGGGTGAGGCTGAAACTCTGGGATTTTTGATGCCGTCGTGTGAATCATGATCCGGACATCAGGCCATGTAATGGCTAAATATCAATTGGAATTTTTATGCCTCTATACCGAAGTTGTAAGTGATTTTCATAAATGCTACGAAATCGACAATCTCTCCCGCTTGGTTCGGTCCACAAAAAAATACACCCTCCAGGAAAAATCTCCAAGTGGTTTTTCATTTCCCTTTGAACAAAACTATGAGAACATAGTGTGGTGCTATTAGTCTTCTGTCAGTGACTTGGAAGGTTTGTTGAGTATGAAGGGACCGAGCTCTGTTTGGCACTCAAAGCTTTGAAACGCTGACCCGGTTATTTTTTTCTCCGATTCGCTTTACATGAATTATCCACTTTTTGTGTCTTGTTTTATGAACATATCTAAGGGCTTGGATATTCATATCCCCAAGGAGGAGAGGCACTTTTTTAGGGATGTTTGAATCCATTCATGGGATAGCTCTGGCTTATAGCTATTTTGTTTGTGGAACAGCTCTGGCTTAGCTATTCCGTTGTCTTATCTAAAGGGGATAGTACTCATATATCCTACTAAACCCCACAAAAGTTATGAGATCACCAAAATTAATCTTGTTCTAATGCCTGGGAAGCAAACCCATCTTAGACGAAAGCTCTAGCACCCTATCTGAAGATTTATACTCGCCTTTTCAATCCCATACCTTAGCCTACTTAGCCAACCCAAGAGGCTTGGCTGTGCAAAGGTTCCACCATTACTCGAAGGATTCACCTTGCCTAGTAGTCTGTCAAATGGGTTTGGATCCGATTCAGACATACTGGGTAGCGCTATCTTTGGCTCCACGGTTTTCATTGGTGACCGATTACTGCGAAGGGGCTACAATTCCCAGTGGCCACTTTTCCTCGGGAGATAAGACGCTATCTGAAAGACTGAATTTAAGAACAACCCTATAAACGATCAAAACTATGGCAAGGGAACCACCCCTAATTGGTCTAAAACACATCTTTCAATCCAATTCCGCATTTAACCCTTTTGACGTGTCTAGCGGTTACACTCGATGACCGTCTCACCATCCTCAAGTTGTTGTTCTTGCAGTCGTTTCACTATCCGTTGTTTTTTAGTAGCATACTTAATTTTGAGCATACTAGGCTCATCTTTGAAGGCATTGTCATTCTCTAGTGTGCTGGGACAAGACCCAAAAGCCGGTTCCCCAGTGTGTCACTTGGCCATAAAACCGCCCACGGTGAAAACCCATCAACTATCCCCGTCTTGGCATGGCCAGTGGTTTCCATCCGGTCATCAGATTTTTGCTATATACCCTCATCTTCGTCTAATTTCCTGAAAAATCTCTCTCCTTGAAATTTCTACAGATTTAAGGCAAAACACCAACTGTAGTCCTGCCTGCTCACATATACATAACCGGCCCCTCAATCCCTCGTATTTGACATAACACCGGAAATTCTGCCCTTCTCAAAAAAGCTTGGAGCGTTTAGTATAATTTATAATATTTTTGCGTGGATATTTGCTGTAACCATTATCACTCTCCTCCAAACATGGAGTTCCAAATCTAGCCCCGCATGATACTTCCCTATTAGGCAGTCTAGATTAATAGTAAACCTAGGCCATGCGCGCCGGCTCCCCTAGTCCTCACTGGGAGAAAATTTTGGGCGAGTCCCATGCTTTGTGTTTCCGGCCAAATTTCGTAACGACACTTACATACGCGGCAAGCCACGCTCTGAATCGTCTCGTATTAACGTACACACACCCTCTCATTTCCAGTAGTATATCACCACTCCTCCAGTATAAGTATTTAGCTATATTTATACTGTCTCTGAATAAAGCCGCATTCTTTTCACCACAACATGAGCGCTTCAACATACGGTGTGACTCCACCAATCTCCACAGCAGTGCCAACGCCGTCGGAAAACCGGTTGAATGACTCATTGATCGCCGACTTGAAGGCGCAGGGGTCGTTTGAAACCGAAGAAGGCACGAAGAAGAGAGCCGAAGTGCTAGAGATCTTGCAGAGCTTGACCCAGGAGTTTGTCTACACGGTGTCACGCCGCAAAAACATGAGCGAAGGAATGGCAAAAGATGCCGGTGGCAAAATCTTCACGTTTGGATCGTATCGTTTGGGCGTGTACGGGCCGGGCTCCGATATTGACACCTTGGTGGTGGTGCCGAAACACGTGTCGCGTGAGGACTTTTTCACGGTGTTCAGCGAGTTATTGAGAAAAAGGCCAGAGTTGGAAGAGATAGCGCCGGTTCCGGACGCGTACGTTCCGATCATTAAGATCATCCTCAGCGGCATCTCCATCGATTTGATCTGCTCGCGAGTGGATCTTCCGCAGGTCAACGCCACCATAAACTTGAACGACAACAACTTGTTGCGCAACGTTGACGACAAGGACTTGAGGTCGTTGAACGGTACAAGAGTGACGGACCAGATCTTATTGCTTGTGCCTAAGCCAACCGTCTTCAGACACGCGTTGCGCGCTATCAAGCTCTGGGCGCAGAGGCGCGCCATCTATGCGAACGTGTTTGGCTTCCCCGGCGGTGTAGCGTGGGCGATGCTCGTGGCGCGAATCTGCCAGTTATACCCCAACGCGGTTAGTGCGATCATTGTGAGCAAGTTCTTTAACATCTTGGTGCAGTGGAACTGGCCGCAGCCGGTAATCTTGAAACCCATTGAGGACGGACCGTTGCAGGTGAGAGTGTGGAATCCTCGCTTGTACCCGGCCGACAGATCCCACCGCATGCCCGTCATTACGCCGGCCTATCCATCCATGTGCGCCACCCACAACATCACCGCATCCACCCAAAAAATCATCTTGGAGGAGTTAAAACGAGGGTCCACGGTGATGAATGAGATCTCCATCGGCCGCAAGCACTGGGCGGACTTGTTTGCGCGCCACGAGTTCTTCCACAAATACAAGTTCTACTTGACGATCGTGGCGGCAACCAAGTCCAATGCCGAAGACCACTTGAAGTGGAGCGGTTTCGTTGAGGCCAAGTTGCGGTTGCTCGTGCAGAAGTTGGAGATGACCGAGGGCATCGAGTTGGCCCATCCGTATGTCAAGGAGTTCAACAATTCGTACAAGTGTCTGGGCGACTCGCAGGCGAACCAGTTGTGCGAGACCCACGGCACGTTGCAGGGCGAGGAGTTTGCGAAGCTAATTCCAGAGATCAAGACGGACTTGGCGCTGAGCAACGAGCGTACCAACGCCGACCATGAGGTTCACTTAATGAAGTTGTATGTCGGATTGAGCATCTCCATTAGCAAGGACAAGAACGACAAGAAGTTGGACCTCCAGCAGCCGTGCTCTGAGTTCTTCAGCATCTGCCGCGGCTGGGTGGACTACGATGACCAGAAGAACTCCATTCAGATCAAGCACGTCAAGTTGTACGACCTTCCGAACGACGTCTACATCGAGGGCGAGGAGCGGCCGTTGAAACAGAACAAGAAACGAAAGAACGAGAAGCGCGAGGCTGGCAAGAAGCACGACAAGCGGCCGAAATCGATCTCATCCAGCTTGGCTGAGTCGACAGGTATTGAGCACGCCTTGGATGGTAAGCTTCCTTCCACCAGCGAGAACCAGGCCACCACCTCCGTTCAGTCATAGGCCAACCGGGATCTCCCTTGGCAGTCATCTTCCAGTGTCTCCCTGTTGCACCATGTACTGACAATTGTTTGACCCTCCCATCATTCCGTTCCCCGAGCGCTGTACCATACCAGAACGGGGATATATAGTTCCCCCGTTACGATCTGTGTCAATAACCCTGTTCCATTATCACATTGCTAAAGCATCCTGCCGGTCATCGGTGACATTCACGTGTTGCACGTTTAATTTAAAATGTACAAAAAAGATAACAAAATTACTAACCAAAAAAAAACTCTCGCATACTTTATCTTTTTTTATTTTTTTTTTTTGTATATGGTGTATATCTAATATAACCTTCGAAGAGAATTGGTCTAGGACGTGTAGCCAGGTTTCGAGATCCATAAGACATACGAGTTATATTAAAGGGCAAATCAACCTCTTATGAATTGCCCGCGGGAGGTTCTGTAAATCACGCTCATCCCCATGAAATCTCAGACACGATATCTGGTTAAATGCAGCTCGAATTAAGCCTGCGTTAAAGGGTGTAATTATGTGGTCTAAAGTCAACTGGGTTTGATGATTGAGGGTAGCAGATGCTTTGGGTAGTGGAATCCATCCATTCGCTGTTGACTAGTGTATACGAAGAGGCAAGACATTAATATATTCCCCCTATCGGTGGGATTCGGCGTTGGTATATTATCTAAACAACGAACCCACTTCTAAATATTGATTGTCAATCACCAAAAGCGGAACTCCCCGGGTATACATATCAGCGCGGCTTAGCCGATACAGTTTGAAGCTGTGTCCAATTCCACTCGACATCCTTTCCGAGCCCCCGAAAGGACGAAGTTACGTGTTAAAGATCGACGCCGGTGGCGCGTACTGTGGCTTGGGGCTGTATGCACACCTGGCCCCTGCGGTTTTTCCGCCTTTGCGCTCTATACAATTAGCACACCCCTTCGCGCCTGGTGTCGGAATACACGTTCCGTAGCATGAGACGCCTTTGGACTTATTAATAAGCAACTTGCTATTGACCAACCACAGCCATCACTCTTTTCTAGTGGTTAATAATTGTACACCTTATCTCCATCGGTTATAGCTCCACATTTGCTCAACCAACTATAATTAACTTAGCGCATTCGTACAACGCCACTAGTCCCCCGACTGCACACACACCCACTATGCCATTAGGTCTCGGACACCTCAAAGGTGGACTCTGTATGTAATTATTCTTGGAGGACCCTTGATGATTTTTGCTCATTACCGTCCTACCACTCTGCGACCGAATTGGCCGCTGCTACTCTGCGGGATTACCCCTTTCGACAATTGGTCCTTGCCACCCTACAGTACTAACAAGTTAGCCTCCATGTTATCCACTCCAGAAAAGAGTGCCAACACCGGTACTACCTCCGCGGCAGAATCCATCGATGATATAGATGAAATCGACGGTGGCAGCCAGTCCATTCTCATGGGAATCATCTCACAGTTGAGACCAGGCTGCGACTTGTCGCGAATCACGCTTCCAACCTTCATTTTAGAAAGAAAGTCCATGTTGGAGAGAATCACCAACCAGTTACAGCAGCCAGAGTTGTTATTAGAGGCCAGACACACAGCTGATGCCACCGCCAGATTTGTCGGGGTTGTCAAGTGGTACTTGTCGGGCTGGCACATTGCGCCAAAGGCCGTGAAGAAGCCGTTAAACCCGGTTTTAGGCGAACACTTCACGTGCTACTGGGATTTACCTGGGTCGGGCGAACGCGCCTACTACATTGCCGAGCAAACGTCGCACCATCCCCCGGAGTCTGCGTACTTCTACGCCATCCCCGACCAGCACTTACGCGTGGACGGGCTTGTCATCCCGAAGTCCCGCTTCTTGGGGAACTCCACCGCTGCCATGATGGAGGGGAAAACTATCTTGACGTTTGAAGACCTTGTCAACGCCAACAAGGTCGCCGAAGCGTACGTGTTGACACAGCCAAACATGTACGCGAGAGGGATCCTCATCGGGAACTTGAAGTTGGAGTTGGGTGACCAGATGGTCATTTCCTGTGAAAATTTAGGCTTGGAGGCCAGAATCGAGTTCAAGACCAAGGGGTTCATCTACGGGACTTACGATGCTATTGAAGGGATTATCCGGGACGTGAACACTGGCCAAGAGTTGTACGAAATCTCTGGTAAATGGAATGAGATCATGTACTTGAAGGACTTGGCCACCGGAACCAAAACGGTTTTGTTGGACACATCCAAGGCCCAGCCGTTGCCTCCATCGGTGAGACCTCTCTCTGAACAGTCTGAATTTGAGTCGCGGAGGTTGTGGCACGATGTCACGGAGGCATTGTCCGCCAGAAACCACGAACAAGCGACCGACGCTAAATTCAAGATTGAAGACGCGCAGAGAATCCGCGCCAAGCTGGGGAATGAGGTTGTGCCGCGCTTCTTCAAGAAGACTAAGGCTGGCGACGTGTTGCCGTATAGAATCGCTGCGGACTTGTCTCTGACAGATCCAAAGCAAAGAGCCCAAGCGATTTTGGCGCTTGCTCCAATCTTACCTGAATCACAGTAGGCTGTGACCTGTCAAAACTCCTCGGATTCATGTTTTAAATACCGTGCTAGGACGTTTCGATATAGGCTGGTCTTGTATCCTCTTATGGTTTTGCCTCTCGGTGACATGTGCTCATGTCCCCCTGATATATCATGGTATTCCTATCTAATTCCTTTAGTTTGTTTTTTGTTACCTTCGGCTTTGGTTTCTCACTGTAAGCTGTGTTTATTCTACTCTAATTTTGTTGGTCTTGCAGTTATCTTTCAATAAATTTTCAAATACTACAGATAAATCATAAATAAAAACTCCTTTTCAGGCTAAAACCAAGCTATACGCAATTAAAACCTTAAGGCAAATAGTTCCCTTATCGCGTACAAACAGAATAGTATGTCATCGAGACTCGGGACATTTATTTGCAGAACCCTGGGGTATCGTCACAATGACACCTTCCCCCAGTCAAAGCTCACCTATTCAGAAATAAAATCAAGATCACGATCCAAAAAAATCTCCCAGCCTAGCTGCTCAGGCATCCCCACACCCTAGCAAATTCTCGTTCCAACTTCCCTGCCAATCGCTCAGAGTTGGACGCGTATCCCCCCACCGCTGGAACCAAGACGCAAATTCTACCAATAAATCAGTATAATCCGCTTCACAGAGTAATATCATTACATTATGAAAAACTTTATCCAGCTAATTTAGACAATACTATATAACGACTCTCCGAAGTCCCCGCCAATTGCCCAAATTGTCGCCCCGCCCTCTCGCGCGCGAAAAACTCACCTGCGATTGGGCACTAACTTTTAACGCACGGTAAAAATCAATCCATTTCTAGGGCTTGCTCTCTCCGTACAATGTCCGCTCCATACGCCTTGCTAGACAAGTCCCAGACGAGATCGCTCAACTTGAACCAAATCGAAGTCAAGGGTGGAGATAGCTATTCACAGGAATTCTTCCAAACCACCTTCCAGCCGTTGTTGCACACCAAAGATGTGACCTTTCAGCGCCTTGTCTCATCCATTGACGAGTGTACGGCAAACTTAGAAAGATCTGGGCTGTTTTCTAACATCAACGTCACGATTGACACCGATGTCAGCGTCATTTCCGCAGCCAAGGCGGCCAAGCCGTTTGAGGAGCCGATTCCCGTCAAGGCAGTGTTCCACGTGGACGAAGTGTCCATTAAGGCGATTTCACCAAACATGACTGTCACGAACGACAACCTCAGATTGGGCTTGTGGTACATGAACAACAACATCAACGGAAACGGGGAACAGCTCTCGGCTGCCGGGTTCGCCAGTGCGTACACCGACTCCAAATTTGCCAACCTTATGTTGACCACGCCGTTGCAGAAGAGACCGGAGACCTCATCGCTTTTCATGGTCAACGCCCTGTCTGAGGCCTCTACCAGTGTCCAGAGCACGCAGCAGAGTGGATTGATGGGCTTCAAGAGCAAACACTCGGACTACTTCTCGTCCTTCTTTGGTCTTTCCCTCTCTGCCCGCTCGTTTGTCAACACCACCGAGGAGATCCCAGATGCGATCAGAAAGGACATGGGAACCTCTTCCAAGACATCCATGTTCTTAAACGGTGAATACAACTCCGTCGCCTACGATGCGACGTTCCCAGCTACAGGCTTGTCGGTCTCCATGCACAACTGCATTGACAACTGCATCGACAGCGCCGCGCAGCTCAACTACAAGACGTTAAAGACCGAGCTCGGCTTGAACTACTACAAGTCATTTCCGTGCCACAACTTCGCAACCTTCCAGCTCCACGGCAACGTTGGAAACTTGACCACCATGAACCAAGCGAACCAGAGCTTGGTCCACTTCCACGACAAGTTTGCCGCCTCCGACTTGCACGGCTTAGGCAGTGACTTAGTGTCAGAGAGAAAAGATACCGTCTATGGCAGCTCCATCGCCACCGTGGGCTCCTCGTTGTCGTGTAAGTTGCCGTATCTCTTCAAACTCGACACCCCCGTGAGATTCTCCGTTTTCGGTAATGTGAACAAGTTGGGTGATGCCTTGTCGCACACATCAGTCTCTGCGGAGTCTCTCAAATCTGTCGCCAGTCTTCAGGCCTTGAACGAAAACTTCTTGGTCAACTACGGCCTCGGCCTCAAGTACCAGAACGGTGCCGCCAACTTTGACATCTCTTATGTCATGTCGAACCAGAAGTACGCGTCTACCTTCAGACCGGGCCTCCAGTTCAACTTCTCGCTCGTAGGTGTCTACTAAAATATGTACTTGTGAAGGGTGTACTTGCAAGAATGTAGGAAAGATCCCAGAGGGACTATGACGAAAGGTGAATGCGTTAGGCGTATAGAGAAAAGCGCATAAATAGTGAAATGAAGGGGTATTGGTTGAAAGTCGAACAACGATAGAGCGGAGTAGTAAGCAAATTTGAACGAGAGTGATCCCTGGTCTCAGGTATCGATCGAAGAGCTACTGTTTTAGGTAGTGTGGTTTAGCACAATATCGTGTTATGATACTACCTCTTTGCCATTAAATCCCCTAAACTTTATAATTTTTCTCATAAATGGTTATTTCTTGAGAACTAAGGGTCTCGGTTCAACCATTTTCCTGTTCTCCAGTTCAAAGACATATACCTACGCAGAGCCTGTTACACTAACGGATATATAACGGAAATCTACTAACCTCGATTAATAGCCTAGATGTTTAATTGCTCATATAAGCTGCATCTATTAAGATATTGATAAAGTTCCCGAAATCCCTTTGCCTTTTTCTTTTTGGTTTATTTCATTGTTACTTTCTCCTGGTTCTACAAGAGTCGATCGACCCGCATGGCGCAGAAAAAACTTGGGTATTTCGTGCATACGAACACTATCTGGCTCAATCCCATTATGCCCTTTCATCCACGATGGAGCAACATAACGCTGATCTCTTTCGCCTCCTCAGCAATCCGTCTTTTCTACTACGTATTGAAAAGTTTCCCCCTGAATATGCCGCCCAGCTTCACTTTACCCCAGATGCTCTGGGACACGGTGCCAGAAGCGAGATTTTGCTCAACAAGAAGGCATTGTACTTTAAGTTCTTCAAGCCAAACCACGACCTAATAAATGGCCTCATTGGAGATACACTTCATTGGCTGGAGAAGTTGGCTGCCTGTTCCGGTACCGAGTTGGAGGCGATATACCACGCCACGTGCATACTTCTTCTTGTAACGAACGACCACCATACAATCTTGGGTGTTCACAAGCTGATTGTCTATCAAATGGTTGCCGATCCAGTTTTCATTGAAACAGAGTTTTCCCTATTGCAAAACTATCTTCTCTGCAACTTGGACAAGATCAACAAATCGTCCACCCTATGGCTAATGTACAAGAAGGTGGTGGTTATAAGGATTGCAAACGGACAGGATGCCACATCTTTCTTAGACAGCCTTCTCGCCACTATCAAAGGATCGGGCGAATCGCATTATCAGAGCTACTATGCCTGGGAGTTTTGCTCGTGGTTGAGCTGTCTCTTCCGACATCTCGGCTCTACAGGCGTCCCTGAGGGGCCCCGTTACGAAACAGCTGTAAGAGAGATCTACGCCGCAGTCTCAGAATTTTGCCATAGTCACCCCCGCGATCATTCGGCGTGGACGTGTTTGGGGAATGTGGTTATGCCCAGTGAACGGAAGCTAACCCAGGCGGTGCTGGAAACAATGCAATGCTTGCGCGATTGTGCTCCCAGTGGTTTTCACTCAGTAATGGAAAAACCTGGCCCCAGAAAGGGCATTGGCTTTCTCGGTGAAATTTTGCTGGAAGTCACCTGGATTTCAAAGTATGCTCTCAACCAATCATCTAGTGGGTTTATCAAATCTATGGTAGTCCAGGTAGCTGGGCTCCCCAAACTCCTGGGGGTTCTATCAGATCGTTTGGAATCCCTTAAGCTAGAATCCCCGCTGCTTGGGGGCTTGCTAGAATCCGTGGTATTTACCAATGGCTATTGGGATGTTATGGGGGTCCCAGTGTTTGATGACGATTTGATTTCCAAAGCTAAAATGAGTGACATGGTGGAGCTATACAGGTTGGTCGAATGGCTCAAACGTTTTGCCACCAGCTAAAGCCGTAATGACAAAACAGAGCAGAACAGGACGTCCCGAAATGCAATTTTCTGATAGTCTACGGGTATACTGGTATCTTTGTCTATCTATTCAACAACTGATATTAGAAGATTCCGAAGTGTTAACCAGGAAACGTTAGCCCCAGCGGAGTATACTCATCTGCATTCTCATGTGAACGAATTCCCGGTTAACGGCTCTTCCGTTCTTAGCACAGTGTTTCCTATCATATCTACATATCAATAGTATCTGTCACAAAAAAGGAATTTCTCAGAATGCAACTTTATCTCGATTTAAACCTGAACTTCGGCTCGTCGTAATCATCGTCCTCTTCGTCCACTATCTCGGCGTAGGACATTCGACGGGGGGTCTTTCTCGGAGGCGTTCGCACCCTCAACACCGCGCGCAGCCCTTTCGCAAATATTGGCGCTTCTCCCTCGGAATCGGAAGCATCCACAAAGAGGCTAGTACTTTCCTGCTCAGTTGCAGGGGTCTTGTATCCTCTATGGGAAAACTGGAAGCCGGAGGTGTCTCCCTCCTTGCTATCCACTTCGTCTTGACTCTTTGGAATAGTGCGGCGGTCCTCAGGAGGTTCCCCGTATCCGTCGTTCTCAAACGTGTCCACGCTGTTGCCGGTGTTTTGGGCCAAATCGTACGCCTCCAACCAGATGTATTGCTTGGCGGCCCGCGACGGATCCGCAGAATCACTGGAATCCGCCCTGCTCCGCTTGATAAACTTCTTGAAGTTTTTTTTGGCCTTCCATTCCGGCTTTATCATCGACACCCGGTCTCTGAGCCTGGCGTCGAGCTTCGACAGGGAGAGCATGCGGTCCTTGTTGCGAAGAAACGTGTCGTCCATGGTTTCCACGATCGCCAAATCGCGCATAGACTTGATATACTCCTCGTCGTAAATGTCGTTTTCCTTATTTTCTTCCGCCTCGGTCTTGACCTTATCGTCCTTTTGGTTTTTAATCGCCTCGTAGAGCGTCACTTTGCGGCGTCGCTTCACCTCCGGTTTCCCAGCCGACTCCTCATTCGCCAAGCGCTTGTGGTCCTTCACCTCCGTCCTGGCGTTATTTCGCTCAATCTGGGATAGCATGATAGTACGAGAGTTGGTGGCTTTCTGGGGCTGTGCTTCTTCCAAGACGGCAATCTTCTCCTCTGGTAGTCTCACATGCTTCATCACCTCTGGTTCGGATTCTGGCAATGGCTGTGTTTCCGGCTTGGACTCGGCGTCCCCGAGACTAAAGAACAATTCAATCGCGTTATTTTTTCTCTTCTTCTCTCGCTCTTGGCGTCTTCGTGCAAGCGCAGATTTCCCCGAAATCGTAACCTTCCTCCGTTTAGGGTCGCTTTCGTCTATCAATCCAGGCTCGGTTCTCTTTGCCGGTCTTGTACTTTTCAATTGGGAAATGTCAATGTTTTTGATGCTTTCGCAGATGTGCAGATTCTCAGTAAAGATCACGTTGTCTTTTCCGTAAATGGCCACCAGCAATTGGTAGAATGGTGACAAATCCACTGGTGCGACATCTGATGGGTTCTCCAAACGTAAATTCACCAAGACGATACGCTCAAACTCCGGTAACGACCCCACACCGGTAGCAAGTAGTTTTGCGTATTGCGAGACATCTGTATTTTGGTCCAAGGGAAAGAGCAAGACCTGGTCGCAGCCGCAATTGCGCAAAATTTCACTGTATAGTTTGTACTGAAGCCTGTCAAAAAGCACAAAGATGGAGTGCATAAACAAGGTGGTCCGCAGAGTGCTGGAACCCACTGGGAACATAATTGCGCGGTCTAACTCCACTTTGGGGGTAACTGAAATATACGGGATCGGTGTTTCCCGGTTCACGTGGCCCACCCATGACTCGACGAGTGTCCTTAGGAACTTGTGGCTTACCAACCGGATCGTGGGACAGGCTAGTGAGTACACCAACTTGAATGACGTGTCGCTGTTAAGGGCTGGAGAGGCGTCGTCCACTACGAAATGGGTGGTCTCGGCTGTCATTGTGGAGGCAGCACGGACATCCAAAGCAACTCCTACCGGCAACTGCGTTTTGATGTACTTGTCTGGAGCGCATCCATCTATCGATTCCCGTGACAGGTACGATAAATTAAACGGAATCCACTGTATGTTCATCAGCGTCGCGTGCTTGCTTGCACCGATCATTATCTCGTTCTGGAGTTCCAAGCGTAGCGGAGTTTCCGTTTCGGGATCATATTCCAAGGAGATTACAGGAGAGCCACTCTTCACCCGAATTGCATCAAGGGTTCCATTAAGAAACGACGGCAGATGGCTGAGAAACGTCACTGCAAGGGGCGTCACATATTGGAAATCGTCTAACCGGGACGTGTCAAGTTCCCCCACACAGACTCTGAGATGTTTTTTGCTGACGTGGCTTTTGTTGATGCTGATGTGGTTTCCTGACAGCTGCAGCCTTCCAACGAGGTATTCAGTCCCTGGAACAAGCAGGTACTGCTGGGTTTGTACCCCGTCTAGGTGTACCGATAGTACCCACATTCATGTAGTGGAGGAGGAAGATGGAGAAGGGTTGTAAATGTTAAGGATAGAGGTTAGCCAACTATGTGGCGCCTAGTATAGGTTGATGTATGTCAAGCTCACGTCGTAGTCTTTTCGCGTCGCAGTCTTTTCGTGTCGCAGTCTTTTCGCGTCCTGCATTCACCCAGGGGCTGGATAGTCGGGGTTGAAGTTTCGAAGGGCCGATTGCGATAGGTCAAAGGAATGGTAACAGTTGTTTGGAACGCGGTTGCGAGTTTGGACATCGTTTTTACCGGTTTGTGATTGTTCCGGGTAGTTGGTGTGAGTGCATGTATTTTGCCCAATGATAGGAAGGCGCTGAGATAAAATTGTGCCTTTTATGAGTACAGCGAATCCATGGTGTACCTATTTTTGCAATATCTTAAAGCTATGCAAAGTATCAGTATTTAGGCGTATATTTGTTTTCTTGTAGTGTATAATCATGAAAAAATGCTACAATTATATAATATATGAGGTGGATGCTTGTTATATATTTGTATATTACTATTTATATATAGTTATATATAGCCTAACTCCTGGTACACGTATATTTTCATATATAAAAATAAATATATTAATTACACTGAGCCATATCTTTCAGCTGTGTAGCAACCCTTTGATATATCAATCAATTTACATTAGATAGACCTCTTTGTTCTTTGGACTATTTTAAATCTATATTTAACAATATAGATTTAGTGTCCAGAAGGGTACAAAAACCCATGATATACACGGGATTCTCGATATATGCTTATATTGAATTTTTCAAACCTGTATTATTTTCGCCATGAAGTTTTATGTATAGCGAGCCATAAAAAACTTTAAAAAAAGGGACGATCTCGGTGAGGGTCGAACTCACGATCTTGTGATTAACAGTCACACGCCTTAGCCAACTTGGCCACGAAATCACCACTATTGGAAACAAAGTGATAGGGTGTGCTACACCAAATAGATCTGTGCGAGCCTTATCAAAATTCAAGGTACCTGAAAAATTTAATGCCTTATTGCCTCACGTATCACTTGGAACAAACTTCATTTTCATGCGGTCCTACTGGACCCAGAGTTGTCTCAGATCCGCATGATACAGCTTTTCACATACTGTTAGGATTGAGACGTGCATCTTTCCATTGTGATGGTCAAATTCTCGCTATACGAGACCTTCCGCCTCCTTCACTAAATATGTTATAATAAATCAACTAATGCAAACATCAACGCTCGTCTGCCTTAACATAATTGGACAGAATGTAAGATTTGTTGTCACTTCTTCTCGGAAAACCAGGTACGGCCCATTTTTTTTTTTTTTTTAAAACTGGACCATCTATCCCTACGAGACACCTCTGACATGACAGCCTCGGATCTTCCGTGTTCGAGGTCAAGTCGTGTGGACATATGCCCATAAAAAGATGGGGCGCATGTCCGTATGCAAGGGTACGTCTCCATTGTCCCTCATTTTGGTCAGATCGTTTCCCCTAATTCTCAATTTATAGCTAATTGGTTTACCGAAGACCGCGAATCTCTGTCATGGGTGTCCCTTGAAATCCGCCTGATAAAGCCGCACTCCCCTCAGTCTAGACCGCGTATGGCCAGCCGCCTAGAGCAGAGCCACGAATTACATCAAGATTAGCAAAATCGTTGAAAAAAAGAATCAAAAGCTATGGGCGTGAAGCCACGGAAATAGACGAGAACCTGCCAGGCCCTATTTGCACCAGCTTTTAACAAGTAAAAAACCAGCTTACCCCTACGCTTGCTTTCGTGTCGATAAACTGTTACCAACTTTCATTAAAATTAATACAGCTTTTAGGACAAAGCCATACTTCCAATAAACTAGAAGCTAAAGTGCTTAAAACATACCCATACAGGCGATTTTATAAAGTACGTTAAACGTAAAAATACCGACGTTCAATCCGTAAATTCACGGCATTGCTTACTGTCCGGGGTCACTAGGCTTAGCGAGTCTAATGATTGTGCAGACGCATGCGAATTAGTCTCTCATTTCGCACGTCATGTTCGCGACCTCGTAGGGCCACGCGTACATATACAATTTGGAACAGCGTTTTCTTTGATTCCATCGATGATATAAAACACTCACAACCACCCAAGCAGTTTAATTATCTGCTCAATCCAGACCTCTAGCATAACCGTACACAATGCTCAATGCTAACCAACGCAAGTTGAGATTGATCGGTCTCTCCACGTTCATCATCTGTTTGATCGTCTTGCTTGTCAGAAATCAATATGGCGACAGCTCAAAGTCTCTCTCCAAGAGTACCGGCAAAACCACTACTGGCGGCAAAGAAGCCGGATTGGGAAAGACTACCAACCCCAAGATCTCTAATTCTGGCAAGATCGGAGGCGCGGATGACCTTCCCCCATCCATAGGCTCACCAGGTAAGAAATCTGGCAAAGGTGATTACGAAGCAGTCATTAAGCAGCACCACGACTCCAGTCAAAAGCACCCTAACAAAAACGAAGTACTCAAATCAGAAGAGGAGAGTGGAGGCAAGGATTTGACCACCGAACAGGGCTCCGTGTTTGACCCGGCCAAGGAATTCAACGGCATTCTCGCCCTTTCCCCCGTGGTCATCTTCTCCAAATCCTACTGTGGATATTCGACAAAGTTGAAGAAGTTGTTGAAGGCACAGTATGACATCACTCCCGAGCCAACGATCGTCGAGCTTAATCAACACGATCACGGTATCGAGTTGCAGAATTACATTAAGGAAAAGTCCGGCCGCAGAACTGTGCCAAACATGTTTGTCGGTGGCACCTCCAGAGGGGGCTGTGACGAAATCGTAGCCCTCCACGAAAAGGGTGAGTTGTTGGAAAAGCTTCGCACCTGGGGCGAGAAGCACGTGAAGGTCGAAAAGAACCCGGGCCATTAGAAATGACAGGGTGAGCTAATAAGGATAAAAACAATAGGAACAATTTTCACCTTTGCAGAATAGTAGAAACTCTTTTTGTAATTGAATTATACTATTAGCGTAATGCTTTTGTACACGCTATGGAGACTCGAAGGATCATAGATTTGACGCAAGAATCTTTGACTAGTACCTGATGACCTTTTGAATCCGACGGAGAATTTGCGAGTTTCCGTCTTACTGGCTAAATTGTTCACTGTGGCCCTTGTCCGTATGACTACTACACTGAAATGTTCTCTTTCTCTGGTAGTCCCTGTGTTCGCGAGAGCAAGTTCCTCAATCTTTTTCTTCATACAATGACAATTGCGCTACAAGAATCCAAGTAAAAATAATGCTATTAATGAGATTTGGAATATTTCCAGGACTGATCCGGATAAGACGTTACATAACCTCCAACTCACCTGCCCTCTCCCTGTTTGTGTATCCTGCAGACACGCTGAAGATCACAACATGCAACATGAACGGGGTTGATCATGGACTGCTGATTTCACCCAGCCCATTAGACAGGCTTCCAACCGTGACAGTGAAACGCTTTGCCAGGCTCAACCACAAAATTCTCTAGGAGCTTCCCCGTTACATACTTATCCCGTGGTGAGCATAAACTTTGTCCTAGAACCAACCTTGACATCCACTGCTCCATTGAAGTGATTGGAGCGCCTTACGTATAAAGAAACGTACAACCAGCCATTCCAAAAGCCAAGACGGAGTCATCCACCAAAGATACAGAAATTGGGCTATCACCGTTCTCTCTTGTACCACAGTCCATCTACAGTTGGAATCGAAACTTTGAAAGATTACAATCTTTAGCCTGTTTAAGAAAGAGGTATCCCAGTGAATTTTCCCAATTAAATGACTGGAAACTCGAAGCAAGACGTCCGAAGACAACTCTTCAAGGGGATAACTGGTCGGCGCCACCTGGTGTCCCAACCACCGGAATCCGTTCCTGCCTCTGCCCCAGAGTTTCCCCATCTCCCAACGGTCTCAGTCCCTGAAATAGAATCATCCACGACCCCCACCACAACATCTACACTATTTGCCTCGCCAGTGCCACCAAAAGATGCAGATGAGTCGCTACAGGCGGAGCAGTCGCTTGAGTTCATTCAACCGACCCACCGCCGCTCGGTCCTCCTCAGCGGCGGCTTTCGGCCCACCAACCCCATGGTCATCCCTGCTACCCCGGGGAATCTCACTGATACCCCAGCTGGACCGAACATAACCATTAACAGCACCTCGAGCGTGGCCACCACCAACACGTTTAGCCGGGGGAAGTACACGTATCCGAGACAGGATGCCGGCCGCCACCCCAACCATAACCTGAGGGCCCCCGAGAGAAACGATTCGCGTATCGGGTACACCAAGAAATGCTTGTTTCTAGACGAAACACCTGAACGGCCAGTGGTTTCCCCGGGGCGAGTCTCCGGGTATGACTACAACGAGGTGTTTTGCAGTGCCCATCCGCTTCGCCACTCCAAGCTTGTTGCTCTCGAGCAGGCAGAGAGCAGCTCTAAAGCAGTGTTCCGAGGGTACTACGGTGATGATAGCGACGATGACTCCGACGAGGAGGCGAAAATGCCCAGGAAACACAGCCGGTCGATATTTGACGATTCTGCAGAAGAAGACAACATCCTCATCTCAGTGCCAGGCGAGAACGATCGTGCGAGTGACATTTTCGACATGGAGCCAAAGCCCCTTAAGCGAAGCAAGAAGTTTTCGGGGATCGCCCCAAGGGGGATCAGCCTAGCCAGGCCCATGGACGACGATCCGGTCGATTCCATCATTAACCAGCACTTGCAGAAGCTCAAAATCGCGTTTCCCTTGATGGCCAGTAAAAAAACTGGATCAAACACCGGCGATTGGCTCACAGATGATGAGATTATTCGATTCTCCGAGTTGAACGACGAGTACGAGTCCGAGTTGCAGCAGCTTCACGAGAGCAACGCCGCCGCCAAGAAGAACTTGCAAGCGGAGTATGAGACATTGAAGCTGTATGTGGCCGATCCACAATATGAGGACAAAATGGGAGAAATCAGGGACTTGTTGGTTGAGCTGATGCGGAAGCGGGTCAAGGGGTACGACGAGGAGAGGGACGATACGTGGGGTGAGGCCGACGAGTCGTTCTAGTGTTGGGTATTGTGACTCCGAACGTTTCTTGAGTCAGTCAGAGTAAGACCTGGATATTTCACTGTTGTGAAACAATATTTGAACGCAAGCCTAATTGGAGTCGAGCATACATCATTTGGCGCGGTGGATGACTAGTAAATAGCACATCGAATACATAGGTATGAGATTAAATAATGCACTGATGGATTTTTACTCGCAATGCTTTCTTTATTCCAATGCCTATTGTTTCATTGTTAAGAGAGAATATAAAAAGGACGTTGAACTTCCTTTTGGGGGTATTCTAAGGAAGCAACGGAAATCTCCTTACAAGAAAAAAAAGCAAGTTATGGGGCAAAGCTTCCGCTAAAATATCTAAACAAAGTCCCACAACCTACTGTCTACATTATATTTTATCTGTGTATAAAGGTTAAAACCTTTTTAAATGTATCTTGTAGCCAGGCTCTCTGAATAGTACCATACTCTCAGGAATTATTAACTTTGATAATATGACTGAGGGTTACAGGAAAATGGCCCCACAAAGAAAATAAAATGGAATGGTCGAATTCTATCAACAACCCCCGAATTTCAGCTCCCCTGATTATACCCTTTTGAAAGCTAGCAGCCCATTATTTTGCTGCCTTTACAGGACAGAAGCGACAAGTCATCGGCGTACCGATGAGGCCCTGAACGCTAAAATATGTGCAGGTCGCACAAACAATACTGACGTCATAGGAAACAGTCTGGCTACCCAGTTCATCCACACCATACCTGATCCAACATATCTCAAACATGAATCGTTTACCAGATAATACAGTTACAAACAATATACCATTTAATAGTTTGTTTTTATGTAAAAAAAAAACAACAACCCTGATACCTTCCCTCTTGGCGCCTTCGGTCAGCTCGGCTGCCAGGTACCGGCAGGCTGTGCTGCGCACGCTTGTTCGGGGGCTGTACCGCAACTCGAGCTGGCAATTGCCGTTAATAAATTCCCACAACCCCGCTTCAATTGAACACGCCCAATTCCTGCTTCAAGCATCAATTGATTGACATGAACATTTTAAAGTATCAAAAGAAGTACCCGGTTCTCGACCAGTCGGACCTCTTCAAGGTGATCGAGGACTTCCGTGCCATTGACCTCGAGGACAAGGGCTGGGTAGCGAAGCAGAAGGTGATCGAATACGCAGCCAAGAGTGAGGGGACCTACGATGAGGTTCGTGAGACGATGAAAAATGTCAGCGTCGATGCGTCTGGCCACGTTGAGTTGGACGATTACGTGGAGCTCATTGCGAAGTTGCGCGAAGGCTCGCGCTCGCTCCAGGTGCCACAGGCGGCACACGATAGTGTGTCTCCGGCCGCGACCGGGCGTGTCGGCACAGGTCACAAGACGCGCATTGTCGTGGGTGGGCGTAGTGCCGATACGACTCACTCTATCAATGAGGAGGAGCGCACGGAGTTCACGCGCCATATCAACAGCATCCTCGCGGGCGACCCTGACGTCGGGGACCGTCTTCCGTTCCCAACTGACTCGTTCCAGATCTTTGACGAGTGCCGTGATGGGTTGGTGCTCTCGAAATTGATCAACGACTCGGTGCCCGACACGATTGACACGCGTGTGCTCAATTTCCCGACGAAGAAACCGTTAAACAACTTCACTATGAACGAAAACGCTAATATCGTGATCAACTCTGCCAAGGCGATCGGCTGTGTGGTGGTTAATGTGCACTCCGATGACATCACCGAGGGCAAGGAACACTTGATCTTGGGGCTCATCTGGCAGATTATCAGACGTGGTCTCTTATCCAAGATCGACATCAAGCTCCACCCTGAGTTGTATCGTTTGCTCGAGGATGATGAGACGTTGGAGCAGTTTTTGCGCTTGGCGCCGGAACAGATTCTTCTCCGCTGGTTTAACTACCACTTGAAGGCGGCCCAGTCGCCGCGTAGGGTGGCCAACTTCTCCAAGGATGTGTGTGACGGTGAGAACTATACCGTCTTGTTGAACCAGTTAAAGCCGGCAGAATGCTCCCTCGCGCCGTTAAAGACGGCGGACCTTAACCAGCGTGCAGAACAGGTCTTGCAGAACGCGGAAAAGATCGGCTGCCGCAAATACTTGACCCCGACGTCACTTGTGGCCGGGAATCCAAAGTTAAACTTGGCGTTTGTGGCGCACTTGTTCAACACCCATCCAGGATTAGATCCTATCGAGGAATTTGAGGCGCCGGAGATTGAGGAATTCGACGCGGAAGGCGAACGTGAGGCCAGAGTGTTTACGCTCTGGTTGAATTCGCTCGACGTGGACCCAGCGATTGTTTCGCTCTTTGAGGACTTGAAGAACGGTACCGTTTTGTTACAAGCCTTTGAGAAGGTCATGCCGGGCTGCGTCAACGCGAAACGTGTTAACAAGGTGCCTGCTTCCGGCGAATTATCGCGCTTTAAGGCATTGGAAAACAACAACTACGCGGTCGAGGTGGGCAAGGCCAACAGCTTTTCGCTTGTGGGGATCGAGGGGTCTGACATTGTGGACGGTGTTAAGGTGTTGACCTTGGGGCTTGTCTGGCAGTTGATGAGACGCAACATCACCCTCACGTTGAACGCGTTGAGCGCCCATGGCGAGATTTCCGACAAGGATATCTTGAAGTGGGCCAACACGAAGGCTGGAAGAAACCCCGTCAGGTCGTTTGGTGACAAGTCCCTTGCGAACGGTATTTTCTTCCTTGATATCTTGCACGGCTTGAAGCCGGGCTATGTGGACTATGATTTGGTCAATGGGGGTGACAGCGAGGAGGAGATCTATGCGAACGCAAGATTGGCGATTTCGATCGCGAGAAAGTTGGGTGCGTTGATCTGGTTGGTTCCGGAGGACATCAATGAGGTTAGAAGCCGTTTGATTTTGACGTTTGTGGGCTCATTAATGTCGTTGGAGCTCTAAGCAAGGCGGATACCAGAGGATTTATTGCAAGGGCTAATGCTGGAGGGTATGCCCGACGGCCCCTTTTGTTTGCTTGGTTCCTTTTATTCCTCTTTTGCGGGGAGTTTCCCGCGACATTTCATGGCTTAATTGTGCTGTGGGCCAATTAGGGCCCAGGCCAGTTGGAATCTGGACCAATCATTTTCCAGATCCCTTTTATGTTTACCTCTTTTTTTTATGGCGTTCGTGCCTTTTCGTGTCCTTGACATTTACGATGTATTACTTTTGCAGAGATGTAGGTTTAGAGCGAGACAAGCCACCTTGCTAGCTCAAATATAGGAGGAAGGAGTATCGGGTTGATTATGAAATAACGAAAGAGAATAAGTGTGAGGAATAGTTTTCTGGCTTGCCACGGCAAATACAAGGTGAATGTTTCAATGGGCAGGAAAACCTCAAAATCCAGAAGCTGGGCTCAGAACCTCAAAGGCTTATCTGGGGACACTAGCCAAGAATTTTCGTGTGGGGTCAAACGATTGTTTGTCGTGGTGTATTCTCGCAGGTCTCTTCATCTGTGGATGCTAACTACTTGGTTTAGATATATCCCTATAGTTCCATTATTCTGAGTCCTGACAGATATCCCCTTTCATTTCTTATTTTGCGGTAAGCCCAAACCAATCGCGCAGATCAAAACCAACTCTATGCCTGCTGAGCTTATAAAAATCACCGTTCTTTACTTCGGTCCGGCAAAGAAATTTACTAACGAGACCCCGGAAGACCGAATCACGCTCCAAGGCGCTTCCTTAGCCGAATTATACGCCGCCATCGCCGATAAACATGGCCACGAGTTCGTAGAATACGTACGGCAGAGCTGCGGGGTAGTTGTCAATATGGACTACGTGGACCAAGAAAACGCCGAGGAGGTTATATTAGCGAATGGCGACGAGGTGACGATTGTCCCCCCTGTTAGTAGTGGATAGGCGGCATGCGAGTTGCCACGCCCCCACCCGAGGTAGCTGACCCTTTGCCCCGGGCGGCTAACTTTGGGGGGTAGTACCACAAAGCGATGCAAGTTTAAGGCAGGAAGAGCCATATTCCGTTACCTATGTTTGTGTTGCCGAAAGAGTAGCTCTATTATGAATGTACTAATGTCTAGGAGCTACTGGTCATGACTTTGAAGGGGAGGACCAAGGAAATAATTTCTTCCGGGTATGAGCCAATTGTGCCGTCTGTGAGAATTTCTGAATCGGCTGTATGTCAACAAAACGGTAGCTTCCAGCAGACATAGACCAAAGGACGGGGATATGCATAGGCCATTTCCATAACGGAGACACCATCTTAGCTTGGGCCTCATATACTATAGAATAGCTGCCCGGTACACAGGTGACGCACATAATACACGGAGAAATGATGTCCCAGTACCACGTTCCAATCTTCAGCCATATTTTGCAACATAAATTACAATTGAGTTGTATCGTATAATAAACCACCCAGGATGTCCACTGCCTCTATAGGTTCCACTTGGGTATTCCTGGTCCCGATATCCACACTTCCGTCATCGTGCAGCAACGCGACGACTCTTCGGGTCAAACTCACGCAATTGAAGCATATTGTACCCCAAAATTTAGCAAAATATTTTAAATGTATCCAATCTTAGCACATACGGATCTAATCAAGCCTTGAAGACTCCTAGCCTAAGTCAGTATGATTTTATTGTTTGTAGCTCTAGGTGCCTCCTGCACGAAGTTTCCGCCCCTACCGCAATTCTTATCCGGCAGCAATCCGGCCGCTGGCACAACGGGGGGGGACAACTAGGACGTCTTTAACTCTAGACATATCTATTTATCCAGACAATTCCCTACTCTTTGGCTCTTTCCTTCCCAGTTGTTCACTCGCTTCGCAATTGCTACATTATGCTCTCCCCCACCGACCCCCAGTTCAGTGGCTCATCTGGCCGTATCATCAATGTGACCACGACCTTGCCTACGCAGATCTACAAGAACGACGAAACCAACGGCGAATGGGCTATCAGACCCATCAGCGGAAATTCCGCGCTCTACGCTTCCCACAGGTTCCTCGAGTCCTCCAGCTGGGAGACCCATATCGTGGGCTGGACCGGCGAGTTGCATTACTCCACGGCGATAATCCCACAGCACCACGGAAACGCGTCCAACACTACGCACTCCAACAATAACGAGTTGGAGGAGTGTGTCCACGCATCTGCCGACCGCACCGAAACCGACCCATTGTACCTCAGCGAGGCAGAAAAGACGGCCATTGAGCGGAAGCTCCAGCCGGGGGAGAAGACTACTGTGCACCCCGTGTGGCTTTTGCGCAAGGACCAGCTGCGCTGGCGTCATTACGCGGAGGAGTTCCTCTGGCCGGTGTTCCACTACATCCAGCCAGATCCCGCCACCATGGATGGCAAGTTTGAGACAGAGGCGTGGCGTGACTACGTGCGCTTTAACGAGGCGTACATGCAAGCAATCGCCGACGTATACCAACCAGGTGATATCATCTGGATCCATGACTACTACCTCTTGCTTCTTCCGCAGCTTGTGCGCATGCGCTTTCCGGATGCGCGTGTCGGCCTTTACGTGCACGCGCCGTTCCCGTCCTCGGAGTACTTCCGCTGCTTGTCGCGCCGCAAGCAGCTTCTTGACGGGATGTTGGGCGCTAACCAGGTGGGCTTTCAGTGCGCCAGCTTTGTTAGACACTTTATCTCGTGCTGCACGCGTCTTTTGGGCTGCGAAGCCACCCCCAGCGCCGTCTCCGCGTATGGGCTGGACGTGGCCGTCTTCACCTTGCCCATCGGCGTAGACGTGGATTATATCCAGAGGGAGGCTTTCTTGCCAGCAGTTGACGAGCGCCTCCAGGCCATTCGCGAATTGTATCCAGGCAAGAAGTTAATCGTCGGCAGGGACCGTTTGGACGCTGTCAGAGGGGTTGTCCAGAAGCTAGAGGCCTTTGAGATGTTCTTGTCTATGTACCCCGAGTGGCGCGAAACCGTGGTGTTGATCCAGGTCTCGTCCCCGACCTACGCCACCTCTGCGAAACTCGAGCGTAAGGTGAATGAGTTGATTGCGAGCATTAATGGTGAGTATGGCCTGCTTGAACACACACCCGTCCAGCACTACCAGATGCGCGTGATGAAAGAGGAATACTTTGCGTTGTTGCGTGCGGCCGACTTGTCTATCGTCAGCTCCATCCGCGACGGCATGAGCACCACGTCGTTGGAGTTTGTGGTGTGCCAACAGGGCAACAGCTCGCCATTGATATTGTCTGAGTTCACGGGTACCGCCTCTGTCTTGAAAGATGCGTTCTTAGTCAATCCCTGGGATGCCGTGGGTGTTTCCAGGAGCATTAACGAATGCTTGTTGATGTCTGACGAGAAGAAGCTAGCCAGGCAGACGAAGCTCTTAGCGGAGGTCCAGGCGAACACCGTGCAGCTGTGGACCAACGCCTTTGTTTCGCGTTTGATGACGTCGGAAACGGTTCCGCTGGTCACCCCTGCGTTGAACCGGCCGTTGGTGTTGGCCGAGTACCGGGCTGCCAATCGCCGCTTGTTCTTGTTCGACTACGACGGAACCTTGACCCCGATCGTCCAGGACCCCGCCGCCGCAACCCCCTCGCACAAGCTCGATATCTACCTCGACCTGTTAGCGGAGGACCCTAAGAACCAGGTGTGGATAATCTCGGGGCGTGACCAGGCCTTTTTGGAAAAGTGGATGGGTGGAAAGAACGTGGGCCTTTCCGCGGAGCACGGTTGTTTCATGAAGGATTTGGGGTCTCACGAGTGGGTAAACTTGGCAGCGGAAATCGATATGCTGTGGCAGAAGAAGGTGGAGGCGGTGTTCCAGAAGTACACTGACCGCACCCCGGGCACCAATATCGAAATGAAGAAGGTGGCCGTCACCTGGCACCACAGACGGGCCGACCCGGACTTTGGGAACTACCAAGCCGGCGAGTGCTACCGTGAGCTCATGGCCACCATCGCCATCACATATGACGTGGAGGTGATGATCGGGAAGGCAAACATTGAGGTGCGTCCCAAGGTGTTGAACAAGGGTGAGATCGTCAAGCGCTTGGTTAGAGCTAATCACGGGGCCAAACAGGGGTCTGCCGCTTCCATGCCTGAGGGTGATGTTGCGGACTTTGTGTTCTGCGCCGGTGACGACTTGACCGACGAGGATATGTTCCGGGCGTTGAGCGAGGTCGAGATCGACCGCGTGCAGAAGGGTTACACCAGGAACCAATGGAATGGGTTTGGGGTCCATCCCGTCGCAGTAGGGCCTGCATCGAAGAAGACCACTGCCACCGCTCATTTAGTCGATCCCGCGGCGGTAATTGAAACCATTGGCTTGTTTACGGGCCATGTATCGATCTTTGAGGCCGCTGGAACGGTGGAGCTCGACGACAGGGGTCACATTGCCGGCAGTGAGTCGTCGGTGAGGGCTCTTTCCCGTACCATTGCCAGCACAAAGATCTAGTTCAAAGATTGTGGTCTCTGCTAGAGCTGCGTAAGAAAAGGCTTATTTAATTTTTTTCCCTCTATAGTATATTAATACACTGTTGTTTGCCAAAGTGGTGATCAGAAAGCTTAGATTATGAGTGGTACGAATGGTTCTGGAGAGAGGTGCATATTCTTAATTCGGCTTGCATATGCAACATTGGAGAACATAAAGTTGTGCGTCTTCAACAGACCTGAGAACAAGAGGCTATGAATCTTCAGCAGACCGGAGAACAAGAGTCCCCGTGTGCATTCAGCAATTTGGAGAACTCGAGTGGATTCTGTTACAGGTGGGATGTGGGGGACTTCGAGTGTAATCGCTGGTTGCATATGTGGAGCGAAAGGTCAGAGGAGCGTGTTTTATTTTTCCAGTAGCTCTTCCACCTAGAATGGGATTTTTATAACTGATTTCAAAATAATGTCCACCAAAAGGCGGAGGAGACTTAATATTCGATTAAAACATATCAATGCATACCTCTATGAGATACAAGCAGAGGTACATGCGTGATCTACATTACCAGTACAACTTGCACGGCTGTTATACTAGCCGACTTTATTTCGTCATGGCCCTAACACACGTTTAAAGCCTTGAATTGGACTAAAAATTTAAAAGTTGGCATAGCCAGGATTTCTTGTCTCTTTGGAACGGCGACCTTGACTGCTCCAACCACTTTGGCTCGTATGCACATTACGGTACTACTCTGGATTTAAGACAAAGATATTTGAGGCACGCAATAACACTAACGCTCCATTTCCGACCCTTTACTCCATGAGGGAATATTCCGAGCTTTTTGTCGCCAGACGGAAGGATAGTCACATTCGTGGTTGACGATGGCTTCTAGTCAGCATGCTGGACCTTATCAGTGCATAACTACCTTTCCTATCTTGCATACAGTCAATATAACGGATTTTCTAACGGTTTAATACAAGGTCGTGCAGTGTGAATACTCACGTGTCAAATGATTGGCTTTTCGCATCTGTGCGCTTTTCGAAGGGAGAAAAACACAGTCACAAGCTTCCTGCAGTATCGTCTTCTGCATTAGGCAAGTGACTTGGTTTTTTAGGTATCTTTGTGCACGTGACCCACCAACCGTTCTCTCTACAGGCTTGCCGGACGAAAAATTTTCCACCTCCGATCCGCTTCCCCCCAAAATCTTCCGCTAACACCCTCACCATCGGCACGGGTCGTCTGATGGAGAATTCCTACTAACAGTTTTCGTCGTGCCCGACACATACCCTCTCTGGTAGACAGAAACTTTCGCGGTGCGCCAGCATCCTCCCGTCGCCAGCCAGTCCCTTGTATGGGTGGGAATTTTCACTTCTTACTAAAAAAAAAGCTATCCAAAAAAAGCACACCATACCATAATAAAGACTTTCAATCAAACATAATCGGCAAAGATGGCTACTGAATTGACTGTGCAATCTGAAAGAGCTTTCCAAAAGGTTTGTACACGCTTACAGAACCTCGTTATTTTCGTTGGTGGGAGAGTCCAGAAACGTTGTCCCGAAGCTACCAACTGAATGGGTGTTATATTGGCCCCGTGCAGTCCAATAGAGACTGCTATTAGAGTCACACTCTGAACTTGACACCCACGTTACCTACGGAATCGAAAGGTTCAAAAGGCTGAAATGATCCCCTGCGAAAATGACGAATGACACACCAAGACGAATACTAACCCGCCCTAGCAACCTCACATCTTCACCAACCCAAAGGCCAAGGCCACCAGAAGATCTAAGAGATGGGTCAAGAACGTTGGTTTGGGTTTCAAGACCCCAACCACCGCCATCGAAGGTTCTTACATTGACAAGAAGTGCCCATTCACCGGTCTTGTTTCCATCAGAGGTAAGATTTTGACTGGTACCGTCGTCTCCACCAAGATGCACAGAACCATCATCATCAGAAGAGAGTACTTGCACTACGTTCCAAAGTACAACAGATACGAGAAGAGACACAAGAACTTGGCCGCTCACTTGTCCCCAGCTTTCCGTGTTGCCGAAGGTGACATCGTCACTGTTGGTCAATGTAGACCAATCTCCAAGACTGTCAGATTCAACGTTGTCAAGGTTGCCTCTGCCGCCAAGTCTAACAAGCAATTCTCCAAGTTCTAAGCAACTCGAGTACTTTTTTGTATCTATATAACGTATAAGAAAATTTGCTGAATTTAAAATCTCTAACGGAATGCGACGTAGTTTTTTTAATGGACCGTCGGCCTGGCTTCAGGCTGGTTGTACTGACAACCGGAGTCAGATGAATGGTTATGGGAATGATTGACGGGAATAAGTTACCGATTTTGTGATTGCTTAACGGTGCGGTAAAGGACTGAGAGTTTAGACCTACGTATTTAACATGATATTTTCCCGTATTTTTTTTTCTTCAGAAAATCAATAAATTCCAGGTACATCGATCATGGATAATACCGCCAGGAGAACGTATAAGACTTCAAGTCCTAACCTTCAAATTACATCCATAGTTCTGTCAAACCAACCAGTAGACCAAGCGAAAAAGAAAAGCATCCTAATCATTTGCCTGAATACACGTTGGAAGGCGATCGGATTACGTTGCGGGTTCATTTTTTAATATGTACCCCAGAGTGAACTTGACTCTAGAAAGAGAACCTTACCTAAACCTCGAACACCGGATCAAAACAATCTTAAGGCTTATTATCCTTACAACTTAAAGCATTCCCCGTTACCGTTCCTCATTACTAATCACCTGGAACTATCTCTCCCGTTCGGAAATGGCTCCCTAGCGACCCCTGACATTGCCGACGCCAAACCTTATGCATGAAATCCGAGCCGAGCTCCGCTCTGTCTCTTCGTATAGCCAAGACTCAACCCCACTTCTGGACAAACCCACCAGCGCCATCTATAAAAAGTCAGAACTTGATCACCAGACTCTTTTATTACCAGATCCTATTACCATGTCCGATTTAGCCAATACCAATCTCTTTGAGCCGCTCCAGGTGGGCCGCTACACTGTCCAGCACCGTGCGGTGCTCGCGCCGTTGACACGTTTCAGAAACGATTCCATCCAGGGCCCTACCGAGCACTCAGTCGAGTACTATGCCCAGAGAGCGTCCAAACCCGGAACGCTTCTCGTGACTGAGGCCACGTTTGTGTCGCCTCGTGCTGGTGGCTACGATGCCGCTCCCGGGATCTGGTCTCCGGAGCAGGCTGCCCAGTGGAAGAAGGTGTTTGACGCGGTCCATGCCAAGAAATCCTTTGCCTTTGTCCAGCTCTGGGCGTTGGGCCGTGCCAGTAAGCCCAAGGCCCTCAAGGCCCGCAACTTGCCGTTTGTTTCTGCCTCTGCCAAGTACATTGACGCAAAGGACCAGGCCAAGGCTGAGACCAGCGGTAACCCCATCAGAGCCTTGTCTACCGCGGAAGTCAAGCAGTACGTTAAGGATTATGCCCGGGCGGCGGTCAGTGCGGTCACGGCCGGGGCTGACGGTGTGGAGATCCACGGGGCGAACGGGTACTTGCCAGACCAGTTTACCCAGCTTATTTCTAATGAACGTACCGACGAGTACGGTGGCAGCGTGGAGAACAGAGCCCGGTTCCTTTTGGAAATCGTGGACGCGGTCACTGCTGCTGTCGGAGATGATCGCACAGGGATCAGATTTTCGCCGTGGGGTGAGTTTGGGGGCATGGGCGGGGCCAAGTACAACCCAGAGGAGACGTTTGGGTACATATTTTCCCAGTTGGAGAAGAGCCATCCAAAATTGGCCTACATCCACTTGATCGAGCCCCGTACTGGCGATTTACACGGCAGCGAACAGACTTTGCCTGGTGACAATGCGTTTGCATGCAAGATATGGTCCGGGCCGATTATCAGAGCTGGAGACTACCATAACCACTTTGATGCGATTAAAAGAGATGTGGCTGACGGTAGAACCCTCATTGCCTTTGGTAGAAGCTTCATCTCGAACCCAGATTTACCAGAGCGATTACAAAGAGGCTGGGAGTTGACCAAGTACGACAGAAGAACGTTCTATTCGGACTCTCCTGTGGGCTATACCGACTATCCGTTCTACCACAAGGAAAAGCTCTAGATCTATGCAGAGGGAGATACGATTTTTATCGGTTAAAACAGCAATACTAGAATAACCAGGTGGCTTACATGGTCTAGCTGTCTTTCACGCCATTATCCTATTATGGGCCGACTAATAACAGGAGTCGGAAAGGGACTGGAGGTCTGGCCTTATGTACAGTATAGTGATCCATACAAATAATCATGATTCAATAGAGTATCAACAGAGGTAAGTAACCCTGAATAAAAGTCAGATATCTATATATACTAGGCTGGAGTAATAGCTGACCAGCGCCTTCACCCACGGATTTATTGCTAGTCACTCTACATAGCTGAAGCACATACCCATTGGGCTTCAAGGTCCGTTATGGGCCGGAGAAAGCTGTTACCTGTGGTTTTTACCCTTTTAGTTTACCGACAATATAAATTTGTGGTCAATAAGTAAACATGACTCAACCTCAGAGGAAACGAACAGACCACACAAGTATGGGGATCAGAAGTTTTTAACAGCCCATGACTTTCTGTTTGAACTGTGGCCATTAGAGCCCATTTCCGCCTCCCGCCCCCCTTACGCTCTGTTCAACGTTTCGAGCAAATTCTTTCTCTTGATCTGACGTCCCAGGCGGCCATGGTCGTTGTCATTCTCGTCGTGGATCGGCTTCGACGCCTCCTTCCCGCCCACCTTTCTGATGGCTATTGGCGACCCTTCAATGGTGGGTAACAACCCCTGGAGATGCGAGTAGTTCTGCTTTTCGCCAAGGCTGCGACTGTGCCCATGGCTGTGTTCGTCTGGTCGGTTTACCCTAACGTTCTGGCTTTGACTGTGGGTAATCGCTCCCTCTGTCTTGGGGATGAGATTCAAGCTCAAGTCTCGCTTCGCCGATAAAGACTGGTGTATGCTGGTGGAACTCGACAGCTTAGGAAACGTTTTTGCCGACAGTTGGTGAAGGGCTACTGATGGATGGTTCAGTGGGAGCGTTGAGGTTCCTTTTGGAGCCCAGCCCTGCTCCTTTCCGGAAACCGGCCTCTGTATTGTGTCCTTAGACACTGGTTTCTGGTGTTTCTCTCTCAAGTTAGGTGTAGAGCTCCCCATGTGGTACGTACTGTTTTTCTGCGCCAATGGGGTGGATGAACTAGATGTCCTGACCAGCGAGAAAAGCCGCTTGAACTTACTAAACCGAGAGTTTACCGTCTCTTGCTTCGCTATCATCTCGTGGAGCTGCTTCATCGACGACGACTTGGGAACTGCTAGCGATGCCTTCGCCACGACCCTAGCCGGCGGGGAAACAAAACTGGCGTTAGGAGAATCACCGGGGATATACTTTGATGGGTCTTTTGTTTTCACCGGCAGGGTGGTGTGTCTGGAGACCTTTGGAGGCTTATTATTAACCTGGAGACCGACTTTCTTCCGGAGTCGCTGGTTCTCTCCTTGGGAAGCAGCCAATTCATTGGTGAGCTTGGTAATCTGTTGCTTGAGGTCGGCAATCACGATCGAATCATTCGTTCGGTTGAGCTTTTCCTTGATTAAATGCTCTCTCTGGACCATTAAATCGTTTTCAAGGATTGCCGTCTTCTCGAGTAACTCGTTATTGGCGTCCCGTAACTGGGTGAGCTGGGATATGATCTGGCGTTCGTTGTTTTCAAATGTGTCGTTCAAGATCTCCACCGTGGTCAATTTCTCCTGGTTAGACTTGAGTTTTCCCTTGAGCGTGGAGGTTGTTTCCTGCTGTTTACCGGTAAGCTCATTTAATTCGTTAGAAAGCCCCTCTAGCTTCAGTTTCAAGTCGCGCAATTGGACATCCTTGGTTGATAGCTGTTCTTGGAGCTGGGTTTTTTCTAGCGCCGCATCCGCGAGTTCCTGCTCCAACTCAAGCTCAATATTCTTGTACACCTTGGTGAAGTCGTTGTACTCCGTCTCCAAGTCACGGATGTACTCTAGTGCCTGTTCGTGGGTGTACTTGCCGTTGGGCGTGCTCGGCAGCGACGACGAGAACGTGGAAACGGGGGAGTCCATTGGAGAGAAGGGGGGTAGTTCACTGGGATGCATAACTGTGAGACTTCAAGCTGTCCGTAGAATTAGCATGAAATGAAATCTTAAGCCCGGAAGCTGTTATATTGGACAACTGGGTGGTGTCATTCCCCAATATCTATCAAGGTGAAAGGTAAACAAAGCAAAAAGATTATATATGATTATGTAAGCGGCATGAATGGAGAAGTTAGAAGCATGCATAGAGTGCTGACTACCCTATCCATCTAGGTTCATTTATCTGGCTTTTGTCATATATTTATGATAATTTAAAGAGAAGTAGCGACTAATTACCTTTCTAGATGGAAGGGGCAAGTTATAAGGGCGATCGAGAGATATATGGGGCAATTTTAATAGCCAGAGATAAAATACTATCTAGCCCACGTAACTGAAAAGTGGTACCTTATCAGTTCCTGCCAGACGGGGGTTACTGCGAAAATACCGTTAGAAAGAAGTGGGTATGGATTTGGTACGGAGGCTTTTATGGAACACAGGGGTGTCATTAACGGAAACTGCAAAGCAGAGTCTTAGACCGCAACTCATTGTTATATCGACTCTGAATGTATCCTTTTAATCGACTGAAAAGAGGTAGATTACATCCGGGCCCTTCGGTTCCACCCCTACCCCCCTCATAGGGCGTGGGCGTTTATTGACTGATATTATTAAGGCCAGACAGAAAGTTGATTTGAACTAAAACATGCAGTTAGTGCTCCTACACCGTGTGTGTCATGAGGTACGATTATCCCAACGTTTTCATGTACCCAGCGGGAAAATACCTCTCCTACCAAGGACCGCTTCAGCTTAACCTTATTCTTCCACTATTGTTTTCGGTGGACGTTTAAAGCAGGAAATTCCGTGGGAGACGTACCAATCTGTTCATATAATCAGTAGGCCCTTGGAATCGATACAAATAGCTGATCAATCTTACATTAGCTGTATTGGCAGACGGACAACGGGTTTGTAAATTAGAATTGTCGATCATTAACTCGGGTGGTTTTCCCCCCTTCCCTTTCAGATCTTGGGGTACTACATCCTTGGTACATACCAAAGCTTAAAGCTATGACCATTACTTTTTCTATCAGAATTTAACCGCTGGCCCAGACCAGTAACATGAGGCAATTAAATAGGACTGCCAAGCCTTTTGACGTCCCAGCTCTGTATGAGTAAGATGGTGACTTGCAACCAAGAGCAAATGCAGGATATCCGTGAAGGTTGACCGTTCTCTCTCTTTCAGATTCACAAAACAGACTACAAAAGGTGCGTTTTTCATTCCTTTTCTAAACCCAAGCACCCCTAGTGTATACCAGCTTGGTATCTGCTATTTTTGGATCCCTTCAATCCACTTCTCGTGTCTTACGGCAAGGGCTATACACGGTCAAGGTGCGAACATGCAGCGTGCATTTCCGACTCACATCCTGCATATTCCCCGAAAAACTTTTATCTAAACCATCACCTAATTGTACCCTTTGGGATTCCTGGCCGACGCTCATCGGTCGCCTCGGTTAGCTTTCAACGGTTTTCTGATTTTGAGCTCACTCTATCACCTAGATCACACTTAGAGTGTTTATTCCATCCTAAACTCCGATCCGATACGTCTCTGCTGAATATTCATCAGTGTTTCTCCATACCATACCCTTCTGTAGAGTTATCGCCGATAAGCCCAGCTGACGTGTGCCCGTCAGCTAATTTTCACATTACTCCCACCACTTTATTTTTCACTTTTTACTTTTCACTATCCTCACTCGCGTCATTCCTGACCCAGACACTCACTCTACATGATGGGCCCCATAAAGACAGAGGACGGTGCGGATACCCAGAAGAAGCGCAACCGCGTGCCCATCTCGTGCATCATCTGCCGGCGGCGCAAGGTCAAGGTACGATACTATTACTGTCCAACCCCTTTACTATACTAACCTCCTTAGTGTGACAAGAAGAGACCCGTTTGCACGGGTTGCACCAAAAACGGCGTGGCCCATTTGTGCCACTATATTGACCCTCCTTGGGCGAAACCCGTGGATGCGGACGGGGGTACGCCCATGCCTGATACGGAGCCTGAGGCCTCAGACAAAGACTTATTGATCCAGCAGTTGTCAGAGAAGATTTCCCGGTTGGAAGCGGCGATGAGGACCACGAATGTTCCGAGAGTACCGCAGAATGCAGACGATATCTCCCAGATCGTTCTCCACGAGCCACTCAATCTCTTTGGAAACCTCAACACGTTGACCATCCAGCAGGACAAGTTCACGAAGATCGGCCTCACCTCGCACCACGCATTCATCCGCCTTGATCCGTACCTTAAAAAACTCTACTTTAAAATCAACAACTTCAAGCGTATCTACAACTTCTACAAAATGCACAAGCTGAACATGGCCAGGAAGGAGATTCTTCTCCATCAGCAGACCATGTTGAATCCGTTTAAAATGAAGGACGTGGACTTTGAAAAGATCTACGAGAAGTACGACTATTCGTACCAGGAGAACGAGATCGATTTTACGAATTTTAACTTTGCGGAGGACAAAACCGTGAAGATTGAGGACCTGGACGTGATTATGGACGCAAAGCTTGTCCAGCCGCTAGTCACGCTTCCATCCTCAGGGCTCCAGGCACCAGATTCAGGAGCAAAGTGCCCAATTGACCGTTCAAAGTTTCAGGGCAAACCAAAATGCCCAATTGACCATTCGCAGTTCCAGGGTTCATCTGGTTTCGCCTCGCCTGGCGGTTTTGCCTCACCTGGATTCGCCCATCCCTCACCCGGGGACTTTGCCCCTGGCCACCTGTCGCCTGGAGGCTTCGCCGGTCCTCCTGGGACCTTTGCCCCACCCTCTCCCTTCCACCACCCCCAGTTCGCTAAAAATAATACCAAGACCCAGAAGTGCCCCATCAACCAGCCGTTCCCCTACGATGTGGTTGCCAGTCTGGGCTCTATCAACTTGAACACCAATATCAACGTTGCGCCGATCAACTTCACCAGTGGCTCCACCGCTGGAACCATTTTCCACCCTAAGGAAGAGAGCTGTCCCTTTGGCGAACCGTTTAGCGCCCCAAATCCCATGATCAGCGCCACTGACTACAACGCCAACACTGCCAGTATAACCGGAAACATCTATCCGCGCGCACGGCCGCAGCGCCACCTGGCAAAGCGCCAGAAGATCAACACGATCCAGGATTCCACCACCAACTTCCTGAGCCTCTCGCTTGGCGAGATGCTCCGCCTTGTGGAGCGTAACCTCCCAGCGAAACGCGTGGTGTGGATGTTGATCGAGAAATTCTTTACGGTATACTACATGCAGTTTCCCTTCCTTGACGAGGCGGCCTTTAAGGAAGATATCGCGGGGATCATCGGCGGTGCCGACGACTTGGACCAGGAGGTGCACGTGCTTATCGATACTTCTGGTCTCGCAGCGGCTACACCGCTCGCTGCTGGCCTCGCTGCTAGTTCTGCCGCGGCCCCGGGCCCGGCTTCGCCGCTAGCGCAGCACCATGCCATCTTGAAGCTCTGCCACTTGCTTCTCATCTTGCGTGTCACCTGGCTCGGTCTTCCGATCAACCTCCCAGACTTCCCCAAGATGAACATGTATCTCGCCGGGATGAACCTCCAGACTGGCGACACGGACGCTGTGTTGATGAAGCCGGAGAACATCGTGCCGATGATCTTTGTCGATATTGTGAAGTTCTTTGTGCTGCAATACATCCAGCACCAGCCGTTCTACTCGATAAACGTGGGCTCGCTGCAAAACGGGGTTCGGGACGACACAAACGTGAATGTGGACGTAGTTTCGTCACTAGAGTTCATCCAGTGTGGGCTTCTCCTCAAGCACTACTTCATGATTTCCCCGGAAAACCATGATGATGACACATATGAGTCGCTCATCATCACAGAAAATGAGCAGCTCTTCTCGATTTTGGTCTCCGTAGCCCAGAAGATCGGATTGTACCGCGACCCGCTCACGTTTATCTCCAGGGGGGCTAACTTGGAGAAGAACACCAACGGCCTCAACTTCCGCAGGCGGCACTTGTGGCGCAAGATCTGGTGGACGATCTGGAAGTTGGACGTCACGCAGGCGCTCATGTTGGGCTCGCCGTTGTTGTTGAACAATGAGCAGTGGTACGACACGAAATTGCCATGTGCAGATGAGGCCAGAGGTGAGCCCGAGGAAAGCGGTGAGGCCGTGGCAAGCGGCGAAGACTTGATCCGCATCTATTTCCACAACAACGACCGGGCGCGCATGGACGACGATGAGCTGGGAGACACGGAGGTGTTCTACCGCAAGGAGATGCGCGTAATTTCGGACTTCCAGCGCGTGGTTACCGTCTTCCAGGTGCTCCGTCGCGGGTTGAACTGTTTGTATTCGGTGCGAAAGTTCCGCCCGAGCAAAGCGACGTTGGATGAAATTCACGAGCGGTTGCTCGCAATGCTTAACGGCGAGGAGAACAGCGCAACGTTCACGATGACGCCGTTGCCGCAGTTGCTCGGAATGAGGCTGGAGGCCAGGGGCGAGACTGCGACCGCGGCTGCGGTGGATTCTGTCTATGCCTGCCACGAAAAGGTTTCCCAGCTCAAGCTCCACGCCACCGTCAAACTGTTTCTCTACACGCTCAGCTACATGATGTTCATCTACTACGAACTGAAGGCGACGGAGCCCGCCAAGGGAAAGGACCAGGATCGTACCCACGTGCGTAAACAGCAGTACAACCGTTTCTTCCGTGAGTACTCCCAGAAGTGTCTCGCCTACAGCATCGACAACTACAAGCTCTTTCTCGACTTTATCGACCATAAGTTTGACTGGTTTCCGTATGACCTTGTGAGTGGGGCCGAGCTTCTTGTGTTGCGGACGTTAATGAACGTGAGCTCGCGGTCTATCCAATTCATGATCTCGCTTATCTTGCGCAACAAAACCAACAAAGAGATGCTTGTGAAGACTGGTGAATTAGCAGAGACTGGTGATGTTGATTTGTACGCAAAGCTTCTCTCATACATGCTGGTGTATTCGGAGAAAATGACGAGCTTGAAGAAGCATTCCTTCATGGCATGGCGCGTGGCAAAGTCAGTTGGATTCTTTGTGAACATCCTTAACAGCTTTGAGAACCTCACCAGTGTGCTAAACTTCCAGATGGAGAGCTTTGTCAAACAGCAAGGAAAGAAGTGCGTTGCCCGCAGTCGGATCAAGCTGTGTCCGGTGTTTGCGGAGGAAGAAGATGGGGGCCAAGGTGAGAATGGGAGTGTGAGTGGTCCTGTGAGTGGTCCTGTGAGTGGTCCTGGGAATCCTATTGATGGCTTCTTTTCCCAGCAGACTTCGCCTGTGATCCGCTCGGCAATGGATACCCCCTCGCCTTCCCACCCAGTGTTTGCGGCTCATCTCGATGTCACCAGCGCTCTGATCAACCCATACTTTGAGACACCACCGCCACCGTTCAGGGGCCAACACGCGCCCCACGCCCAGTCGCCTTTCAACCCGAACCAGTTCCACCCCCAGCCACATGTTTCGTCTGGGAGCTTGCTCGGCTACCCTGACTCGATGGTTAACACGCCACAGTCAATGGGAATCCCCGAGTCGCTTATGAACGTGACGGACTTTAATGACTTGTTCAACGAGATTGACATCCAGTTTGACTCTCAGTTCCAGACAATTGACGAGTTGAACTTGCTCGAGGCGCCTCATAATTATGGAAGTGGCACTGAGCCGAGCGGCTGGACTGGCGGGGATAACGACTTCTTTAGCTAGGAATTGTATTATTTAATTGTGTATTCTAATAATGTATTTGTTACCTGGGGAAAACCCTTCTGCGTGCCAGGCTTTTTTGTTTCAGGTGTTTTCGATATTCAAACCTGTGTCTGAGGATAACTCCGGATTCCCATTTCATAACAATAGCTTGAGGGTTTGGAATTCACAGAGCTCGCCGTTTATCATGTGTACAAGCAGGGAAGCTTTGATAAGGCGTTAGAGTGAAGATCGCCTTAAAATGTAAGCATTCCCATATCGTGGTATCCATGCACGAATCAGTATAGTGAAGCAGTATATAGAGTGCATATATACCTTTTTATGCCGTTTAGACAAATGTTTCTAATACATATCTCTTTCAATCGATCACACCCTGAAGTATTATAGGTGTCGCTTCATTAATCCACCTACTTTGTAAATATACTCCCAAGCTATCGAACACGTTGACAAAACCATAATAATGAGCCCCCCAACCCCGCGGCAATAGACCACATAGTATTACTGTATGGCTGCATCGAACTAACTCGGCTTTTAGCGGAGTTAGCTGTCCTGCACCTTTTGCACTAAATTAAACCTAGATCGGCCATGTCGTACACCGGGCCGTAACAGGAGGGACACATAATTCTAACCTTAAAGTGTCTGAGAGCTGTCTCATACATGAGTGTCACGTTTCTTTTAGATGCACCTCATAACCAGCAGGCCTGGTTAATTGCTTGTCGTAAAAGCGTTCTCGCTTTGCCGACAAGCAGCCTATAATATCGCCTGTAGTTGGAGATATCTTTCGCAAAATACACCTAAGGAAGCTTATGGTTGAAGTGGGTCCCAGTAATGCTTGTCGCCTGGAAATACGCCCTAAGATCTACCCTGCAAGTCTCGGGATTCAGCCGGATAGACGTTAGACTTATCTTTGGCATTCAGCCCTATCGGTATTAGACTTAGTTCTGGTATAGGCGTTGTTCTACCTTAGCCTAATACGCAATTATGCATGGCCATGCGGTAAAATCGCTTTAAGCTGCGGGGCAACGCTAGTCGTGAAACTAGTGATTTCCTTGTTGCTGCAGTTAAGCGTACTAAAGGCTGGAGTGGTTTCGTCATCCTAGTTGCCTAAATTGGAAGTTGTTAGGTCGTTCTGTGCATTCAGGGTCTGTGCGTTTTTCTCCAAGCTTTGAATACGGAACTACGACGCCGAAGCAGATGCATGCAGCATATCCAGAGTTCTATGTATACCTGCATGTTTACTTTGATAAACCGTGGATCTCTACCTCCTGCTTCTTGCTGTTTAATAGATCAGACTGTCTGAGTGTTAGGGCTGCTGGATTACCCATGGTTAGATCGAGAGGATACACAAGCCAACTATGACGGCGGTCTCGCATGTGCATGCTTCGAGGTGCTAGGGATAACTACCCAACTGCGCAGCGCTCGGCGATTGGGCTCATAACAGGTGCGCATACGTCTTCTTCTGCAGATCGCTATACCCATGCCCCGGTATGGTCAAGTAGTGGCCTGACTGCCCGACCTTTTGTAGCCCCTAATTATCCTCACTATGTATAGACTGTATGGTTTTCTACACGGTAACGGCTACAGAAAGCTTCGTTACTTCCGCTGGGAACTTTTTCGGCATATTGATAAGGACCGAGAGGTCGGATGGACGGTTATCATTATCGATGGAGAGCAGCTTTCTCCAAGCCTGCACCATGGCGTTTCATCTAACTAAAGGGGCCTAGTCCGCAGAGAAGAATCTTAGCGCTCTGACAAAAAACGAGCTTCACCGACGGCGTGACCTTGTTTAGTAACCTGGCAAAAGGTCAGCGTATGCTCGGCGATTAAGGAGATACTTCTCCTCTGGACTTAAACCCGCTGTTGTGGCATGTGTTGGATGCAGCAGCAATGCCTAAGCGGCACCTGAGGCGTCCATGCCGATATCTATCAGTGCGGAGCTCGAGTCTTTCGCTAGGGGTTACCAGGTATCGAGCCTAACCCCCCGATTCTTACATGTCCGCCGTGGTCATAGACGAGACGCGAGTAGTGGTTAGCCTACAGCTGCACCAGCTTCGGCGAAAAAGCAATTTCCTCCCTGTTACGCACGGGCAGCGCTTGGTAAAACCCTTTCTGGGCGTACACGCAGAACCGGACAAAACGGACAAAGCTCGTAGTCTCTGTTGAAGTATTCGCTCAGTCCTAAGTCCGTTACCCGAGGGCTTACTCATTGCTTATACACACAGGCGTCTCTCAACCAAACTTTGGTTATCTATATCGTTTGGTTTTTTTCATTTTACTTCGTTTTTTTGAGCCCCCATACCCTGGTTCTTCCGCATTGCACGTACAACCACATGATGAACACATCCGAGGCATCCAAGCCTAGAAAGCGCCACAGAATCCCAGTCTCCTGTCTCGCCTGTCGCAAGAGAAAGGCCAAGTGTGATCGTGGCCGGCCGCATTGTGCCAACTGCGTGGCAAAGAACTTGATCCACCTCTGCCACTACGAGGAGTCTCCGTGGTTTGTCCAGGCGGGCGTGCCTGCGATTGCGGGCCAGCCCATTTCAAGAAGACGATCCTCTAACGACCTCCCAGAAATGGGCTCGGCGAAATATCTGTACAGCCATCCTGACGGAGAGGACCAGGAGCTTTCCTCGCGTGAGAAGGACGAGTTGCGTTTGCTCCGAGCCAAGGTAGAGATGCTAGAGTCGAGTCTTGCCAACATTGAGTTGAGCCACCGCCCGAATTCAGCCCTGAGTGACGAACAGCGCATTCGCAGTCCGTTTGTCGAGTACCTGCCATACCCGCAGCTTCACACACAGCAACTACCATTACATCAGTCTCCAAATGGACCTCGTCCGCAACAGCATCTACTCCAGAACTACCAGCCGAACCCATATCAATACCAACAACAACAACAACAGCAACATCATCAGCAGCAACAACAGCAACAGCAACAGCAACAGCAACAGCAACAGCAACAGCAACAACAGCAATATCAACAACATCTACAACACTCACAGCATCAGCAGCAATATCAACAACACTCACATCATCAACAGCACCCACAGCATCAACAGCACCCACAACATCAACAGCCACAACCACCGCTCATGCGGTCGCCGCAATCCAACCCTAGTAGCATCAACGGGAGTAGCAACACGCGAATGGCCATGTCTCAACAACTCCAACAGGCGTTTGTGCCGCGATCGCCGTCGTACCACGGCCCGAGCGTGTCCGATCTGAACGATGACATCACCCCCTCTACTTCAGCATCGAAGCGAGTGAAGCACCCAGTGTCTCCCCGTGCCGGTCTCATGGAACAGGGGCACGACGGCCCGTTTTCACTCAATCCAGAGAGTGAAATCTTCACGATTCCGTCCATCCGCTCGTCAGAATTCTACCTGCAGTTTGCCAACATCGACGATTCTGACCCTGTCACTGGCTTCCAGAACTTTGAAATGGCCAGATTTGGCTCTAAGATCGTGGTCAACATATCGCCGTTGTCCTATATCGGCTTGATCACCCGCGACCAGCACCTTCTTTTGTACTGCGAGGTATGTGCGAGCCTCCTCCCTGATGTGGAGAACGAGATGGAAAAGAATTCTTTGTCTGATATCCCTTTTTCCAGGAATGTCAATCTAGTGGACCACCTTCAGGACTTGACCGTCAATTTGGATAAGGACAGAGCCAACCTTAGAGCTATGATGGGAGAAGCGCTTAACGGTTTGGTCGACTCCAGCAGCAGCGTTAACAGCGACGTTTCCAGTAGCTCCCCGCTTCTGCGTAGCAAGCTTGGGAGTTTGAAGGCCCAGGTCTTGGAAGCATTGCCTAATATCAGGGTGATCCGTCTCTTGTATGAGCGTTTCTTCACTTACGTCTATCCCTTCGTCCCTGTGGTCCATAGAGAATCGTTATCGATGGATCTAGGCCGGGTTTTAGGGGAAAGCTTCGGGGGGACCGTGACGGAGGACGCAGTCTCTGAGTTGGCGTTTCGTCCTTTGCCTTACGGTTGCGACGATATTGAAACCGTGGGTGTATTTTGTGTCGTGTTATCCATCGCCTTTAAGTTTTTCATTGATGAATCGGAAGAGAATATCAGTGATGCAGACGATAGGTATTTGCAGTCCGAGACCGCTCACTTGTCTAATGACAAACTCATGAAAGCGGCTGCAAAGTGTTTGGACTATTCTCGGTCCAAGCGCGAACCTTCATCACTATTATCTTTCCAGCTCGCCTTCATGCTCAGAGCCTCTAGCTTCTTTGACAGAGACGAGAACAGCTCGAACATGAGCGCTTCCATCCAGGCGGAAAACTGCATTTTGGTGCAGTATGCTTACAACATGGCACTTCATCGCGACCCCACCAACTCATACTTTAAGCATGTATCCAACGCGTCTGAGATCAACAATCCTGAGATCATCCAGTTGCGAAGAAAGTTGTGGTTTTCTGTTCTTGAACTTGACTGTACGGCGGCCCTGGATGCTACTGCTTCCATGATCATCCATAGCCACAATTTGTACGACACAAAGGTACCGTGCTTGAAGACTGACGCAATTGAGACGTCGATTAATGAGCGCTTTGAGACATCATACCGCTTCCTGTTGCTATACAATGAGCTATCCAGTTTGATTTCCAACACCCGAGAGGCGCCTACAGTGTCTCAGATAGTGGCCATCATGAATAAGCTTCTGGTGTTGAGCCAGAACGTGGTGGGAGATGATGGAATCAGTATTTTCCGTCCTTTCACCACGATTAAGGACTCTATCAGGAAACTCAACCTCTTGAATGAGTCCTTGCGCATCCAAGGGATTGTATTCAACCTTCAGTTCTACTTGTTTTTGCATTATGAAGAGGCCGGGAATCCAACCATCTGCTCCTATTTGATGAAGCAGCTTTGTTTATCGGGCATGAAGTTGTTGAAGTTGGGGCGCACCAGTCTTACAGATAGAGTGCTTTATTTCGGCAAGGGCTTCGACCGAATCGTGAAGAAAATATGTCTCCACGAGTTGCTCAAGAGCCAGGCCGGGTTGATTGCGTTGGTGCTCCGTGCATTCCACTACAAAAAGTATGGCTCGTTCAACGACAAGAGTCGGGACTATAGTGCCAAGCTTGCCATCTCCGATGCTATCTTCAAAACGTTCATGCTCTACAACTTGCGGTTTAAAAATCTTTCGCTGATGATGTACCACCCAGCTGACGATAAATTTTCCCCGCCTGCGGGTCAGGAGGTGTCTTTCGAGTTACTCCAGCTCTTGAGCAACAGCTATAATGACCCCTCAATTGATCTAGAGACGATGACGGGGGGGCGGTCGTTGAGTCAAGGGATAAACGCCCCAAATTACATGAATTTTATGCCGTTGGCCGAGATGAAGGAGGTGTATGTCCTTATCCAGGACAACTTCTCCGAAGAAGAGGCCATTGCCGGATCGATATAATCCCCTAGCATATATATATATATATAAACTGTTGCTTTCAGATGTTAACCCGTATAGAGTAAAAAAAAAAAAACTTTTTGAATGTAAGTCAGGAAAGTTCATATCTCCAGTTGTAGCCTTTTGCCATATCAATCGAAACAGCTCGTAGTTTAGATAGCAAATGAGAAAGGTAAACTCCAGCAGATATCAAGATTAGAGTCCAAATCGAGGAGTTACAATACAACGTAATCGAGGGGCCACATGCATAAAACTAAAAATAGGAAACCGCCCTGCAGCTCACAATCCGATTATAGATTTGGATGCGCGTATACCCAGAATCTCATCAAAAGGACAGCCCATCCAGCCTTACAGGTTATGTACCGTGAGACTAGAGTAGGTACTAAGGTATTTTTTGTATTGGAAATCAGGGTATAGCTCGCATACGGTCTAGGCAAAATAACAGGACCCAGATCGCAGACTTTCACAAGTTATGCGATGTCTACATGTGTTATGCATGCACAGCAGCGCACATATTTTTCATCTAAAAGTTCCTTTGTTCAAGCTGGTCTTTTTTTCGCTTGAGATTGCACGAGTTTCTTTAATCCTGTAGCGAATGCGCAAGGAGCTACCGTACCAGCCATTTCCGGGACAAGGGTGTTTATCTCTGAGCCACCTACTGACCACGCTTCAAGGTTCTGCAAGATCCAGGTTATACGATATTTCAGGGTTCTTGAAACAAAAATAAAACTATGGATCCTCAAATAGGCTCTGAAACTAAATTTTGATCACTCTATCCGAAAAGCGCATCTATTATAAGCCCATTAATAATACCAGGACACCCCAGCACTAATGTAGTCAAAGACAAAGGAAGTTAGACATACTATATGCGCCGCGCATCTGGGGCCATTGGCTGTCTTCAGTCCAGGGGTGTACGCCAGTTTCGGACATACGGGTATTTTCCCGAAGTTGCATTAAGGAAAATCCACATCATGCCGTCGCTTATTCGCATGTGAGAAAACCCCCAGAAAATTCATGTGTGCAATTGGGTGGGGGAGGATCCAAAGGCTTATAGTAAGGTTTAGGTCTATGGATAGAACTGGTTTAGATTCTGTCCGATCCAACTGCTGACAAAAAACGGCTTGCGAGTAATCTTTATATAGATGCTGGCCAGAACATCGAATAGGCCACGGCTATTGAAAACTTTTCCCAGTTTCGCTGATGTAACCCTGAACGGATACCGTAGAGGGGCTAAAAAACAATCTTAGAACCATTGTGTAGACAAAAACTCCAGGGCTGTTTACGCATAGATCAATCCAAGAATTCCTGTAAAAGACGGAGAACGCCCCAAATAAGTCATGTCAAATATGATATACCATATACTTACAGTGCCACGCCGAGCATTGTAAAGGCGATGAGTAATATAAATAACTTCAATATTTAAAGACAATAACCATCTTAGGGATTAAGGAGTTACTCAATAAATCTAATGCAAGACTAATGCCACTTCGATTTTCAAGAACAGCCGATCTTCATGTCGATGCACAATGCAAGGCTCTGGGATTATGACTGATATGGGGGTAAGTTTCAATTCGGCCATGAGTATATAAGGCAATCACCATACATGCGCGTGTAATACGACGATCATCTAAACACCATTGTCATGGGATGCACGGTAGTCTGTTAAAGGATACCTTACCCATCGTGCATCGCTGACATCCTCCGGCTCAGCGGATTCTCCCCATCATCTGAAGTGGCATGATACGTCTATCGTTTTGGTTCATAGGGACCTTCTCGATTGCACATCTAGTGTTTAATATGGCCAACAACATTCTCTCTTAGTCAAGGGTACCTACTAGAAATACCACAGTCTACTTGAAAGGGCACTGTTCTATTTTTGGACGTATGGATTTAACAGTAACACTGACATCCTGAAATATTACCACTGGCGAAGACCGTGCTACGAACCAAGGGATGAACCATTTTCCAGCTGTACCACGGGCAAGAAAGCTGAGATTTTACCATTAGAGCAATGCCTAGAGGGGAGAAGTTTCTCTGAGAACAAAACGGAATACGGAACTAATTTACAGAGACAGAATGAAGCTTACTCTCAATACCCACTCTGGTCTTTAGGGAATGACTGCGTCTTACCCCATGGCCAAAATGGCAACAATAGGAAATGGATGATTGAAAAGAAACTCCATACTACGGGTGACAATACAGCAGTGCTATCTGAGGGAGTCTAGGTAAGAGACATAAACCCTTAGTTGGTAGAAACAGACTAAGCAATTACCGTAATTCCTCGACCGAAAACTTGCAGCAAATAACAGGAAGCCGGGCTAGTAACTGAGTTAGAGAAGATTTACTTCTAGAAACGGAGCTGTCTTTCTTGTGCTATACAGGTAAGATGATGGGATGTAGAGACATACGGATCAGTAAGACGGTCATGTAGAAGTCTGCAGTTGTTATCTCTGTGCACAAATATCAGTTAAAACTATACAGAACAAATTACCTTGAGGTATCAGCAGGGGAAATCTGGGAATTTGTCTTGAGAATACTATTTCAATGTTTGACTTTGTTGGTTCAGCGCTTGCAGGTACACCGTACCTAAAATAATGAATGAAAGATGCGCATAAGGTATGAAGCATCGGCCTTGTGCGAGGTGGACACCAGTCGTCGTGCCACTGCCAGCACTGCTGAAGCTCGTAATTCAGAGAGCAGCGGTACTGTAACATTTGAAGTACACATAATGTGTCGGTACGGTCAACACGGAGGTGTTCTTTGCTTCAAACTGTTGATAACTAGAGAGTAAGGAGGATTTTGAGATGATCCGTTCATATTTAATTGAATATAGAGCCGAAGACTGGAGATTTAACGGAAATGGCTTGTGACAAACGAAAAATATCTAAGGAATAGCTTTACTATGTACCTTGATGGAAGTTTAACATGGGAAAATTAGGCTAAAAGGGAAAAATCGAAAGAGAACCCACCACGATGGAAACAAAGTAGCCATGCAGAGTAGAAACGAGGCCAACATTAATGAGCGCCAACCCACAGTCCAGCATCGATTTTGTATAGCCGATGTAACCAACCTATCTGAGTATATTATAACATATAGAGAACATCGATGTTATGTGGAATCCAAGGGTGAATGAAAAACCCTACCCAATATTTATATACAATAGTCCGAATAAAAAGGAAAGACCGCCAAATCTTGCTTTCAAGGCAGATGTTTTTAGGAAGCCGCCCTTAAGCTCTATATATTTACAGAAAGTTTGGTACAAACCTTCAGAGGATTTATATTGGTATACACGTTTTAGCACTTATCAAACAACAGTACTATTGACAAGATTAACCGGATGCGGGAACCTTCGCCTAATTTTCATGTGTGCTGCGCCACCATCATGATATGCAGTTTCGCCATATCAGTTCATTCCCAATAAACTGTGCCCCCAAGCTTCAAAAATGTATATTTTAATATATAATGCTTCCTTGGGATTATAACTATCCCCTAATAGAGTAAATTTCGAAACTGACGGCTATTAAGATCTCTTAACTCCGAGGGCTATCCACGGTTGGCTTTCAATTAGGCACGAGCGGCAGAAACTCTCGCTCGGAAGCTGAACATGCCTCAAATACAACACTAAGGCTTTTAAACCCCCCCAGTAAGGCTTGTGACGTGCCTCATGACGTGCCCCATGACGTGCCCCGTCACGAGCCAATCAGGCTATACTTCCTGATCGGGCAATTATGCGCCGCACGTGCGAGGCTTTCGGCTCTCGGCGCTAAACCCGCTTTTGTTTTTCGTACTCGCAAAAGTCGCTTTAATCAAGAAGATTTGCTGCTAAAAACGGTTAAACAACTCGTTCACACCAGCTACCTTCAGCATGAAACAGCAGGAAGGAAAGGAACAACGGAAACGGAACAGGCTCCCCATGTCCTGCGATAAGTGTCGCAAGCGGAAGGTCAAGTGCGATCGTGGTCGCCCGTGCGAGGTATGCAAGAAGTACAACATGCCGCACCTCTGTCTGTACCAAGAGCCCACATGGAATGGAGACGAGACCGACAGCCAACCGCCCGTTAAAGTGATACGCTGGGACGATGGAACACCGCCATACATGACTGCCGCCGCCCTCCCTGTGGCGCTTATTCCTCTGGTCTCGGGCCAAGCTTCCACCGCTAGTTTCAGCCAGAGCACCTCTACGTTCAAGTCAGTGGATCCGGGCGCCAGAAAGGCCGTAAAGCCGGCGGTGGAACCATCACCAACGTCTATAACCTCCATTTTTTCGCCACTAGAGCCGTCACCCGTGATGGATGAGCTCGAGAAGTTGAAGGATAAGATCAAGCAGATCGAGGCGTCGATTACCGTGACGAACATGTCAAATCAGGGGCAACAAGCAAATGGAAACATTCCAGTATCTCCGGCTAATGGAAACGCAACAAGGTACGGGGTTGATAACTATATCTACAAAACGCCACCGCTTACCAGCCATGGCTCGTATTCGGGCGGGTATTCGCAGACTGGAGGTCATTTGCAGACGAGCACGTACTCACTGCAAACGAATAGTTATTCGCCGCAGGTTAAGAGTGTGCATTTACCGCCGTTGCAGATGCACGGCTGGCCTGGCACTTCTCGCCAGGGTAGTTTCCAGGGGACCTACGGGATGCCATCCACATTCCCAGAGCCCCCCCAGAAGACTGCCGGCGAAGCTGGCTGCACACCGGCTTCCGAGTCCACACCTTACGCCGCCTCCGACCACATTGACTTCTACGCGGGCTACTCGTCCATGCACGTGACGGAAGCGCGTTTGATCAACCATGGCCCTCTATCCTATCTCTCTGTGATGAAAAAGGACCCCTTCTTGTCCTATTTATGGAACCTCGTTCACGAGTGCAAGAAGCGCCAGAAGGTGTTCCCATATGGATCACCCGAGCCATCAGCAAATGGCCACAACCCTGACGATAAGTTCCATAAGACGCTTCTCCGTGATACAGGGTTGATCGAGCTCCAGCCGTACAGCAAGATGGGTCTGAAGCTCCAAGTGGGCGAAGTAGTGCCGACTAGTGCCACCCCCAAGAATGAGGATCTCGAGTTGTTGTTGGTTGAAACCATAAAGAAGACGCTCCCGACGCAGCGCGTGACATGGCTCCTCGTGGAACGCTTCTTCAAATACCTCTACCCGTTTTTCCCCATTGTGGACGAATGGTACTTTTCTACGACGTGTTTCGAGAACATTTTGGGAGAGATCAAGCTCGTGGACGAGCCGTTTTTATCAGTGAACGTGCTTCGAACCTTGGACTTTGCCAACCTCGGCAGCATGTTCGTCATTCTCCGTTTCAGCTACTTGAGTTTGTTATCGAACAACGACGACAACGCTTCTGATGACCCGGATATTAACTACTTGCTCGCCCATCCTATCGAAGCGAACGTGATCAAGGTGGCGCAGATGTGCCTCAACCAGTTTCCCGTCTTGCGAAAGTCGTCGTTGTTCATCTTTCGGTGCACGTACCTTTTGCGGTTGTACTACATCTATGCTCCCGAGGAGTGCGACGGCGCAGATGGCGGTGACTCACAGGTGTTCACGGGGATGCTTGCGCAGATGGCAAACGGGATCGGGTTGAACCGCGACCCCTCGTCGTTTGACCAGTTATCGGACGATCCCCGCTTGATGAACATCTGGCGTAAGTTCTGGCACCAGATTGTGACTTTTGATGTACACAAGGGCACAATGCTCGGGAGTCCGCTCAACATCAAGCTCGAGTACAGCGACACGCGCGTGCCGACGTTGGATGACCATAATCAGAATATCAAGGACCTCGCGTTGGAGAAGCTCGTATTAGAAAATATCCACCAAAACACGCACCTCAACGGGGTTGTAACCGAGCTCTTGGAGTTGATCTTGAACATGAAGTCGGCGCCGAAAATTGCCGCCATCACCTCCCTCACGGACCAGTTGGAAGCGTATGTACGCAATAAGTTTGTCGACTTGAGAACAATCTTGACCCCATACAACGGGAACCACCTCGACTCCGTGCGGAAGGTCTACCACACGATAACCTACTTGTTTGTGAACTCGTTTTTGATCCCGGTCTACTACCATTTGTTCCTTTTCTACGAACAGGCGCGTAGCTTGCCGTTGTGCTATACCTACTTCGCAAAGATGGTGCTTATTTCCAATGAGATCCTCTCCACGTGTCTCAGTTTGTTAGTGGATTGCCCCAAGTACTTTGGCAAGGGCTTTGACTTCATTTTGACCCCGCAGTTAGAATTTACCTGCCATAGAGCCTTCCAAATCCAGCTTTCGGGGATTATTCGTGGGCAATGTGCCTTGTCTTTCTTCCGAGAACAGCTGCCCACCACCCCCGCGGAGACTGCCAATATCCAACGAAACATTGATATCTTGGAATGCCTTGTGCTGCATCTGTTGCACTTGAAGGAGCGCCACATCCAGGCGTTCCTGAAGATTAGCGACAAGTACTACTACGCGTGGCGCATGAACAAGGCGCACAAGTTTGTCTTGCTGGTGCTCAAGACGTTGAACACCTCGCTCGTCGAGCACTATAGCGAGCTTCGTGAATTGAGTAGGTTCAATTCGCTCAACTACTTCACCGTCGAGCAGAACGAGGAGCTCTACCGGCTCATGTGCGAGAGGGGAGCAGCCAAAAGCGCCAGCCGTAGTTTCGCCTCCCCTAGCATCGACAACAGCTCTGTTGAAGGGCTGATCAGTGGGAGCGAGGCCTTTGCCGAAGGCTTTGATACGAACATCGATGCGATTTGGTTGCGGATGATAGAGTCTGACAGTGACTTTTTGTTCCAGCTTGAGAGTTTGTACAATAATGACTTTGGTTACAATCTTTAGTGCAGGTTTTGATCTAGAGAAACGTTTGAAGGGGTTCTTGGGGTTTATAGCACCCAGTAAAATGTCTGGATTTATTAGAACCGACTAAATTGGATAATCGTTTCAAGGAGCTTTGAGTTTGGTATAAGTTGAAAATTTAGCGGGGTACGGCGATAAACGAAATAATTGTACAAAAATAACGTAGAGAATGTCCAACAACGGGTAGCTATAGAGATTAGCTAACCTACTAGCTAGGGTATAGACAAGGAAGGGTGGTATATGAAGGAATGGAATGATAGGTTAAAGACTGTACGGGTAAATAGGACACAAACTTGAAGGTATGGAAGAGAAATGGTAAATAGTGGGATTAGGACTGAGCATCTCCAGGCGGATGCATTTTATAGAGCATGCTACCACTATGTGTAGCAATATATATATGATAGGGAGTGACTATCTCGGTCGATTCCAAGTCGACCTACTTAACAACCAGGCCATTGATTATCAGTTTTATTCAATGTTCACTGCCTTGTGTTACTACAACGTTCAATCCAGATATTAATTAGCTAGCTTATTTGGAACCCTGGGCAGCGACGGCGGCGGCACCGGCAGCAGCAGCCTCTGGGTCCAAGTAGTAGGCGGCCTTGATTGGCTTCAAGCTTTCGTCCAACTCGTAGACCAATGGAATACCGGTAGGGATGTTCAAGCCGGCAATGTCTTCGTCAGAGATGTTGTCCAAGTGCTTGACCAAAGCTCTCAAGGAGTTACCGTGGGCAGCAACCATGACGGTCTTGCCCTGGAGCAAGTCCTTGGCGATGACATCTTGCCAGTATGGCAACAATCTGTCAATAACCAACTTCAAAGATTCGGTCTTTGGCAACACGTTAGGGTCGACGTCGTTGTATCTCTCGTCGCCGATCTGAGAGAATTCAGAGTCATCTTCGATCACTGGAGGTGGCACGTCGAAGGATCTTCTGTAGGTTTGGAACTTCTCCTTCCCGTAGGCAGCCAAGGTCTCGGCCTTGTCCTTGCCCTGCAAAGCACCGTAGTGTCTCTCGTTTAATCTCCAGGATCTGGTAACCGGGATGAACAATCTGTCGGCCTTGTCCAACGCCAAGTTGGCGGTCTGGATTGCTCTGGACAACTTGGAGGTGTACAATACGTCTGGCTTCAAGCCGGACTCCTTCAACAATTCACCGGCTCTCTCGGCCTCTTGAACACCCTTGGCGGACAACTTGACGTCGACCCAACCGGTAAACAAGTTCTTTTCGTTCCATTCGGACTGACCGTGTCTGACTAAGATTAATTTGTGAACCATTCTTGTGTGTTTGTATATTGTGGGGATGGGATCGAGTCGTCTGAGGAAATGAAAAATTGGGGGAGCGGCCTTTTATATAGCAGGGGAAACCCGGGGGCCGATCCTCCGACGCGCTTCCGTTCGAGCAGAGGGGAAAAACTCCGAAGGGCACCTCGTGGTGGCAAGGCACGAATTGCTCGATATGGAAATTATTTCGATAATTGTAATAAAAAAAAAAGTATAGTAATATATAGGTTAAAGTATGCCAATAGTGAAGAATGGCAATGATCAAAGAGAGCTAGGCGGCTAACAGGGCTAAGTCGGATGCTCTTCCATAGGTAATGCTTCCGGTTGAGCGGTGGTGGATGTGTGGACCGGATGGCCCAACGGTGGGGTGGCAGCTGCAGAAAACTTGGAACACGTCAGATTGGTCTGCATAGCGCAATTTGTGACTTTAACACACCATGATTATTGGCTGGAAAGAGGTGAGAAGAGGGCTGTATTATACAGATTATGACTTGGCGTCGGTAATTGCTTGTATACCCATCTGGCCAGCGCGTAGCCTTCAATAACTCAAGATCAGCCGTACCAGCCGTACCAAGGCTGACCAAGCTCTGGCGTAAGCGAAATTAATGAGGAGCATTACCCAAATTCCTAAATCGATGATTACCAGGGTTCATGTCTGTTAACTTCCACTATCTTTAGTCTCAGTAGGCTGGTGGGTTCGATCGGGCACTTCAAAGTAGACTGAGCTGCTCACCCTGATCCCACCATAGTTAGTTTTCGATACCCTAATTTACAAAAGTATAAGCCCCGTCCACCGTTGTTTACACCTAGCCAAATAATTTACATGTATTAGAATACAGGCGCCCGTTTTAAAACCCGTTTCGTTGTCTCAATTTGCCTAATTTCTCCTTCAACACATTCTCTTCCTTTTCGATCCACCTCAAATTGTCCAAATGCAAGCCCAACAACTTTACAATATCCTCCAATGGGTTGACATTTTTGTCAGCCTCTTCCTTGGAACCATCGACGGAGGCATCTTCTTGAAATCTAGCGGTAGGCAACAAGCTTTTATTGAAAGATTGACCGACAGAGTTGATTTCTTCAATCAACGACGTCAAATTGTTGCCCATGTTATCCAATCTCTCGTCCAAGAGCTCTGCGGTGTGGTACGCCTTTTCTCTCAACTTATCGACGGAAACATTGCTGTTGTGTGTGTAGCTCGAAATCGACGAGTTGTTTTCCATCGAGGATAACAACTTATCGGCCTGTGTTTCGTAAGAGTCTAAGATGCTATCCAACTCGGACTGTTGGCTTTCAATGTAAGTCAACGAGGAGTCGATCTTGCTCTGCACCGTCTCGGATTGCAAGGTATCAGAGTACAACTGGTTAATCTTTTCGCCGCTTTCGATTAAAGTCTGATCCCAGGTCTGGACCTTGCTACTGTAGTCCGTGAACATCTGCGAAGTGGAGGTCAACTGGGTGGACCACAAGTTGATCAAGTCCTCCAAGGTTTTGTTAGCGATTGAAATTGGTTCTGGGAGCACTTCGGTAGCTTTGGTTGCAGGCTTGCTGTCAGTAGAGGAGGTTAATGTAAGGGATTTTTCGTCCTTCTTGTCATCCGTCTTAGCAGCGCCGAAGGTCAAACCAGCAGGCTTGTCGTCCTTCTTGTCGTCAGTCTTGGTAGCACCAAAAGAGAAACCAGCAGGTTTGTCGTCCTTCTTGTCGTCAGTCTTGGTAGCACCAAAAGAGAAACCAGCAGGTTTGTCGTCCTTCTTGTCGTCAGTCTTGGTAGCACCAAAAGAGAAACTAGCAGGTTTGTCGTCCTTCTTGTCGTCAATCTTGGCAGCACCAAAAGAGAAGCCAGAAGGCTTATCGTCCTTCTTGTCATCAGTCTTGGCAGCGCCAAAAGAGAAACCAGCAGGCTTGTCGTCCTTCTTGTCATCAGTCTTGGTAGCACCGAAAGAGAAACCAGCGGGCTTATCGTCCTTGTCATCACTCTTGGTAGCGCCAAAAGAGAAACCAGCAGGCTTGTCATCCTTCTTGTCATCAGCCTTGACAGCACCGAACGCGAACAGTGGTTTGGTGTCAGTCTTAGTAGCGGCAGAACCCAAGGAAAAGCCGGTATTTGGAGCAGTAGTGGACACAGGGGCAGTGGAGGAGCCCAATGAGATACCGGATGGAGCGGTGTCATTCTTAGCGCCGAAAGAAAAGGCTGGAGCCGCACCCTTCTCTTCGGTCTTGGCCGCACCAAAACCACCGAAAGAAATAGCAGGGGCAGCATCGGTCTTAGCAGCACCAAAACCACCGAATGAAGCAGCAGGGGCAGCAGGGACAGCATCAGTCTTGGTAGCACCAAAGTTACCAAAAGAAGGAGCGGGAGTAGTACCAAACAAACCACTAGTTACAGTAGCGGCAGATGCCGCAGGAGCCGTAGATGCCGCAGGAACAGCATCAATCTTAGCGCCGAACCCGGGGAAGGAAGGTGACGGAGTGCTGGCAGCAGGAGCACCGCCAAACATAGATGTAGCTGAGGCAGGAGTAGCAGGGGGAGCGGAACCGAATAGAGCACTATTGGCAGGAGTGGTGGACGCGCCAAATCCGCCGAACGAAGGCTTAGGGGCAGTAGCAGAGCTGGTACCAAAACCACCAAACACAGGTTTAGGAGCATCTGAAGCAGCAGGGGCAGCACTAAACATGCTACCGCCAGCAGGGGGGTTGGATGAGGCGCCAAAGGCGCCAAAAGCTGGCTTAGGAGCGGAGGCATCAGCGGAGGTATTAGCAGGGGCACCAAAAGCGGAAGAAGCACCGAACGTTGGCTTTTTTTCGGTTGTGTTGGCAGCCCCAAATGAGAAGCCAGATGGGGCACCAGCGCCAGAATTGGCTGGGGCGCCAAAGGAAAACCCGCCGGTAGAAGCAGACCCGAAAGCTGTGGGCGTTAGTATTTTGTTCAATTGGGGTTGGTGGTGGAGGGCAATACTTACGCAGACCGTTAGACATGTTATGATACTATTAGAAGGGGGGTAATTCCACTTGAATCAAAAGGGGATACGATAGCAAAGGGTGGGTTACGGGTTGGCTTAGATCCGTGTTTGCTGCCAGATCTAAATATTTTTTGCTAGCGTTTGAGGTTGAGGTATTGCTGGTAAGCGCACGCAGCGGGAACGAGCACTGGATTTGTGAGGTGATGAGTATTTCTGCATATGTGTGGAATATCTACGTAGGTAACGGGATAACCATGTAGAAAGGATTGATCGTTAGATATGAACTAAATATACAAAGAGGCGGTTAGTCAGTATTTATATAGACCGGGTGTCAAAACTCAGTGACTGTCTTTAGGCTTGTTATAGAGGCTGAAACGTTATCAGCGTTTCACGTCCTGTAGTCTCACGTAGGATTGGGGTACCTGCGGCATCTTTACAACGACGTGCCTGATACGGAGAATGCTAGTGATTTACTTCACTAAGGTGTCAAATACTTCCGCTGAGTGTGAAAGCAAGGAAAATATTTGGGTGTTTAGCTATATGATAAATTGCAGCTGAATGATCGCTTGTGTAAGATACCCCGATTGTATCTGGTACCATAAACGCATATACAAGATGCGGCCCAAGAATACTACACCCTTTCCCTTCATAATATCTATGGAATGCCCAGATTTAGATTAAAATTTATTTTATAGCCTAAAATAGATGTGTATCATTCACCGAGTATACCTAATCGTGTTATTATTCTCTCCCTTCCCCCCTATATCTCAAATTATAGAATCGGATAGATGGAACGGTACCATTTTCGATGTTTATTATCGTGAACCGGTGACTCTAAAAAATCACCTTTTATTTAATCCTCTTATTAATTACCGCCTTTTAACCACTCTAAACCAAACTAACACCTTCGCCCAATAACTACACTCAACGTAATATTATTTAACCACTTGAGTTTCTCAATTCTCAATGCGTCCCCGCCAGGCGTCACGTGCCGTATATCAATGAATTTTCACTGCATGTTTAAAAAGGTTCACAAGTTTGGCCATCACCGATAAGACGATTACTACGTCCTGACTAATTCATATCTTGAGGCGCTAACGACGGAAGGCGATAGCAAAGATCCAGTACCGATACCCTTCAGATTCTCTGGACGTTTTATTTTATACAACCCTTCACCCCCCCATGCCTCTTCCGTCATGCTAGCTGCCATTCACACGCTACATCGTAGCATACGACAGCACCTGCTACCGCCCAGGACCTATTTCCGTTCCCCCCAAGTCGCTCTCCGTTCCTGCCTAATCCTTGTCCATACCCACCCGTCGCAATTTGTATATAGCCCTAGACGACACCTTACGTCCCGGCAGGACACCACTAAAACGCAAACTGAAAAGGAGATCTACTACGGGATTCGCGAGCGAATCGACGAGCCAGAGCATTTGAAAAGTCACAGACCCAGATTTAGTCCTCATCTCACCCAAATTTCCGTCCCGCTTGAGCCTCCTGCTGCTCCATCTGCACTCGTTATCTCAGAAGCCAAACCTTTGGCACCGTTACCCGACCACACGGGTATTCTCAACTCTATCGTCGCAGACCATAATTCCGGTGAGGAAGACTCCCCTGAGCCTCGAGATAGCCGCATATCCCGCTTTATCAATCAGAAAGTATCACATTTAGGAGGTTACCTCGACCACAAGATCGAGGAAAACAACGAGATTTTTGAGAGAAGGCGCCAGGAAACAGTTGTAAGGCTAAGTCCAGGATATGACGATTCAGACAAGAGTATTGTTACCCAGGAGCACCAAGAGGAGCTCAGACTTCAAAGCCAAGTGGATGAATACCACGCCAAGTTGCGCAAACATAACCGAATCTACAAGTTCTTTGACAACCGGCTCAACCAGTTGGAGCATTTCCTCGATAGGGGCTTGGAACCACCACTGGTTCGGTTGGACTATATTAATGACCGGTACATGGCCAAAGCAGTCAAATACAACAATCTCGAGAGACAGTTTCTCAACCGGTCGAGGGGTCAGGAGCAAAAAGTTGGAATCTCGAAAGGTGAATCCGCAGAATTTCCATCAGAAAACCAATCTAAGCCTGTTCTACTTGAGTCAGCCACCACTGCACATACACTACCCCCTGCATTACCATCTGCATTACCCTCTGCATCATCATCTGCATTATCCTCTGCATCACCCTCTTTATCTCCCTCAGAACCCTATAGCAAGCTCCTCCATTCTATCATCTCAGATACAGAGACCGTTTCAGACTCACACGTCAAATTCAACCGCGTACTCCTCACTGTCAAGGAGGCTCTCACATCCGAAACATTATCGGAGGAGGATCATGACCACTTACAGCGCACACTCGGCCACTATTATGCCCCTGTAAGCGGCAACATTTCGCGTGATGTGTTGTTCCACTACTGCTCACTCCTCCTTCACAACTTTGGCAGCGTTTCTACTTGCGTGCGCCTCACCCGGGAGAACCTTCCGGCGGCAGATTTGTCGGCATTTTGGTACCGTTTGATATTTGGCGACGGCGACACGCGTGCACGTCTTTCGTACCCCCAGTTGAGCAATGTATACGAGTTTTTGCGGTGTCTCGGGTCGCCCGAGCTGCGGAACCATATCCGCACCTCTTGGATGTACGCTGATCGCTCTGACAACGCCAACTTGGTGCATATTCTAGAGCACGACTACATGGCGTTGAACAAGGAGCTTGACTTTGCCGAGCATCTTGCGCAGGCTTCGCTCCAAGGCGACTCCCAATTCGAGGTTATGAATAACTTCTACGAGCTCCTCCGCACACACTACCACATTCACTTTAATGAGCTTATTGACATGAACAGCGACGTTTACCGCGAAGGCCCCAACTTCTCCCGTGACAACTGGCGTCAGCTCAGCATTCCCTTTCGTGTGTACCTTCTCTCTGCCTATCTCCAGCGCTTTTCGCTGGGCTACTTGCTGTTCGACCAGGTGAACCCTGCACACGTGGATTCTATCCAGAAAAATCTTGACCATGTTCACACGATTGTGTTTGACATCTTTTCCAATGACAGCGGCTTGATGGCCTGTGAAGGCGTTTTAGACCGGCTTCTCAAGGAAATGGTTCAGGTAAAGCGCGCTATGGCTGACAAGCTTATTGCTTCCGACATCAGCCACAAGCGTCATTCTGGGTTCTCGGTGAACTACCGGTCGGTGATAGAGCCCTTGCTGGCGCAAATATCACACCTTAGGCTCAGTGAGAGAGACTTTTCTCGCTTAATCGAGGTGCAAGGCATCTCGCAGGTGCGGTCCGAAAGCGTAAAGATATTTCTTCCCTTCGCCGCGCTGTATTGCAAAGGAAGCAATGTTTTCAGCAAGATTGTTGCGATGCAGTTTACCCAGTGCCAGGAGTCTGGCATGTTGCATTTGGTGTTGGACGAGGCGAGCCAGTACCTCAGCCACTTGGACGACCGGCTTATTGGCGACGTTCTCCTCGCGGGGTATTCAGTGTACTTGACCAAAACACGGCAAAACACCCTGGCGGAGCGAGAGTTGGCTACGGTGCGTACCGTGTTGGGAAGGATGAAGGAAAAAAGCGCTCGAATCTTGGACTACTTTATAGCGAACATTATCCGAAAAAGCAGCTACTTGAAGAAAACCCATTTAAGCGACTTGACGAGATTCACAGAGTTTATGGAAGAGGCGGGATTGGCGTACAAAATCAACGATCAGCTCTTTGACAGCGGTGTGTTTACATTTCTTTACCTCAAATATGGTAAGAGCATCCAGCAAAGGGACGTAAGATTTTTTCAAGAGCACTTTTCCTTGGATCAGCAGTTCCGGTTGCTCATATCTTTCACTAACAAGAACATAAAGAGCAAGAAAGTCGCCATATTTGACCCCATAATGGTGGATACGATCTTCGCAAACATATCCGAGGTAGATCCCGCGACGGTGGAGGCAAACAAGCGACTCTATGCGGCAAAAATCCTGGAATTGGACGCCAATATCACCCAGTATCGCTGCCATGCAAAGGGAAGCCTGTCCCGGGAAGTTGCTGCGACTTTCAAGAAACTCGCAGCCTTTCAAGACTTCTACAATCAGAAGCTCCACAGCTTGGTGACGCCTGTTTCCGCGGTCAACCGTCAGTTGAGCCGCCTAGCTTCCGTCTGTTTCTTTTCCAACAATAAACTCTGCGAAGGTCCAGTTTCCAAACCCGTTTCCAACAACCCGCGGGACTATTTGAAGAAGTATCGCGGAAACGTGCACGCGGACATTTTGGCTCATGTCACCGTTCCCAGTAAACCGACAGTCGTGATCAACCCCGACGTTACCGAGATCTGTCGGATAGTCAACTCCATCTTTCATACAAACCTGAGAGCCCCCCTGAAGTTCACCACACACAAGTACACCACGTTTGTGCTGAGGCTCGTGGACCTCTACATGGTGCAGCACCAGTTCGAGACCGCGTTCCGGCTCACGGAAGGGCTCGAGTACTGCCCTACTGAGGTCCGGGCCTTGGTGTTGCGCCGTTTAGCCAGTGTAAATCCTGAGGCGACGCGGCAGGTGGTGAAGAAGATTATCGCGGCCAAGGCACAGGGTGCGCTTCCGCCACAGTTGTTCCACGACATGTGTCTTGGGGTGATTGACTCGCCCCACTTGGGAGTCACCGCGAAGCATCGCTTCTTCCAGAAGTTGCAACACCAGGGGATGCTCAAGAGCAAGCAGGTGGCACGGAAGTACATCGTGAACGAGGTGAATGTGCATCTCCAGGCGGCGTACGAGCGGGGCAAGGGTTCCGTTTCGCGGTTTGCCAGTTTTGTCAAGAAGGCCGAGGCGGCCGGGGTTGATCCCAAGTTCATCAACTCGTGGTTGCTATTTGTAAAGCACATGAAGGTCAATCGCATGGGTTACTGGACCCGAAATAAGATGAGCAAGACCCAGCGTATGATCAAGAAGAGGGCAAAACAGAGAGATCCACCAGCATAAAGGATGCTCCATATGTAAGGACAATACATATACATTTGCCGAATTAGGAATTCAAAATGGTGACTGAAAAGTGTCTCCAGTTGTGGGTGTATGCTATGGAAAATGTCAATACCAACCAGTTTGGACAAAGCAAGGGTTTAGGTCTTGTTCTCCGGGATACACTATTCTATACTGTAAGATGGAAACAAATAACTGCATTACATTAACTAGAGCAATTATGGACCTGATACGGTTTATATAACCGACTTGTAGCTTGAATTTTTACGCAAGGAAATATTACAATGCAAACTAATTACTATTCACCCATTTGCACACCACGATATTCTGCGTATACACACGGTATATGAAGTTGGCTTGCAGGTCAACCAACAGGTAATATTCTAATTTTGAAAGGTTAGCTTTCTATCCCTAGTATTTCGATTACCGGAATTTCGAGCTATCTCCCGTTGCTTAAGTCGCATTAAATGAACATGTCTGATTACCCGAGATATTCATTAGCGCTGAACACTATATAAACCCCCTCCCGCACGTGAATATCCACCTGGGTGTCTCGCCGCATACCACATATTACTGCGAGACTGGCTATTTTTGCTATGGCCGCAGTATTTTTCAGCCTGCGAAGCTCCAATTTCGACCCTCTTGATTGGCCATGCACTCCGACTAGCACCCACCGGGCCGCTCCGATTTAATAAAAAAATGTACAATATTGGAGATTGTCTCATATTTTTTATCCAATACTACACCCCCAACCTTTCTCGTTTTTTTTTATTAAATCTGCGTAACCATCACCCCGTAGACTCGTCCTATAACGGGCAATGTATAGCGCTACCCTATTGTTATGAGCCCCGCGAAATATCAGCCAATTTCTGGCGCGAGATTAACCAGAAAAAAAAAGTACACATTAAACGTATACTTATCGGTCCACCACCATACTCCCACCACTATATAATGTTCGCTGTCCGTGCCGCTTTGAGAGCCAGATCCGCCGTTGCTGTCCCACGCCAATTGGCTGTCACCAGAATGGCCGCCCCAATGATCGCCAGACCTATGGCCGTTAGATTCTACTCCGCCATGATGGAGGACATGGAGGAACACACTGCCAAGTTCACCAAGGATTTGGAAGAGGCCTACGACATGTTTGAGGTCTGCCGTGTCATTAACAACGCCTTCTCCCACGATTTGGTTCCATCCCCAGCCGTTTGTGAGACCGCGTTGCGCGCTGCTAGACGAATCAACGAGTACGCCGTTGCCGTCAGAGTCTTTGAGATGATTGAGGCCAAGGTTGAAAACAGCGCTCAGTACGAAGCCTACTTGGACGAGTTGAAGGACATCAGAGAGGAGTTGGGCATTGAGTTGAAGGCCGACTTGTACCCAGAGGGCATCTTGTCCCACTAAGCGATTAGTCCCCTTAGATCTCTGCATCCCCCTTACATTTCTTCTATTTATTTCAAAAACCACAGCCAGCATTGCCGGGCCCGCTTTGAATAAGTTTTCCCACGACTAATAAAGTTTAACGTTACCTAAGTGTAGGATTGGATATTATTTGTAGTAATTATCCAGAGGCATAAGGTGCTGCCACCAATAATGTGGATATTCATCTATATGCTGGGCGAAGAGATTTCAGGAGAGTGATGTATTGAGATTTATAAGTGTAGTTGCCGCCCAGGAGTACCCTAATCTCGATCAAGAATAAGTTGAATGCAGCAGTGAGTGAGCTCGATATATTTAAGGAAAACCGGCAAGGAAACGTTTCGAACAAGACCCACTCAAAATCCAATAACGTTAGTATATGGGTTGGCATCCGATGGTTCGGCTGGGTTTGCACCTAGATAGCCTCATTCAGCTCATGAATCGTTTCTACTCCAGGGAATGAGGCACTATCGGAATTTTCTTACACAAACAGGTAAATAGGGTCTTAGATTATACATCTTGGCGCAACGATTGAATCGTCACTACGGGTTACGAAATAAAAAAAAAAAGCGTCCAACCCGAGACTTAGCAATATATCATTGTAGATTAAACGGCGGTTTGAGAAATCCTAGCTGACTATTTTACCATCGGAAAAGTCATCATGTTAAGAAGGATCGAATAACGCCTCAGCAAAACATAGGGTATCGTTACCTACACTACAAAGAATCCAACTTTGGCTTTCTCCACATTACCAATTAGAGCTCACTTTAATATATACACTAGCAGGTCGGTGCTCTCTTCATACATAGCTATGACTACATATTTCGAAACCAAGTCCCGCTGCGCTCACTCTAACTATACATGAACGACGCGTTCTGGTAGAAGTTCAACATCGGGTTCTCCCCCTTCTTCGTCTTTGTATGATCAACATCTGCCCACTGTTCCAAAAACGCACGGTGCGAGGCAAGAGCTGCCGTCTTCCCCGTAATCTCTCTGTACAACTCACACGCTAACTCAAAGTTAGTCGGGAACATGATATCGAAGAACCCCTGGTACACCATGTATGTGTCGGTGGTGACCATCTTAGAGCCCAACATGGTCTGCACGACCGGCGCGGTATATCCGGGCAGGGCGTCCGGAAGGTAGTGGAAATCGGACGTCAACAAGCTGTGGTTCGGAAACTTGTACTTCAAGATGTGGAAGAACTCCACAAGACGCGTAGGCACGTACTCGGCCTGCGAAAGGCCATAGCGGAACGGCCACCACTGATTCTTCATCTGGCGCCAGTAGAGCGGTTCGTCAAGCGGCATCTGCGGTTTCCATACCTTTTTGGCCCTCTCCATGAGGCTCAAGTCCTGGTTATCGCCGTTGGACGCGAACTTCGTGCGCTCTCTAAGGTTCAAGAACGATTTTGTGTAGGGGGTCAATTCCGGCGAGTAGAACTCCTTGAAGTCACCGTTATCATCCACCGAGACGTAGCCCTGGTAGGGCTGCTGCGTGAGGTTGTCGTATCTAACAACGTCATGGGAGAAATTGTCAAATACTTCTAACGCGATGAAGTAGCAGGGATCGGTGACCTTGGTGTCCCATTCAAAGATAGACTTGTTGATGATCTGAACCTTTGAAGCATCGAGGTTGTTTTCCGCCAACTTGAGCGAGATCGCGCTCTTCATCTGTTTGGACGCGAGCTTAGACGAAATCTCGATGATCTTGTACTTTGTGCGGGCGTAGATGTCCGGCTGGTGTTGGCGGATGTACGATAAAATGTTGGCCATCAACGTCCCGTTACCACCTCCCATTTCGTAGATGATAAGGTCGTTGTACGGGTACTGGTTGAGCTTGTAGTTCATAAGGATGTAGTTGGCCAAGGCTTCACCATAGAACGGCAGGAACAACTCCGTTGGCGTGTGCCACAACTGCACAGACTGTTGCTTTGACTTTTGCGCAACATCCATAACGCCAGAATCCGTCTTTTCGGTCGCCACCGGAGGTTCATATTTCTTGTACTCTTTGTACCACTGGTTGATAAACTCATCGTTGTCCCTGATATTGTTGTAGTCAAACGGCTTTTCTGTCTGGAAAATCTCCACCTCCTTGTTGAAGTATCCATAGTGCGGGTTGTACAAGGAGTCTTCGATAAAGTCGCTGGTCAACATCTTCACGTTCTTCGGTCTCTTGGAGAAACGCGCCAACTTGGCGGAATCCACCGTGGGAAAGCTCTCGAACGTGTCATTCACCGATCGGTCGTTCAACGGATCACGCGACACGTACGTCGCAAAGTACTTGAAGAACTTGCTATCCTTGAGATGCATCGTCTGCTTGTCAAGCGGCAAAACCGACTCTGGTTCGTCAGACACCTTGAAAGAGTACGTGTACGGTGTGATGGAGTACTCTACCGGGTACTGCCAGTACTGGTTATCCGGATCGGCTTTTGTCGACACTACACTGCGGCGTCTTAACTCGGCACGCGAAACCACTACCGACGTTTTGCTGTTGGAGTCCGTCACGAGCCCTACCTGACCCGCGGAAGTGCCTTCAACGGCTACCGGCAAGTTGTTTTGCGCGTGCACCACAGAGCCCTCCCGGGGCTTAGACGACGGCGTCTTCTTCTCTAAGAAGGTTCGTTTGAATATGGAAACCGGCGAGGCGGCGGATCGCCGGGAATAGCGCAACATGAAGAATGGATCGGCAAACATAAGTGAGATGATTTCACAGGCTGAATGTAAAGTAATATTTTTCGGCAGTCACATGACCTAACGTGTTGTGCCCAGAGTATGGTAAAAAGACTCATAGCCAGGATAATGAGATACGATAACTTTAAAAAGGGCGAGGAAGAGGGAATGTTTGGTGATTTATCTCCATTGTTAAAATAACCAAGATTATTGTTTTATTTCGGCCGTTTGGCGCCTAGTGCAAAGCCTTTGTAATTTTCAGTCAGATACCTCATTGCAGTATCCAATTGTACTACATCTTCCCGTTTAAAGACAAGCATGCCTAGATAATTTAATCATATTACAATACAAGATATACACAAATCTAACCACACCTAACGATTGTAGTTGTTACCATACCCATTCTGGATGTGTCTGTGGTTACTTCCACCTCTACCACCTCTGCCGCCTCTGCCACCCCTGCCACCTCTGCCTCTGAAATCGCCTCTACCACCTCTGCCTCTCCCGTTGTCGTACCCACCATGGTTCTGGCCGTAGTTGGTGTAGCCCCTGTTACCCGTTTGATATGGGACCTGGCCGTTCATCAATGCGCGCATGTGGTCCTGCTGGACACTCTGCTGCTGCTGCATTTGGTAGAACTGGACGAAGCCTTTAAAACCGCCAAAACGGATGCCGTACATCTGATTGCCAGCCTTCCCGGTGTTGACGTACCCGGACTGGGAATTCTGCTGGTGGTTGTAGAAACGGTTATTGTTTCCTCCGTAGCGGACACTGTCGATGTCCTCCTGGGTCAAGACCTTGGTGTGCAGCACGTAACCCGTCAACAACATGGACTTACCTGGAAGCTTGCGCGGTGGCATGTTGTACTCCAACTGAAGGTACAGATGGGTCTGGAGGTTAGGCATCGCCACGGCGTTCGCTGGCAAGTCTTGAGGGGAGAAAGGGAACTCGACGATGGAGTCTTGCTTGTAGGCGTCCGTCTTGGCCACGATACCGGCCAAACCAGATCTGTGGGACTTGAAAACAAGCTTCTTCGTTTCCGCTTCGTCGTACAAGGCCTTAAACTTTGCGTAGTTGGCATTCTTGGCGCTGACAAACAACACCTCCTCTCTGCGCTCGTTTCTGTACTTTTCTAGCTCGGTCAACTTTGGGTACTGCGCCCTGACGACACGCAACAAGCGCTCCTCATCGATAAACGGCAAAAGAGCAATCCCCTGCCATGCCATCTTGGCACCATTCATGTCGATCTCAAACTCCTCAGGGTAGAAGTCAATGATCTCCGAGTCTGGTTCTGCCATCAACGGCTTGAAAACAGCAGGCAAGTTATGCGCAGAGGCCAATGGCAACACTGACATGAGTTGTTCATACGGTCTGAACGGCTCGCCTGGATTAAGGTCCACAGTGACGCCGCCCAAGTCCGAAAAGTCAGCGGCGAACGGCGCGTAGTGGAAGGGAAAGTACCAGTTCCACGATGGGCAGTCCTGGTAGTAATACAACAATACCCACGAGATTCCCTCGATGTACGACTGGATCACGTCGCGCTGAACTTTCTTGATCGCCTCCTCCGTGTGCACGTGGAACTTGGTGGTGTAGTAGCGCTCACGGTAGCCTGGCTCGTACATTCTCACCTTGTCCTCGTTTTCTTCAGAATGGTCCGTGGCACCCTGAACTGGGATCACAGAGGCCTCCAATTTGCGCTTCTCACCAATGGAGGCATCCACAGCACTAATAGCACTGACAGGCTTCTTCAACAAATTTTTCAACAAATCGGCAGCCTGCTGGTTATTCATGTTGGCCCTCAGAATGGTGTCCTTGTTGGCAACCAACTGCTGGTTTGTCAACTGCAAATCACCGGCGCTCTCACCCTTGGTATCATACAAGGGAACCATCGCCGAGGGTGTGACTGGCGCCCTGTCGCTACCCACAGAGACCTGCGATATGAACTGATTTCTCACCAGGTTGGCGGATTCGCTCACCTGGTTTCTCTTCTTGAAACTGGCCTCGCGTCTCTTGTTACCCTCGTGGCGCTTGCGGAAGATGTCTCCTTCCTGCTTGGCTAGCTGACCCATCAAGGCCTCCACACCGGCGAGATTCAAGTTACCGTCGCACGTCACATACGTTTTCAAGCCCGGGAGAATGTGTTTCCAAATGCTCACGAGGATGTCGATACCATTGTCTCTGACGTCCAACGACGGCAAGTGCGGTAAGAAATCGTTACCCACAAAGAAACACATGAACACCCAATCGTCAATCGCGCGCTCCAAGTCAAACTTGAACGGCACAGCATGTGGCGGCGGCTGGAGCTCGACCGCAAGGTACTCACGGAGCACATTCACGTGGAGCCACAAGAACGGCTTCTTCTCGTCCTGCTGCTGCAATCTCTGAAGATGTTCTGCAGTCATGGAGATCTGATCTGCAACGCGCAAGCGCTGGTTCTGGTTGGCAAATACATCTTCACGGAGGATACGGAAGTGTGGCTCGTGGGTCGCCAAGCCCAAGAAGATCAAATCGGCATCCAACCCGTAAATCGCATGGGTGGTGTTGGGATCGTGCTCCGGGTCCGCTCTCTGACTTCTGATGAAGTTCATGATCTTGTGTTCACCCTCACCCGGAACCGAGGCATCCGAGATGATCACCTGGACGTCTGCCCAGCCGGGGTCGGAAGACAACTTGTAGGCGACCCAGTATCTCAAGGCTTCGGCAAGCTTGTACATGAAGGGAGTACCCGGGGTAATGGCGTTGGAATCCCACGATTTTTTGTTCTTGATGGCGTCATCGATGATCTCGCCTCTCATCTCCTTGTCCTTGAGTTGTCTCTCCTTCTCTTCTGCGTTGATTTTGGATTCGTTGGCCGATCTGAACCGTCTGGAACGCTGCTGGTTCATCTTCGCACGCGGCGCCACACCATCGACTGCAATCATAAGAATTTTACGTGGTCTAGCCATCATGAGCACACGGTCCGTGTACTTGAACACCTCCATTAACATTTCCTCTTCGGTCTCCGGCGGTGGTTTGTTTTCTGGGTGCGAACACGGGTGCACGATACCGTTCATGTCGAGGTACAAGTTGTCCAACTCACCGTTGGGGTTCGCGTTGGAGTAGAGTGGCGGAATTGCCTGCCCGTCCACGATCTGCTCGTCTTCCTCGACCACGGGCGAAATGATCTTTGGGTATTTCTTTGACAACCATCTGAAAAGCGCTGGAACACTAGGAAGGTTAGTACTGAGGTAAAGAAGCGGCGGAAGCAGATATCAGATCGCTGTATGGTGCACAGGGCGAGTCCCAACCATCCTGGCTTTCTAATCCATATTCTTTTTTTTGCTTCCGGTAATATTTTGATCAAAGAATCTTTACGTACCCCATAATCAATTATTTGCGTGAGTAGTGTCTTTGGGTTTCCAGGCCAACTAAGCGACTCTTTTTGATTCTTTTGTTTTCAGACACGCTGCACTGCGTTTGGGACGAATTTTTTCAGCAGGTGCGTTTCAAACACGTGACGTGAGGATATACTGGAGTAAGTATGAATCCGTTATCATTCAAGAGTATAGGAGTTTTACTATCTTCAGGATTCCGGTGTAAACTTTTTTTTTCCAGAAGTGATACAAACAACTACTAATATGCCATAGGATAGTCAAATTGGTCGTCTACCGGAGGTAGTTTGAGCCCTTGGGACTGGAACATTCGGTCGACCGTGCTAGCGGAGAAGAACTGCCAACCAAACCATGATATACCCGCATTTTTGATAATTTATCAGCAAAGTACATTTATCTTTATTGTGAGTTTTGAGACCAAAGGTTTTTGGTAATTTCCCGACTGATACTACCAACAAAACCGGTACAGTATTCACTTTACATGCCAGCTTCAAATCCAAATTAGTTTCTAAGGACTAGTCTTTAGATTCAGCCAACGCATCTTTGTTTCCAATATTAAAAAAAAAGTTTGCTAGCATTGGCTATAGGATACATCAGCGTATACTCGAAATCATGATCCCTAAGCAGCACCCACAAACCAATCTAGGTTGCCAGCCAAGGACCGAGCATAAATGCAGCAAAGACGGAGTAGGTAAACATACCTACCTGAATCAGGCGACGCCACGTCTTTTAGCTAGCCCGAAAACCCCTACAACCACACTCTACAGATCTTTGCCATTGATTATTAAGGGCACTTAGCAAGAATAAAAATAAAATAAAAATAAAATAAAAATTACTACTCCGTTCCAGCGGTCCCCGTCTTGACCTTGACCAAACCGTTCAAAAGCTCGTCGTATGCGTCGTTCAACGCATCATCATCCGACACCGACGACACGGAGGACCGGCGCTCCTCAAGCTTCTCAGAGCCCATAGTGGCGGCCACATTCCTAAGCTTTTCCACCGTGAGTGTCTCCTTCTCGTTCGGGCACACCTTCTGAAACAAGCTCTCCAAGGAAATCCCCGATTCTTTCAACGTCTTCAAGTAGGCAATGACCTCGGTGCTCTCAGTGTCTTCCAAGCGCGCACGGATGACGTCACCACTGACATCACAGAAATTCATGTCCATGTGGGTATGAGGAAACATGGTGGATATTTTCAAGGCCTTCCCCTCACCTTCATCCGCTAAAGTATTTACTCTGGTAGAAACAGACGTGCGGGGGATCTCCTGGACAGGCTCATCCGTGTGTTTAAAGTGAGAGAGCTTGTTATTATCCTCAGTTCGCAGTTCATACACGTACCGGGCGTTGGAATTGTCAATAACAGGAGCAATGCCATTCAAATTAGATTCATCCAGTGACCCATCTGAATCGTCATTTCCTGGCTCCGTTTGCCCGTTCAAATCGAGCTTAGTGCTGTAGTCCATCAATAGCTCCGCCTTTGTCCCATCACTCTTCACCAATCTGTGCTTCAAAAGATTCAACGCCCTTTCAATTGACGAGTCGAAGAAACACAACCGGATCAACGTCTCTTTTCCTTCGGTGCTCAACGCGTCCTTGAGCTGGAGCTTGAATAAGGCGGTCATCAGATCGTGCAAATTCCTGCGGACTGCACGGCACTGGGTCAAGAAAACGGTAATATCGTGGTGAGATAAGGCAAACTCTTCGTCCGAGTTGAAATCCTTGAAAAAGTCAATGATCTGGGCCGTCAAGGACCGCGCGGCGGTTTCAAACGGTGAGTTCGCGTCGCTGACGCGCGCGCGCATGAGCTTTTCCGTATTTTTCATCGTCAAGAGCCCGATCTTCTCCTTCAATTGCACCGGAATCTGGTCGTAGTCGATATCCAACATGATAATCGACGACGAAGCCTTGAGCGCAGCGGTGAGTGCTGCGACGCACGGCCCCGTGAGCTTGTTGCCAACCAAGGAAACGTAGTTCAACTTCAAGCAAAGAGGCAACACCTCAGCCAAGCGGATGATCGAGGTTGGATCTAAATCGTTGTAGTCCAAGTTGAGTCTCGCAAGGTTCGGAAAGAGAGGGAGATTATATGTCAAATGGTCGATAAGCCCCGGGAAAAGCTTCTTGTTTCCTGATAAATCAAAGTACTTCAAGTCTGGGAGCTGCGACCCGACAGTGACAAGCTCCTCGGTGTCCTTGAGGTTGCTCAAGTTGGTCGAGTTGAGCGAGATTAGCGAAAGTTGGGAGTCCTTGAATTGCGACAGAACCTGTTTTCTCGCCGCGGCCGTTAACAATGGAAGCGTTGCCGACAAATCGTTGTAGCCAAGATCCAAACCACGGATCACCTTCAAGTTCTCCGGGCGACCTAACCAATCCGCAAGAAGCTCGAGATGGCGCTGGGTCAAGCCGTTATGGGCCAACCCCAACCGGACGGTCTGAAGGGGCACAGCAGACTCCATAAATTCCGCAAAGAGCTTCACATCGGGTATTTTGCACCCGGAAAGAATGATCTCCTCAATCCCTCCACGCGTGATTAACGCCGCCACAAACTTAGACCAGTCCATGTCGGATCTGTCGGACAAATTACACTCCATCCGCTCGATCAGGTTCGCCACCTTTTTGCATTTTTTTGCCAAAGATGGCACCTGGGTGATGTCAATCTTGGACAAACTTGCGTTCCGGGTTAGGAATAAGCAGAGAAGTGTCCATCCGTCGGAATCGATCGGGGTATTTCTTAACGAAAGCTTTTTCAAGTTCTTTTTAGCTGTCATCGACGCAAGAAGAATGCGGAACATTTCTACCGAGAGGCTGCATCCATCGAGGGACACATGGATGACCGGCGCAATGCGGAGGAAATCTGCAAAGGAGAGCACTTCTACAAGTGACGGCCTGGTGTTGGTGAGTTCTAGCACGGGGAGAGGGTCCATGGCGCCTTTGGGGATCTGTTTGAGCGTTCCCGGGATCGGGAGAATTTCCCGGAGGTGACAGCACCGGGTGTACATGAGGTCGAGAGCCATGAGGTGGAGAGAGGAGGAGGAGGAGGAGGAGGAGGAGGAGGATGAGTGGGTCTTGTGCATTGGCGTGTCGACGGTGATGGCTTTGGCGTGAGTGCCCACCAGTACATCCTTCGACCGCTTCTTTGACTCCGAAGGAGGAGAGGAAGGGGCGTGACTCGGGGCACTAGCCTCGCTGTTAGCCAAGGGAGCTGTCTCGTCCACTTCCAGGGTGTTCGCCTTGTCCGTTTCCTGGGAATCACCCTCGGCCACACCTTCCGCACTAATTTCGGCCTCTTCTTTCAGATACATTCTCCCCCCCACGACAATACCCCGCCCCCCGCTCGCCTGAATCATCTTCTTATCGCTCTCTGTTAACGCATGGATAACAATCTGGTTTGGATCCAACATAGACTTCGACCGAATCACCTCCACATTCCCCTTCCGCGGGTTGCGGCTCGGAATCTGCTGCGGCGGATCAATCAAAAATGTCTGTGACGAAAATGAAACGTGTTTCAAAACTGGAATCGCCTCGGGCTCGGGATAAATCACACTGGGGGTCGCAGGCCGGGACAGGGTAGAGGCGGAGGTGGCAACCGCGACCGTGGAGCCTCGCCGCTGGTTCAACAAGCTCTTCCAGCCGTTGTCGGTGCTGCCACGGCGCCCGAACAAGCCGGACGCTGGTTCTGCTTCGCTCTGGCTCGCACAGTGTTCACGGAAGGCAATTGCCGCGGCGTTGGAGTTTGTCGCGGAGGACGTTGCCCCGCCAAAAGCGGTGTAGCCGTACTCCGCTGCCTTGCCCTTCTCCACATTACCAATGTCTTTGTGGCTGATGATTATGGGGTGCCTGACGGGCTTCATTGCTGGTGGGAATGGCGAAGTAGGTGGGAGGGCGGGGAGTGGCACCCCCACCTCGTCCACCTTGGAGCGAACCCCAGGTGAGGTGGTGGCAGTGGCACTTGTCAGACGCTTTTTCTGTGAGAGCTTCTTGTAGTACGCAAGGTACGACGCCAACTTGGCTTCTTCATCCTCGGTGGTCTTCCCGATGGGTGCGGGGGTGCTCATCGTGCGCGAGAGGATGGGCGGTGCGGGCTCCGGAGTGACACAGGGCAACGTATGTCCGATTTCCGCGGCCAGAGGTGGGGGTGACCCCAGTGGCAGAAATGAAGCGACGGGCGCCGACGTTTTGGAGAACTTCCGTGAGAGCTTGCTAAAGAAGCCGGTCTTGGACTTGGAGACGGCGTTGACGGACTGCGATCTGATGCGCCCAGGAACGTGGGTGGTATTGGTGGCTGTGAGAGGTGTGACCGTCTTGGGCTGGATGGGGGTGTACGCGGGGCCGGCAGGGGAGGTGGCTGCCGTGGTGGCTGCACTAAGCAGATCGTCCTCATCCAGGGTGCTATTTACCTTGTTGTCATTTTCCACCTTGACTTCACTGATGGTGGAAGGAGTGGAAGTGGGGCTTGGGGGCTGCGGAGTCAGGCTGAAGCTTTCGTCGGGCGCAATATGAGACCCGCGGAGCACCCAGCTGAGATCGCCGTTGGAGATCCCATCTAGGACATGGGAGATGTCAATTTGGGACATAGAGCGATTTACGTGTGTGTCGGGGGATTCTTTCGGAGCCGATTGCTTGAGGCTGGCTAGATCTGATAGATGGGTGCACACTCTGGGTACACAGTCTGGGTGGTGGTAACACGGAGGTGGGATAGAGATTGCCAGGGTTATCAAAAAAGTGTTGTAGGCAAATGCAAGACCTGGTGCTTTCTTTGAGCTTGGATTTTTGAGCTTGGATCTTTGAGCTTTCTTTTAGCCTAGAGTGCAACTTTGGCTTATTCTGTAGATGGCTAAACACCGTAGAAGGAAATACTAGCTTAACTTAATTCTCTTTTATGTGGCCTAGTGATTTACAACCCGCAAGGAGATACGATGACCTCCGCTTGACCGTCAACCAATCTGGGCCGATTCTGCAGAGGCAGGCGGTCGGCAGGTCTCTCCACTTTCTGGGCCCCAGCCCGTTACCATAAAACAAAATCACGCACGCTGCAGCAATTTTCCGTCAGACGCACTAGCGCGCACATAAGACGACACGTGCCGACTTCCGTGGCAGGTGAACGCAGAGAACGTCTGGGCTTTGCGTCCCGTAGCCGAAAGGATATAAGGGTGGTATATTTGATGGTCAGTATCCATAAGTAATGGCAGTAAACTGGACATTATAGTCATATTCTAGAGCTGGAAGCCGTCATCCTCAGAACTTTTACGGCTCTATTGGTGTGCTCTGACGTATTGCGCGGAGACGTCCGCATGGAAACACATCGTGCAGGATTGGCGCATGAGGCCTAATAGTCTAAACTAGAGCCCAGGGACCGTATCGGCCCATGGGATGTATGTGGGCCGTCTGCCATGGCATTGCTATAAATTGCTGTGACTACAAGGTAAGGGGTCTGAGAGTTGCAAGGTAGGCTGGGTTGAACTGAGGATGGATGTATCGCCTGCGTTAACGTGACATCGATATGGACAAGCATTATAGAAAACTGCATGCCAATTGAATACGGATGACGTGAACATGGCTTTGAGGGGGGGTCGATCTCACTTATCTCCCGTAGCTAGTACGACTAGTCTTTTATCTCTTTTGCTCATCCTGGGGGTAATCCCAAGGTGCTACACACTTGGAAATTTCTGCATTACGTGCGATTTAAATTTCGTCATCGGTGGAAAGTATCTATTGCAAGATAGAACACAATTGGCGGGAAACTTCACCCATAAGCGGTCGAAAGCCAGGGTAAGGTGTGTTTATCTTGCGCTAGAGCTTATCGCATTTAAGGGGATATAATTGGACTTGGCTTAAATTTTACAGCGTACCTGTGTTACTTCCACGACCCTCGGGATTCATATCAGTGCATATCCTGTGCAAAGCCGTCGGTAGGGACAGGCCTAAAGCATGACTGACATGTGGGGATTGGAGAAAATCAGTGTTCCGTGAAACGCTAAATAGCTTTCGCAATCGAGCGATATAGACATTTTCCAGTATCAAGCATTGACATTCCACTGCTTCATTCGTCCCTGGTGGGTATCTGGAATTGATACCATCATTTTGCAATTAACACGTAGCAGGCGAGGTTCGTCAAATCCTCACCCGGTAGATCCTAGAGTGGCCCTATAAAGCGTGGCGTATTCTCCCAGTGGCAGCCGGGCGTGGCGCAGTTGTGGCGCAAACCCCGCGCATCCGTTTGCTCCTCCGCGCCGTCTCAGGCACGAGACCGCGAAAATTCCACGGAGAACAATCCACGAACTAGTCACGTAAATCGAGGTTCATCACGTCTGATCTGTTCAACTACGTGTCTTGTCTGATTCTTATCTTAATCTATATCCAAAATGCCAGTATACACCGTTTCTCATGTGCAAAATGTACGTGTTTGCGTGGTCATGGTAGGCTTACCAGCTCGCGGCAAGTCCCTTCTTGCCCAAAAGAGTATGTATGATGATTTAAAACGGGAATAATGACGGACGGGAAGACTGGAAGGGTGAAATGACCATAAACTTGATTGGATAGACTTGGAGTCCCAGCCTTGAGCCAAAAACGCCCCGGCGTCATTGCGAACCTTGGAGTTTCCTTCTATTCACCTTTATGACCTCGGAGGTTTTAAGTAGTTCTGGAAGGTTTATCATGCTGGTATATTGATTATCAATGTCATTCACTTGGCTAGCTGAGACATGGTTCAATGACATGTACCTGGCTAGAATTCAGATATGGCCATGGTTTTTGCCAACTATACGAATCAAACATTCGTCTTTGGATAGCTTGGGGAATATTTCAGCGGTGTCGCTAAACGCCTGTCGCCTATGCCTCTTGTTCCCATCTCCAATTTCCATTTAACCTCTTCTACTCATACTAACTCCTTTAGTCGTTAGATACCTTTCGTGGCTCTCGATTAAGGCCAAATGCTTCAACGTAGGCACATACCGCCGCCAGACAGCTTCCCAACCGGATGCCTCGTTCTTCGACGTGGAAAACCCCGAGGGGCTCGCGGTCCGCGTGGAGGCGGTCAACAAGGCAGTGGCGGATATGATGTCGTGGTACGGCGACGAAGCGGGGGTTGTGGGAATTTTGGACGCCACCAACTCGACCAGAGTAAGAAGAGCGTGGATCTTGAAGCTTCTTCGCGAGAACCGCATCGAGCCGTTGTTCTTGGAAAGCTGGTGCGATGACTCGGAGCTCATTATGAATAACATCTTGGACGTGAAGACCACCTCTCCGGACTACGCTGGGAAGGCCCCTGACTTTGCCGTCTCTGACTTTTTGGCTAGAATCGCCAACTACGAAAAGGTGTACGAGACACTCGACATGGAAACGGATAAGGACTTGACGTTTATTAAGTTGATCAATGTCAACGCCCAAATCATCATCAATAAAATTGAAACCTACTTGGAATCCCGGATTGTCTACTACGTGATGAACCTACACATCAAGCCGCGGGCGATCTGGTTGTCCCGCCACGGTGAGTCTATGTACAACGTCAGCGGCCAGATTGGGGGCAACGCAGACTTGTCGCCACAGGGTTGGGCCTATGCCAAGAAATTGCCTCAGATTGTGGCGGACTCTGTCGGCCCTGGCGAGTTGACCGTTTGGACATCCACGTTGAACCGAACCCAACAAACAGCTTCCAACTTGCCGTTCAAGAAGCTCCAGTGGAAGGCATTGGATGAGTTGGATGCCGGCGCCTGTGACGGCTTGACGTACCAGCAGATTGCGGAGGACTTTCCTGAGGATTTCAAAGCTAGGGACGATGACAAGTACGAGTATAGGTATCCTGGTGGGGAGTCCTACAGAGACGTGGTGATTAGATTGGAACCGATCATCATGGAACTTGAGAAGAACGAGAATATCTTGATTGTGACCCACCAGGCGGTGTTGAGATGTATCTACGCCTACTTTATGAACATTCCGCAGGAGCAGAGTCCGTGGATGGATATTCCGTTGCACACGTTGATCAAGTTGGAGCCGCGCGCGTTCGGGACTATGGTGGAGAAAATCAAGGCGAATATCCCGGCTGTGAGCACGTACAAAGAGAAAGGGACGTTTGAGCTTGGGGTGGATGATGCCAAGGTGAATGACGTGAAGAATATCATCACCAGAGCGTAGCCAGCGTCAGCTATGCTCTCGATTTCTCTTGGGTGGGGGTACATACAGTGAATGTTACGAAATGTATAGGATGATCACTAGGAATTGTTTCAGAGGTCTGGCTTGTTTTAGCTAACTGGAAAAATACCGTCAATTAATTGGTCATAACCGGAACTAGGGTAACAACCTCTGGACCTAAAGTTGCATGAAAAAAAAAAAAGGACAAACGGAACGTTCTCCCTACCAGTCAGTCATTGTGCATATGCACTGCGGACAAGTGGTAGAGAAGGTACCTTTTGAGGGGGTTACTCCGACTTTGGTTACTGATAAAGTCTAATACAGGTACCGTATGTATCTTAGCTTTAGACCAAACCGTAAATCTGACTGGCTTTCTTACTCTACTTGTCATCGTAGGCCATTTATACCAATTCTGGATTCCATTGATGCATCGCTTCCAAACAGATAAGTTTCGGTCGCATGTGAGTTCAAGTGATCTCAGATGTATCGTAGCCATGCATTTTTGTCGAGGGAACGGAGCCAGAACATGCCATTTCTGGCACTACCTTCCCTAAATTCTCCGTAATGTACGCTTTTCTAAACCCAGGGTTTGCTCAGGCCCAAGCTACAAGCTTACACGCTATGGCCTTGGAACAATCAATTGAGAAATATTCCCCACGCAGGGTAGATCCTAACGGATCGTGATGAATTTTGTTAAAGCGCAAGGTCAAAACACAAATATCGGCTTTGTTTAATCCACCCTTGATTCGGATAAATATATTGTATTCCAGGATTAGAGCTTAATTCATTAATCTTCCGTTTCCTACTTCCTTTCAAGCGTCGAAGGCCTGTACGCAAGAATACTCGTCTATAATTGCCTATCTCAGTGGAATGACGACTTGGAAAAAGGGTTATTGGGCGGCCTGCAGTGGTGCGCGGGGTAAGGCGAGCTCCGTCTAGGAGTGGAATCAGATTTCCGTTCCGTGACGAGAGGCTGGAGTTTGTCCGGGAAACGACCTTTTGCAGTGAAGGCCAGAGACACTGCTCTTTCTGAGAAGAATAATTATGAGGCTGCAGAGCCGGGCGCATGAAACTGATTATCGTGGGTGCACGAAATGGATCATCGTTTGAGCCATATCACAAGAGGGCGCGACCAAGATCGGATTGTGCTTACAAATGCTAACAGAGCACGTGACGCCCTCGGTGGCACCTGGCGGGCCTCGGGTAAAGTACCGGGGGTTTCAACTCCGCAGCATGCGGTGACTCCCGGAGCTTTTACTCACCAACCATACCTCAGCATAGGAACAGAGACAGCTACTAGAGCCTGGTATATATATAATAGCACGAATATGCGTAGAAGGGTTTAGCCCTTTAGCAGCAATCCTAAATTGTCAATTATTAGTTAATCAAATCGTTTGTTCCTCTACCAGAGGGACGCGCAGTGCAGCCCCGGAGACGTCCCAACACCTGCCGCCAAAGTGGTACAGTATTTCCGGAAACGTAAAGGAAGAATCTATTACCGGGCATACCTCCTACATAATACGAGCTCGGAGCCGATCGGAGGCACGCACGGCAGCTACCCCGTACGATTAGGCGCGGTGGCTCCACAAGCGTGCGCTTACATAATCAAGTGATAACCGTGTAGCGATGAAGGAGACGGGCAAAAGTACTATACATATGAAAGGCAGAGAGCAATAAGGGGCGGCCTATGGTGTCTCGGTTTCGTGGCCGTGGAATCACCTCGTAGTTCTCCACCGTGGAACTTTAATGACCTCTGGCTATGTAAATACCAGCGTTGCGTTCGTTGCAGGACATGTCGCACCTCGGGCACACCCGATCTCGTTCGGGGGTGGAAAATTCCCCAGCATCTTGCTGGGGGTACATGTCCGTAGGAGGGGGTATAAATTAGTTGCAATTCGTCGTCCCGTTATCTTCTTCTCTCTTTTCTTTCCCCTTTCATATATTCTGTACATATATAACAAAATGGCTGCTACTCAAAAGATCAAGGTTAAGACCCCAATCGTCGAAATGGACGGTGATGAGATGACCAGAATCATCTGGGCGCTCATCAAGTCGGAGTTGATCTTGCCACACTTGGACGTCGACTTGAAGTACTACGACTTGGGGATCCAGTACCGTGACGAGACCAACGACCAGGTTACCTTGGACTCCGCCGAGGCCACCTTGAAGTACGGGGTTGCCGTCAAGTGTGCCACCATCACCCCAGACGAGCAGAGAGTAGAGGAGTTCAACTTGAAGAAGATGTGGCTTTCTCCAAACGGTACCATCAGAAATATCTTGGGTGGTACTGTCTTCCGCGAGCCAATCATCATCCCAAGAATTCCAAGAATCGTGCCACAATGGGAGAGGGAGATTATCATCGGCCGTCACTCCTTCGGTGATCAGTACAAGGCCACCGACGTTGTCATCCCAGGTGCCGGTTCCTTGAAGCTTGTCTACGAGCCAAAGGACGGTTCCCCGGCCCAGGAATTCAAGGTCTTTGACTACCCAACCAACGGTGGTGTCGCCCTCGCCATGTACAACACCACTGATTCCATTAGGGACTTTGCCCACGCCTCCTTCAAGGTTGCTATCCAGCGCAAGTTGCCATTGTACATGTCCACCAAGAACACCATTTTGAAGAAATACGACGGCCGGTTCAAGGACATCTTCCAGGAAATCTTCGAGGCCCAGTACAAGCCAGCGTTTGATGCTGCCGGGATTTGGTACGAGCACCGTTTGATCGACGACATGGTTGCCCAGATGTTAAAGTCCAAGGGTGGGTTCATCATCGCCATGAAGAACTACGACGGTGACGTGCAGTCCGACATTGTTGCCCAGGGGTTCGGGTCCTTGGGGTTGATGACCTCTGTCTTGATGACCCCAAATGGGAAGGCTTTCGAGTCCGAAGCCGCTCACGGCACCGTCACCAGACACTACAGACAGCACCAACAGGGTAAGGAGACCTCCACCAACTCCATTGCCTCTATCTTTGCCTGGTCCAGAGGGATTATCCAGAGAGGGAAGTTGGACGACACCCCAGACGTTGTCGCCTTCGGCCACGCCTTGGAAAAGGCCACCACCGACACCGTCCAGGAAGACGGGATCATGACTAAGGATTTGGCTTTGGCTGCTGGTAAGACTGAAAGATCCGCTTACGTCACCACCGAAGAGTTTATCTCCGCCGTTGCCAAGCGCTTGAACAACACCTTGGCCAAGTAAGCGTGCTATTTTCTTCACTTCTCGTTGCTCGGACAACAAATCACACATTTATATGGACAAACTGTAGGCTAGACTGAATGTAGCGTTCGAGGCATATCGGCAGTAATCCGAGGAATTCATGTAACAGTGAACAATTAATGTGAGGCTGATGGATGACGAGAGTTCAGTGTAAAAGAAACATGTCTGGACTCATGTTTTGCCACCTGATGCACGGAATTGGACGTTTGGATTATGCCACGGATAAACATGGCATTGAGCAGTGTAGTTTACAGAGACTTCTGTAGGCTTAAAGCCATCTGCGCCTAGGACCGGAATAATCTAGAGAGTCTAGATCAGCTAAACAAACTTTTAGAAATATCAACGCCATCTCAGAGTTTTCCAGTGTCATCTGACAATGTTGGGACTATATTTGGAGCAGCTGCTTGTGGTGACACACATAATAGGAATCTCATTTTCTGAAATTGAAATTGAAATGGGTCAAGTCAGTAATTATGGTATGGAAACTTTAACCATGGTGCATATGTAGACCCACGCAAAGTTATTGTGAAAAAAAAAAGAAGCAAAAAGAAATGACATAACAGAAGTTGAGCTCACAGTCACTTTCTGACTGAGCAACTTTTGATACAGAAGGCCCGGTAAATGTATTCTCCCGGAGAAGAATCGGATTCATTTACTCATCTTGTGATATCCACGGAATTAGTAGCCAGACCGAAATGGAAATGCTTAACTCACGTGATCTAAGAAAAGGAGGCAGCCTGTATGGAAGCATCCTTTTTTGGAACTTCAACTCCAATGATTCTCCATGGAAACGATTGGAGGATCGACCAGAGGATGACTATTGACCAATAGGAGCTAAAAAATGACACGGACAGGAATCGAACCTGCAGCCCTTCGATTTGGAATCGAAAGCTCTACCATTGAGCCACCGCATCTTTGTCAAAGGAAAACGGTTAAAGCCTTCCGATGTTCGGAGTTCCTAAGTTGAACTCCTGACTTTTGATAACTAAGCATACAGATATTAAGCATACAGTCTTATAATTATTTCACGCAGTTAGGAGGTGGGCGATTTATCTACTCAGAGGTGTATGAATCCGAAACCTGAAGAAAGCTGACTGGAGATTTATTTTCCACTCGATTTGTGCTTGAAGCCACTTTCTCAAGCAGGCAGAGAATGTAAACAAAGGTCAATCCTCTAGGAAATATAATATCGAGTCTAATATGGTCATAAGCCGTTCCTTAATATTATTATGCAAGTTTTAGCATTATTATATCGGTTTGCCGTCCAATCAGAATCCACAACGATTAATGTGGACGCCCCTCTCCATGCAAGAGACACTATCAGTCCCTCCAGAATCCTTGCCTCTCTTTTAGTGACTTACATGCAGAACTTACAAGATAATAAAGCGGTATTGTACTAGCCATTGTAATTTTCTTGGTGAAAATTTACCGGTTTTTGCGCATCACGCTTATCTTCCCCTGCGGCGCCAACGCTCGCTCGGCTCCACCCCCACCAGACGCACGTTCAATGGCCGTGCGGAAGTTTTTAGCGAGGACATTTTCACTCACCACTGGGTTTGATTTACAACAAAGCGCGGAACAAGACAAGCCACCATCACCAAGAAGGGCTCACCATTGCCATTCAAAGTAATCGAGTTCATTTCAGACCTGATTTACCACTGATTTGGGTTTAAACGTCCAGCTTCAATTCTATCCAGACCATACTTACAGCTGGGTTGGAGGTCACCTAACGTATCGCCAAACCTTCCCAGTCCGCATTCCAAGCTACGCCGGCCTACTCAGCTCTGACCTATTTATTACATCTTTGGCCTGTCTTACAACTGCAGATCCGAGGTATTCGCCGTATAGAGTCGTTGCACCCAAGGCCTTCCAATCGAATCTTAGAATTTTGCCTGCTCAGCTCGTTCATCCACATTGGTTGATTTACCAAAAATCCCATCTTTACTTTTGTCAAACTGGCATTCATCTTAATTCTTGTTTTTAATTCAATTCGAAGCATCACCATTTCTGGCTTATTTATCCAAGTTAGCCATTCCACCCATACAAACAACCTATTCCGGTCTATTCGTATACACTAGTCGATATCCCATCTTCTCTCTTTCCATTGGCCACGCTCTAGTTGATTATTCAGTTCTCTTGCAGTTTTCTCCATGCCCCCTCGCAAACGGAGCTTTAGCGGTTGCTGGACGTGTCGTGCGCGCAAGATCAAGTGCGGTCTCGAGAAGCCGGTATGTGTGCGTTGTGTGAGGGCGAATCTCACATGTGCCGGTTACGGTATCAAGCTCCGCTGGGCAAAACCGCTCGCCATCTGCGAAGACACGAACGCTCTCATTAATGCCACCGATGGTGTCGACGAGGAAAGCTCTCAACGGCGAAATGTTGAGTTTGTCGTCTTTCCCCCAGACCAGGTATACCGCATGTTTAGCGAGGTGGATGAGGTTCTTGCCGCCACTACCGACGTTGTATGGACAGATGTCCCATCGCGCAGTGACGGGACAAAATGGTACCGGGCGGGGCCATTCGGAGTGTTGAATATGAATCCGCTCAAAAGGCGGAATGATGAAGTATTGTTTAAGAAGCCGAAGGTTCCAAAGCGAGCGACAGAGGAAACCCGTGACTCACAAACCGAATTTGATTCGCAGTCCGGCCCGCGCGGATACGGTAGTCGAGTGCTACCACATCCGGTCCCCAACTCGCCGCATTCAACGTTTCTCAACCACCTCATGTCGCCCAGCGCGATCTACACCCACATCGTCACCAACCCCGAGGTTTCCCTCCCGCCACAGCTGTTCAACGCGTTTAGCACACCTGCGAGCTCGCTCAGTAACCGAATTGAGTTCGACTCCGACTCGGACGGCAACATCGAGGACGAGTCGAACAAGAGCTCCGCTTGGATCCATCGCGACGTGGTGGCCTCCGCGGAACTCACCGTCAAAGCCATGATGGGCCTCAACTACGAGTTCAACCCGGCCACCAGCGACCCTCAGGTCTACTTCATTGAAAAGCTCTTTCCGAATTATTACCGAGCCATTCCGCTTCACCGGACGTTCTTCACCGACCCCGCGCACGACGAACAGCAACTCCACTTGAAGGTTCTCATGCACCGTGTTCCGGTGCCGAGTTTCCAATTACCCGGATCCGAGCGCGGCTCGGTAGGAGTCAGCCAGGCTTCGTACTCAATGGCGATTGGGCCGGTCTTCCGTCGACTCGTGAACTTCTTCACCACCTCTGCAGACCTCTTTATGGTGCTCACATTTCTGGGAAATATCTGGGAGTCGTACGTGTTACCGTTGGTCCACCAAATTATCGGCGAGACACTCACGTTCGACAGCCTTGTGGCTACCGAAGACATGCTTCTTAAGCACTGTCTTCTCAACCAGGTCTTGTGTATTTCATCCCTTGCGTATCTGAAAGTACCGAGCGTGGAAATATCCGCGGATGAGCGGGACTTCTACCTTCGTCTCAGCATCCGGCTCCGCAACTTGGCATACAAACAGCTTTCACTGATAGTCGACGAACCGACAAAAATAGCAGCCGGGAGTTGGGGACCGGAACGTGACGCCCCGTATAAGGAGATGTTGTTGTTGGCGTTGATGCTCCAGATACGTTTGGATAATCTGTTCGGAATCTTTGACAACTTCAATAGGTATTTTGAACGGTGCGAAGGCCTCGTGGGAGGCGCGTATAACACCGGTCACGGCTCGGTCCTTGATCAACCTCTCGGTATCCGTTCTGTATCAGGGCAGACTCGGCCGGTATCAGGTCCCCACGCCGGCATCGCGAATAAGGAGCTCCTCATGCTTTACCGGACGATGATGATCTTCTTCGAGTCGACACGCGCGGTGGACTCGCACTTCCAAATTGACGACCGCAATTTGTACCAGGACATCACGCCGCAGTACAACATGTTACGTGATGTGTACGAGGCGTTGGTTGACAATAGCGGGTCGGGCGTTTTGGAGGAGCGGGATTTTATCCGCATCGACAAAGGTGAGTCGAGAGACAAGCGTGTTGCGAGTACGGAAGAGCGCGTGCGAACGATGGACAAGTCGCGCACGGAAAGTCGAATGGGCATTGGGCATGACTCGCCCACACAAACAGGCCTAGACAGGCCAGCCAAACCCCTCTCCAAACCCTTCCGCTCGGTTCTCGATCGCTCGAAGCCTTACACCCTCCCTGACGTATCCAAAGTCACCCACAGCTCCTACACCCCTTCGATCGCTGTTAGCTTCACCCACACTAGCTCCGACGCCGATTCGGACTCGGACTCAGACTCCGGCTACCCACAGGTGATCATCTCTCTTGACCAGTCGCATTCCAGCACTCTGAAAACTATCATCACCGTTATACGCGACACTGCCAAACCGCAACTAGTGGAAATCCCGGCGGAATACGGAAAGATACCGCCAACAGTGGACGGAGAGCCCGCCGTTAACCTCATGTACGGAATCCCAGCGTCGCTTATGGTGCTACTCAGCCGAATCACCAATGTGGCGAACCACCGCTACACGTTTGACCGCCGCCGTGTGTTTCCGCGAAACTTCCCCAAGATCTGCGCCGACATGGAGGACGAGCTCTTCAACTGGAAACTCAACTGGCGCTTGTACGACCTGGTGTACGATCCGAAGACGGACCAGCGCGAGAAGAAGTTTATTCTGGGCTTCCACAAGGCAATCTATCACAATATTGTGTCGTTCTATCACGGACTAGTGGTGTTTTTTCTGCGCTTGATCAAGGACACACCGCCGCGCTTGCTCCAGGATCACGTCATGGCGTGTTTAGATAACATGGAGATGTTGCGGGAGCTTGAAAGCGAGACGTGCCATCTCCAGCCGCTATTCTGGCAATATTTCATTTGTGGGTGCGATGCGACGGATCCGGAGATCCAGGATAGGTATTCGCTGTGGTTTAAGAACTATGATATGTTGACCAATCATTGGCGGGCGAAGCAGGTGATGTTTGAGGTGTGGCAGAGGAGAGGAGAGGGAGATGAAAATATTTGCTGGATTGATATTGTGAAGGACTGGAATTGGGTGTTGTTCTTTGGGTAGAGAAGCCAAGTGAAGGGAAATGATTCCACCGTAATACAAAAGCCATCAAGGTCTAATTTTTTAGTCGAGTTATACTACAATTGGCAATTTCCGATAAAAGGCTATAACTATTTGAGCATAGCTGTAGAATGACAATTAGATATCTTTCAGCAGTTCAGTATCGTATTCTGCTAATACTTACCGTATTGTTTCTGGAATATCCAACATTTATATCTCTGTCGGTGTCTTTGGTCCCTTCCGTCCGCGAATAATGCTTAAGGAATTGTTTAGAGCTAATTAGTCGAATCCCAAAGGTGAAATTCAAGCTTTTATCTCTATTTCACTCAACGAAGTATTATCTAAGGTATTTGGCCTTATGTAATTTGCTCTGGCATCAGTCACTCCTCGTGGAATAAACCTTAGCTGAACCTGCAAGAATGCCCTAAGAAAAGCGTATGTGAGATCCTGCATATGCACTGAAACGTCCTACCCCAGGTTTTCAAGACATCGGTTCAAGATAGCCTCGCTGGGACCTTCAAGCTCAATTAAAAGCTATATAACAAGTCTACTATACTCCTTGCTCCACACCCATATCCCCTTACTCATTATACATGATCATGGGAATAATCTATCTATTGACCTCTCCTTGATCAAGGAATGTGCCGTTGGTAACCGTTCTTCCGGTGCCTTCGAACATAGAGCCATCATGTCGACCGCGGGAATTCTATACACCACTAGGCTCACTGCTGTTAACAGATGATGCTCGTCAGGCTTAATGGCCGTCAGTAATATCGCCAACAAGATTTTTTCCAGCCAGATCAGCTGTGCTTTAGCTAGCGGTGTTGAGTCCATGACTCGTGCCTTCGGTCCAGACTTGACCCCATCCTTCTCTGATCAGGTCAACACTCACCCAGAGGGTGTCAAGGTCAATATCCAGACGGATGGCACCAACGAAATCGTTGCGGAAAAGTACAGCCTTAGCCGCAGAGCCCACGATGAGTTTGTTACTATTTCCTACCAGAGATCCCTGAACTCTGTCAAAAACGGTTTACTTAGGGAAAAAAATCATCCCCGTCATAGTTCAGTACAAAGAGGGCGATGTTACCCGGATCATTTTTGTTGACACTGATGAAGGTGTACGTAGAAATGTCACTGTTGACTCCCTCGGGAAGATCAAGACTGCCTTCAAGAAGGATAGTTGATGGCCGGCGAGATTGATGTCACCTCCATGTGCATTGGTACCGGTATGGGTGCCACGGCTGTCTTCGTCAAGGAATGAAGTGTTTGAGGTATATTTACATAGCCCGATATGCTGAACGCATCTTTTTTTTAATATATAAGGGCCAGAAATATTGGCAATCTCTTCCATACCAACTTTTGGTGCGCTATAACCTTTTAGAGAATGAGTTCCTGCCTCCGTCAGCCTGAGAGATTGTCTAAAAACTCTAATAGAAAGGAGATTTAGCATTCAAGATGTTTGCCTATCGGTTTCAGGTAGTTGGATGCGCCTTGGATTCTGCTGCTTGAACTACTCACCCCTCCGTTATTTTTCCTATTCGATCTGGTTTGGTTGGATCCTACCCGATGTTATATCATTGGATATGGACACACCGCTTAGAGGTGACTATCTAGCATATTATCAGTAGTATTTCAGGTCTTGACAGACTGGTATGCAAACATCTCGAATGCTAAATCTCCTTTCCAATGGAAGTCGAGCCTCCTTAGCGAATATTAGGGCCATTTTCTCTCGTCAGCTACGTAGAGACAACACTAAGATAGTACTATCTAAGATAAATGCTACAGTATGCGTATTCAGCATGACCGCTGTTTACATCCATAAGACGCCTTGAGTTTGACCAAAATACACGAGAACTTCATTAGACACCCGGTAGTAGTTAATTCTTTGGCGAGAATTCTCTTTAAATATCTGAGCCTAGAAATGTTTCGGGTCTCATGTAGACACCGCCGCACCCGATAAAGTAAGCATAAAACTGACACGTGATAACCATGAAAATGCACACCGTTTCCGGTAGGGTCAAGACCGTTACAAGTACAAGAAATGCGCATGTCCATGATTTTGTAATACATCTATTGTGACCAGCACCTTCAGCTGGCAAGAGCTATATGGGATATTAGGATAAATTATGCAGATAGAGAAAAGGGACGGTGCTTCAGTGAGTGTGGTATTTGTCAGCATGCACATTGACTCGATACCAACTTTCTCGAACCTTCTGCAAACGGCGATGAGTTTCTTGACCGGGCCCGATCTACTGCTACACACCACAAAGCTTAGAGACAAGTGTGATGGGTGGATGATCCAGGTCTCAACGGGGCCTTCTGATTTGTTCCCTCGCCTAATCTCCGGTGCTCCCTGTGAGACGTCACGCGCGATCACTCCCCCATAAGCCCGCATGCGCTTAGCGCTGGCCGAAACCCGCCCCGGAGCTCGCTTGTCACCAGCCACCTCAGCCATAATATTTCCGTCGCTGCGCCTGCCTCGGCTCCGTTTAGAATCCGAAGCTTAATTGAAGACACAAGATCAGCACCTCTACGTCCGCATTCTGAGCTCTGAGTGCCAACTTTTTATTATCCAATTAATGAATCATAAGTAGCCTCTTTCTGTGATGGTTGCTTGCAGTGAAAACGTCAGGTGCGACTCGCAGAGCCCGCTATCTCCCTTACGTTTGATCGCTGCCTGGAATTAAGCGGGGCCATGCACGTGCTCTTCACCACCGTGAGAAATCACTGGGCAGGGCTTACGCTCTCTACTGTATTTTACCAACCGTATAGATTATTATTATAATGTATATATCCACTGTTTAAATTCCCGCCAACAGGTATACCTTTCCCCCCAAGGTTCCCGTAGTCCTAGCTGCCTGTATCTTTGCTACTCGAGCATGTGAAAGAAATCCTGCACGCCCCAGGTTTAGGTTCCCCCGCGCCCTGCCGAAAAAAGCAAAGTGACAACCATTAGGAAATCACTATATAATGGACACCGCCGCCGCGTTCTGCTTTATACTTTTCGCCTTCTCGCTCATCACTCACACACTCACAATGGAAAGATTAACCCAATTAGCATCGCACTTAACCACCGCCAAGGGCGTCAGTGCAATCAAGCAGAAGAACGCTGACGATGTTGTCATTGTTGCCGCCTACAGAACCGCCTTGACCAAGGGTGGTAAGGGCTTGTTCAAGGACACTGCCTCCGAGGACTTGTTGATCGGGCTTGTCAAGGGCTTGCTCGCCAAGACCCCTAACTTTGACCCAAAGTTGATCGAAGACGTTGCAATCGGTAACGTTTTGAACGGTGGTGCTGGTGCCTTTGAGCACAGAGCCGCCATGTTGGCTGCCGGTATCCCATACTCTGCCGCGTTCCTTGCCATCAACAGACAGTGCTCGTCTGGTTTGATTGCCGTCAACGATATTGCCAACAAGATCTTGACCGGCCAGATCGACGTCGGTTTAGCGGGTGGTGTCGAGTCCATGTCCAAGAACTACGGCCCTAAGAACGCCCCACAGTTCTCTGACCTCTTGCTCCGTGACAAGGAAGCGGTCAAGTGCGGTATCCCAATGGGGATCACCAACGAAAACGTTGCTGAAAAGTACACCATTGACCGTGCCACTCAGGACGCTTTCGCGGCCGCCTCGTACAACAAGGCTGAGAGAGCTGTCTCCCAGGGCTTATTCAAGGACGAGATTATCCCGCTTCAGGTTACCATCGAGGTCGATAACGACTCCGAAGATGATGAAGCTGATGACACCATCAAGAAGACTGTTACTGTCGACACCGACGAGGGTCCACGGGCCGGTGTCACCGCGGCCTCTCTCGGGAAGATTAAGGCAGCCTTCAAGAAGGACGGTACCACTCACGCCGGTAATGCTTCCCAGATCTCCGACGGTGCCGGTGCCGTCTTATTGATGCGCCGTTCCGTCGCCATCAAGCACGGCTTGCCAATTGTCGGGAAGTACGTCGCCACTTCTGCCGTTGGTGTTCCACCTGAGATTATGGGTGTCGGTCCAGCCTACGCCATTCCACATGTTCTTGCTCAGGCCGGGATCTCCACCTCCGACGTTGCCGTCTACGAGATCAACGAGGCCTTTGCCGCCCAGGCTTTGTTCTGTATCGAACACTTGGGCTTGGACAAGTCCAAGGTTAACCCACGCGGTGGTGCCATCGCCTTGGGTCACCCATTGGGTGCCACCGGTGCCAGACAGATTGCGACCATCTTGAGAGAGTTGAAGACCGGCGAGATTGGTGTTACCTCCATGTGTATTGGTACCGGTATGGGTGCCGCTGCTGTGTTTGTTAAGGAATAGTGCATAGCATGAGCCCGAGCCGGGATAGCTTGTGAATTTTTAATTCTGTGTATATCATTTTGTTTAATAACCAGCTGTGCTGGAGAAATAGCAAGGTTGTAGGTGGGTACGTCATATGAGATTGAATGGATGGTAATTCATGTTCTCTCAATGAATAGAGTCACTAGTAAAAGGATACGGAGGGGTTTTCAAGAGATTGACATCACATGTGATATGACTAGCCATATAAATATCTCAACGCTATCAACCGTGGGTGTCAGGTCTACATACAAGTACGTGCCGCAGCCTAGAATACGATAATAGTGTTTGTAGAAAAATCATGGTTGTTTCAGAAGGAAATAGATCTATAGCACCTCTAGCACTGCAATATAGCCCCAATTTGATCTATATTGAAGACGCATTCCAACCCGATAGAGTGATTTCGCTCAGGATAAAACCTGGAACGCATCACGTGTCATAACCTAGTAAGCCATAAAACTATTACATGAAATACATCTTCGACTCGTTTCCGAAGGAAACGTATCAATTGACCCGGCTTAAAAGATAAATTCTCTGCCCGGCACTCTCAAGGACCCAACTCTTACGCCCAGAGATTAGTATTTTTTATTTTTATCTAAGCTGCCTCCGGAGGCCTACTTCGGCACCAAGGGTTTCCAGTCGTTGAGCGAAACAGGAATGCTGGGGCTCGGAGCTTCTGCTTCGGCCATTTTCACCAGAACTAAGCTGCTCGGCTTCTTCGGCACGATTGGCGCAAACTTTGCAGCTTGCGGCTTCAGAGCCGAGGTAACGGAAGCAACCGAAGAGGCTCTGCTCAACAGAGAGGTGGTTCGTGGAGGGGGCGGGGTCGGCGTCGCGGTGCGCGACCTCGCTTGCAACGGAACGTCAGAGAAACCCGGCGGAAGCTTTGAGGATGGTGTCAGGGCTGGAGGAGCAACCCTCCGAGGAGCAGGCGCCGGTGGCCGCACCCGTGCGAGTTGGGGAGTGGTAGACGAAGTTATGACAGGCTGCAAGGGAGCCCTCGCGTTTTCTTCTAAAATCGACGCATTCGTTGGCTGTAAAGGAGGAGTCTTGATATTCGACGGCTGCAACACAGCAAAACTGGATGGTGCCACATTCGACTGCGGTAACGGGTTTCGTTTAGGCAACTTTGGTGGGATGTCAGCTGACTGGCCACGTCTCGGCGGAGGAGCCGGAGGGTCAAGGTCAATCAAGGAGGATTGCGATGGCTGGGTGGACAGTGCACTCGATTGAGAGCTTACATCGTCATCCAAGAGCGAAAGGCTGCTACTTTCAGTCAGCTTGAATTGCGTATACAATTGCTGCATCATCGCCTGCCTGACCGAGTGGTCCACGAAGCGCACCTGGCAGCCGAACGTCCCGTACACCGGCTTGTGGTCGCTGAACTTCACCTCCATTACACAGTTGTAGTTCATCTGATGCAAGACCTTGCCTCTCGACAAGATTCGATCAGTCCACGACGGTACCCGCTGCTTCTCAGAAGTGTCGTACACAGAGGTGCCCCTATCATACTTGTAGGTAGGGGGAAAGCTGATCTGACGCTCCAGGAAGCCCTTGAAGGCGCCGCCGCGCGCGTTCATGTCGCGCTTCAACTGGTCGTGGCTTATCAACGCAGACCAGTCGGCCTGAGCCACGCGTTGGCGCACCTCGCTGTTTTCCAACCCAATCCGGTAGTTCAAGTCTCCCAACCAGACCACCGCGTCGTGGTCCGCAATCTGACGGTTGCGGTTGAAGCGCAAGCCCAGCCAGATGTTGCTATAGTCGTTGGAGCGCTCATCAACAGCCGTGACACCCGCTGCCAAATGACAGTTCACGAAGCAGAAGGTGGTCTCGCCATAGGTGAAGCGGATCGCGCAGCCTCCTTTGTTGCCGCCCATGCCCCCAAGCCCCGTCTTTTTGGACGCCCCCTCGACCTGCGTCACGTGTGCGAGCTTGTTTGCCTGCACGTAGAGGAGAATCGACATGGACACCATCGTTTCCGTCCGCAAAAGCGTGTATTTTCCCTGGTTGTTAAGCGTTTCCCCTACAAGCGCCTCCCAGTAGCTCGCATTGGACGCGCTGGGGGTCCCGGAAATGAAGTTCCCAGCCGTGAGCGGAATGATTTCTTGCAACCCTAGCACGTACATATCTGGCAAAAGGCCGGCGTTTTCGTCGGGAAAGAGCCATTCGGTCAAGTCATCCGCGGTGGCCAACCCGTTCACATTATAGGTCCCGGTAAAGACTGTGGCCTTGTCATAGGTGGTGAACTTTCCTTCCTCCTGGACAAGCTTGCTCGCCACAAAGTCCGCCGTTGGGTCGTAGATCTGAACTGGCATCTGATCCGCGTTTCTTCCAAGCAACGTGTCGATCGTCACCTGAGTGCCCTTGTCAACAAAGTTGTTGATGTACATTCTAGAAACCGACTTGGTCATGTCACTCAAAGCCCCGGCAAACGACATTTTACCGTTGCGGGTGAAGCTCGACTTTAATGCATTGGTTCCCGTATAGATCTGCGAGATCTGGTCGCCGTGGTCGGCCCAGAGCGTGCCGTGCTTTGTAAATAAGTCTGCATCCGTGTTCTTGATGCGATGGTCTTGTAAAAACATGTTGAGACAGGCGGTGGAGAGCACCTGCTGGATCAAGTTCGTGCGGTCAAGACAGTCGAGACAGTTTGTGCGGAAGATCCCCGCCTGTTGCGACGCCACACGCCCGCTGTTGAAGTCGTACGAAAAGTAGCCGTTCTCGAAAAGGCTGTTCTGTACCAACGGAAGGATACGCGACGCTTGACTGTAGCCGTTTTTGGCTGTTTCTTGGTGGAAGTCAAACTCACAGAGGGCAAGGTCGGAGCCTTTATGGGCCTTTAAATGTTCGGCGTAGCGTTTAGTCAAGCCGATCTCCGACAGTCTGGTCGAGAGGAGGTTGATGATGTGCACCGGGCCGTACTTTTCCGTCAAACGCGCAAAGTGGCGGTCAAAAACCGGTTGGGTGGCCTCCACCGACCGGGTGATGGTCACCTTTGGCGTGATGAGCGTGGTGTCTTGCTCCCAGAAGATGGGCACACTTCCGCGGATCTCAGTGAATGCGTAGAGAACCTTGTCCGTGTAGAGAATAAACTCTGTCTCCACAAAGTTGGCCACATATCCTTCGTCGTCGATACCGCGCGCGTTGAACCGCGTCCCCGCGCGTTTCCACGACTGCTTTGAGATCATCGTCACGGAGCAGCGCAACTCCTTGAGGTACGTTTGGAAGGTTTCGGCAAAGCCTCTAATGACAGTGGTGAGAAAGCCGTTGGCTTCCAAGACAAGGCGCTGCTCAGGCTCCATCGCGTTGCGAAACTTCACCATATCCTCCATCATGAACGAGTTCCACATAAACTCTGTCTGGCAGCCGTCAAACCAGGACAGCGCGGTGTGGGCGACATCTACCCCCCGGTGCTGCAAAACGCTCGTCAAATCAAAGTCTGTGGAGTACAAAAACGACCCATTACAGAGTAACTTGCGCAACTCGTAGCACGGATGCGGCGTTCTCTCAGCGTATTCCGTCGATTCGTAGTCTTGCTGAGTAATTAAAGGGTATCCTGTCGCATCCAACGCCACGTAATCCCATTTGGGGTTGTTCACACTCACAAATTCCACGCCGTGGATCTTGTGCACGGTCTCGCGTGGCAACGGGCGCGCGGCATTGCTCTTCCCGGTGATCACCAGAAGAAAAACGTCGTTTTCGACGTTGATCAAGCCAAGGAAGCCGTGGGCCGGGGCCTCAAGGAGCAAACGGAACTTCTGACTCGCAAACGCCTCGTTGGCGACAAATTCCACCGCACACCGCGACGCCGCGTCCCGCGCGAGATGGCGGAAAAGAAGCGTGTGGGTCTCCGATTGGAGGGCGAGTGTCCGCGGATTTTGTTTCACGAGAACCCTCATAGCAAAGAATTAGTGGGAATGCAAAGAGATAGGAGAAAAATGATGGGAGCAGTAAAATGTGATTTTGATCAGTGGGCGCGTGGCAATGTTCGATACGTGCGCGGACCAAAGAAGTAGGCGGAGGCTGGGCAAACGGTCAGCGTATCAATATGAGAGATAAATATTTACTGAAACGTCAGTGAACTAAGGTATGGTTTGTATACGCTAAATTAACTGTTGAGAATTTATGAAGGAGTAACCTAGATGGGGGTGTGAGTGTGATTTCATTGAAAAGCCGCGGCGCGATACCGGCGTAAGCGGCTTGGCCGAGGTGGAATCGTTGGACCGAAATGGCGAGCGGGATGGTGTCAAAAGACAGAGTTTATCAGAATGGTGGCCCTGTAGTGTGGAAGGTTGGGAGAAGTAGAGCTAGTTCATTTAGTATTCTGATTTTCGTATTGAATTTAATAAATCTTGGAGATTACGTTCTATAATGGCTGAGTAATCGCATTAGCCTCGCTAGAAATTGTAGCCCTGGGAGAGGTATGGGTTGGAATTGGTACAAAATTTATATTACTGGCAATATACGAGTAATTATACGTGAAGTTAAAGGTTTGCTGGGTCAGGTAATTCCTCTACAAGCCCAATGCCAGTTCGGAGACAACAACTGTAAATTTAGTCTGCGAATACTCTGGGGAACGATATCGTATTCAGCTTATAAATACTTTGGGAAACGATAGCGTATTTACAGCTAATCTAAAATCACTTACAGAAAAGCTTTCAATTCTGGGGGTATGCTTGCTACACTTCCATCTGAGTCAAAGCACCAGATAGATACAAGGCCACAGACATCTATTTAGATGTTCCTTGGTTCCATAAATCAAAATTTCATGTATTTGATGCAAAGAAAGATCATGTATTTACATAACTCCGAGTAGGCTCGACAGATTGGAACGATGCTTTCGTCCTGGTGTCCCTAACATTAAGTCGTCTGCCACAGCATCGAAAACTGGTATAACTTGGTGAAACTAACCACTCTGCTGGTATCCCCGTGCTCTTCAAGTATTTTAGAGCCATGTTCACTGGTAATACGGCTTAGTTGTCGAACTCCTCCATGCATTCCACGATGGTCTTCAAGTTCTCAATCACGTTACTGATGGCGACTCGGATAACCCTATCGCTGAGACCCTTGAACACAATTGATAGCTGCGTGTCTTTCGTGCTGTATTCAACCGTAATCTCATTTGGTTTCAAGATCGGATCTGGCGACAAGGTGTTTAAAGCAATGGTGGCCTGTCTGGTAGTGATGAACGGGACATCTAACTGGCTATAACCGGGGGGTTAGTATTGGAACAAGACTTGACGGATTTATGGGTTGGACTTACAAAATGTAGTCTAAAGAAGCCATGACAGGGTTTGGCTAGAGACGCTCTAACAAAAAAGTGAACAGCAACAAACTTGGGTCTCTTTTTTTTTAGGAAAGATTTGTTTTACAGGGTGCAGGTCAAGCACTCATCCATACTGAGAAACGGTCACTTATGTCAGGTAAATAGATATTATGGTATATATGACATTTGGAGAGGTGGATCCAACGTTAGATATAATAAAACAAAAGGGGCAGGTAAATTTTATGGAAAGCGAGAAAATGGGTCGGGCTTGAACGGCTCCAAAATACATACTACCGAAGCGTCAACCCTACTCTTAGCTCAACTTATAAACTAGGAACGGTCTTGCCCAAAACATTTGGCATAGAGGTTTATATTTCATCATGCCAACCAGGTTCCGTAACACTGACAGTGAATTAGTGAGTCAGCCTAAACGGCCCTATAACGGATATGGTGTACCGACGCGCATAGTGCATATGCGCTGCTCTTTGTGGAACGTCCCACATGTAGCTCAGTACAGATTCGATGTGCAGTCAGTCAACTCGTGGGATAGCCATTTCAGAGGCTTTGAAGGCTTCAGCTACGTGCCAAATACAATATAGTACGCAAAACCTCGCTATCTTGACTGGATTGAAGAATTACCTTCCATTTAGCTACTGAATCCCAAGCTACAAATATTGCTACATCAATACGCACCCTCCACAAGTCTGTTGGACCAGATTCTCTCGATGGATCTCCCATACACCTTTTCGGGATGGCATCCCTCCAGCTGGTCTATCGAGCTATTTTATTTGAAATCCAGCGCCTGCGGAAAGTACTCCCAGACACACATTAATCAATTGGTTAAGGATTACTTGTCTTGCTTGCTCCACTACAAGTCAGCCCTCTCATCCAGCTCCCCAGATGTCTCCAGAATGTTTTTACAGCGAGACGTGTTGCTCCGGTCACCGGACTGGTACTTGTCGGGAATTCTCAACACTGGCGATCGATTCATTCTTTCTAATAATGAAACGTTAGTATCGATCGTGTCAGCGCTCAACTACTTCAAAACTGTCTTTCAACCTTCGGGAGATGTGCGGGATAGTGTGTTTATTGATAAATTAAACACGGAATCGTACTGGCCCCGCGATGAGGAAGTGTGCAATTTGACACGCCACTTTCCTCAGTTGAGCTCTGTGTTGCCGATTGACAACATCCTAGATAAGATTGACACCATGTTGGAAACCTTTGAGACGGATGTGGAGAAATTTTGCAGGAGCATGGGATGGGTATTAATGTTTGGTCATGACTTTAAGCACCCGCCCTACCGATTGCAACTGAACGCTGTGGACGAGAATCTCTCCAGGAAACAGTTTGAGGCGGAAGCGGCGCTTGGGGGCACGATTTCTCCCCTTGACGGTGGTTCGAAGTTCAAGCCCTCCCGGAAACGGCCAGTCTCCGACACCGATTTTGATGAGTATCCATATACCAAAAGACTGCAGCTCTGCCCCGTATAGCCGGGCTTGCGGCATAACGCCTTTGCAGCCGGATTCAAAGTTATTCCTTATGAATATTCCCCCATGTGACACATGATATACTAATCACTTGAAATCACAAACTACAAGTATATTCTTAACAATTAATACATTATAACCAGTTAATAGTGCTAGAGAGTAAAAATAAGCAACAACGAAACAAACAAAACAGAAAAGCCAGCTTTTCCAAACCTAGAGATTCTCATACGACGGAATGTCCAAATGGAAGAATGGAGTGCTGGTGGCGGTAACTGCAACGTAGGCCAACAAAGCTTCGTCGTCACTCACGGCATTGCCACGGGACTCGACATACTCAGTACCAATATTGAAGTAGTTGTGCTCCCTCACGGAGTTGTTCTCATCGGAGCGTTTCGCAACATCAGCACCACCGTGACCCCCGCTCGGAAGTACGGCATCGGCAGAACCGAACCCAGAGTGGACCAAACCGCGTCTGATCCACGGAGACAAGATCCCAGAAAAGTGAAACTCCACGTCTCTGTCAGCGTATCTATCAGCAAGTTTCTTCAAGTCCACAAGCGCCTGTAAACCAGTAGCATCGATCTGGGTAACGGCCGAAAAGTCAAAGTGTATTATACGCAAGAGCGGTCTAGTGTCGGCCAAGGCAGCTTCGTAATCTGCTTGCAAATGTTCCTCGGCGGTCTTCTTCTTGAACTTGGAGAATGGCAACCACGAAAAGTCAAGCGGAGCTGGGTCGTTCCACGGTCTATCGCCCGCAGAACTAGCGGAGTACGGCTTACCTCTTCTGGTGGTGGATTTCAACTCGCGAGTAACTGCGTCGATCTGGCGAGAGGCGTTAGGGTAGCTGAACGACTCAAGTGGCTTAAAGACAAGAACACCTGGCGGTGGAGGGATAATGTTGAGCTGGTTGTTGACGTTTCTCTGGGTGAAAGGCAACCATCTGGTGTGGAACTTGACACTCGGTGGCAACGAGTTGATGGAGGTATGCGGGTGCAGCAAGGAGCTAGCATCCACTCCCTTTTCCTTGCCCTTGATCTTGGTAATCTGCTTGTCAATAGAGTCGACACTGTCAGATTCGTTGGAGGAAGCGGCAACCTCGGTAGGAGGTTGGTCAATAACCGCATCCACAACCTCGGCGATTCTGACTCTGCCCAAAAACTCGCCTCTTGGCTTGGCAATTCTGAACAATAAAACAGCACAAGACGCACACATCGCAAAGTAAATACCACCCTCGATGGAGACAAACACGGTGAGGATCACTGCAATGATAAAGATCCCACCGTCAATAGGCGCGACCTTCCAGAACTGCCAGGTGGTCTGGTAGTTGCTCATCAAATCGGAAACTGCGTGAATGATAATGGCCGACAAGGTAGCCTTAGGGATGTAGAAGAACGCGTCGGTGAACGAGTAAAGAGCCAAAAGCACAACCGCGCCCGTGAAAATACCGGCAAACGGTGTTCTGACACCACACTTAGATTTCAACGCCGATCTGGAGAAAGACCCGGTGGCCGGGTACGCGTTGAAGAAGGTACCGATTAAGTTGGTGACACCGATGGCGATGACTTCCTGGTCAGGGTTGATGGTGTAATCGTTGATTCTTCCGAAAGACTTGGAGATGGCAATGTGTTCCAAGAGCAAGACAATGATGGAAACGGGCAACTCGTTCGCCATTTTAGGCACAATCCCGTCTGGCAACACCATCTTCCCGACGTGTTTCAACCCGGAGGGCACGGTGCCGATGACCGCAATCGGTCTTTCCTTGGCCGAACGGTGATTATGCACAATCCCGAAGGAAATGGCGGTGAAAACAACAATGACAATGGCATTTCTGATCACGTTAAGGTAGAAGAAAACCCTGCGGTACTTTGGAAACCGGACGCCCGCCCAGTCGGTGGACCACCTCCAGAAGTAAAGAAGGGCGAGCGGAATCAACCCAAACACGGCATCGAGCTTCGTGTGCTTCAAGTTCTTCAAGGTGTTAACCACTATCAAGTAGGTGGCGGCTCTGGTGTTGACCAAGGTCCCGTAGCCCATCAAGGCTGGAACCTGGCCGGTGATGATGTTGAAGGCCGAACCGGTCATAAAACCCAAGACTGCGGGCATGGAGATGAATTCGAGGATGAACCCAAGGCGTAAAAACCCGATACCGGCGGCAACACCACCACAAATCAAACTAAGAACAGTAGCAATGACCGGCGCAGGAATGCTAGGATCGGTGGACTGAACGTGCGAAATAACTCTAGAAACCTGCAACGACATGACGGCAACTGGCCCGATCGACACATCCTTAGAGGTGGCAAAGAAACAGTAGATAAAGACACCGACGAACGAGGAGTACAACCCGTACTGGGCCTCCAACCCGGCAACCTGGGCGTACGACATGGACTGCGGCACGAGCACACAGCCAACAGTGATCCCGGCAATCAAGTCACCGTATAACCACTGTCTGTTGTAGTGAAGAATCCATTTGGCGATGGGAAAGAGCGAGATAAAGTAGTCTTTGACCTTTTGCACGGGGTCATTGAAATGATCTTCATAGAAGTCTTTAACCCCCACAAGCGGTTCGTCGTAGCTGGAGATCACCACCTGTTCCGGATGCAGTTCAATGATATCTTCATAGTGCAAGCCGTCCACGCTGTGGACGTCTGAGTAGATTTCGGACATGTTGCGTGTGGCGAGATGTTTGTTCCGTAAATGCAGAGCGAAGCAAAGATATATATATATATACCGGTGTGGATCTATGCAAGTGAAAAAAAGTGACTCCGACGCTTGACACAGTGTTTAGCGAGTAAGGCTGTGACTGTAATGAGTAGTTAGCGGCTTTAACTAAGATAATTAGCAGAGAGACACGGGGTTTGGGGTGTGGCGTAATTCGGACGTTAAGTCAGGGCAGCGGCGGTCTAGACTTGTGGCGAAGAGATAATCTGCGGAGCCACAGTGAGGAATCTGGATGAAAAATGGCGAAACAAGAGATAAAATTGCAACTCCAGCTGGAATATATATAGAGACACGATTCAGACCTTAGTCATCACGACACCGAAGAGCTACTAAAACTGTGGACGCAATCGTGCATATGCTGGGCAGCGATTCCACCATCAATGCCACAGTAATCTGCACTGCGAGATTAAAAGCTAATATGCAGCTTTAGCCACCAAGTGCGTGGCGTACCCTTACATTACAAGCCGCACACCGCACGACCTCTCGCTCGTTGTGCCACTTCACGTGACAAAATGCTTGCCTCATTGCACGTGACATTGGGCCATTGAGAAGTCTTTCTTTCTCCGTTATCGGGCACATTGAGATAAGCACCGGAGGTGAGGATGCTACCACGTGGAACTTTCAATCCTTTGAGGGAGATATGCTTTCTGCAGTCGATTTTTATGTCAAGTCGGCGTGGTTCCCGTGATTCAGCTGTAGTGTCCGGGGTTTTAGATTGTGCATGGACCGCCGAAATCACAAAACACTTGACTTCAGCTGCTCTCCGTCGTACGAAGCCAGCTTTGCATTCCGTGACCTACCATGGTTTAAAGTGCCAACCAGACTACGGTTACTAGTACGAGAAACTTTCTGCCGTGTGATCGTATAGGCAGTAATTTACGACCATTGGCGTAAAATATACGATTTGACGTACGGTAAATACCATCTTTCGGCGGCCAGGCCTGTACATAAAAGATTTAGTAATGCCTGGGAATTGTGCACGTGCTAATCGGATTAGCACTAATTTATAGAGTCACTAGATCACTCACTCTACCCCTCATCTTTTCGGTTTAACAGAAAGATAGAAATGCAAGGTAATACTTTATTTTTGAGTCAATTGATGGATGCGGGGTCACCATAGTAGATCAAGGAGGCTTTGTATCCAAGATTACCGTTCTCGCGCGACTCCTTCCTACCTACTCTCTGTTTGCTATGGGCTTCCGTGGGTAGAGGTCACACGGATTTCAAGCCTCACTTTATATTCATGAAATAGCGATTATTTCCAAATAGTATGATAGCGTTTCACAGCCTTTTGGGAACCGTACAAATTGAACCGACTACAGATTTTGTGGTATACCTCTACCCGATGGGTAGGATATCTACTCTAGTAGTATATGGGAGAGAGGGATCGACCTCCTTATATAGGGTTAGATCCTTACTCCGTGACCACTAAACACTTCAGATTTACTATTCACATAAATTAAAGCGTATATTTTATGACAGATACAGTAACATACGTTTTGACAGCGCTCACAATGGGGAACCAATTAATACTAACTAGCTTACAGTTAAGCTACACTTTGCTGGCTCCTACCGCCACAACGAATACTCGTCCGTCCCCATGTCCTGCTCCTGTTTCATCTCCATCTGCTCGGTCGGCTGGATCGTATGCGTAATAAGCTCCTCCGATTCCTGTTCTGGCTCTGCCGCCGGCTCCTGTGGCTCTTCGTGTTTCCTCTCAGACTCGTTCATCAAGTCTAGCAAAAGTAACGAGCACACATCGTCCATCTTCTTCTTCTTAAAGTCGCGGATGGTACCACGCATGCGCTCGAAGCAGATCTTGAAATCAGAGCCTTGCCAGTACTCGCCGCCAGCGTGACCCGCAGTCGCGTTCGTGACCGCGCGCGCGTACAACGTCGCTAGCAAGTGCCAGTCGATCTGCGTAACGGTGGTGTAGCCCAAGTCCTTGATGCGCCCCACGAGCCAGATCCGGTCGCTGATGTCAATCTGCGCCGCGCGCGACGTGGCCTCGCGCTTGAGCAACTTGTTCCACTTGTAACGACACTGGATGCGCGAGCGGATTCCTCCCATACGCTCGCTGACAATCGTCCAGTTGATGGCGCTCTGCTGCAGCTCCGCGGCCTCGCCCAAAATCTCTGCCACGATTGCGCGCAACTTCTCTTCTTCGGCCTCGGACCACTTGTTGGACGACCGGTTCGAGCCGCACTTGACGTAGTTACGCCAGCGGTCACGACAGTCCTCCGGCATGCGGCCCATGATCTGCCCGATGGCCTTCCATTGGCCGTCCTTCTCGGCCGCGAGGCGCCCCAACTCCGAATCCTCCGCGGCGGTCCACTTGCCGCGTACGTCAAAGATGTGGTACAGCCGGCGCACGTGTTTATACACGGATGCGCGCGACCGATGTGGGAGTACCTTCTGGAGCGCCTCCCAGAAGTCGTCCTTCTTGCGCTCGTTGCACCACACACGCTCGCAGATATCGCGCCGCGTCATCTTGTTGATCTCACAGTACGCGCCGATGAAGCGGTCGAGTGCCTCAATCTCCTCTGGCGAAAACAGCTTGCCGTGCGCGGGCGCGGTCACCCAGTTTGACGCGCGCGCGGCCGCAGCGGCCACCAACGCCGCCACCTCGGGGTGTGCATTCGCGTGCATCCCTGTGTTCAAGCTGGAAGTGGGAGCAGGCCCGTCTGCTGCCGCAATCGCCTGCGCTGCGTGCTGCTGCAACTGCTGCAACTGCTGCGCGGCCTCGCCGCCCGCGAGCCCACGGTAGCCGAACTCGTCCAACGGTCCCAACTGGCTTGCAAGCTCGCGCGCATCCATGATCGCGGCCTGTACCAATTGCTCGTGTTCCGACGCGGTGCCCATCTCGCCCTCGGCCTCCGCGCGGATCTCGTGCTCTGCGCCCATCTGCGCAAGCTCAGGGTCCACATTGTCCTTCTTTTTCTTTTGGCGCTTGCCTGGAAAGGCAAACTCGTCCTCGAGGAACCCGGTCCACTGCTGAAAATTAATGTTCGCGAGCTCGTCGCTGAACAACTTGCGCTTTTTGTCGTCGGGCGCATCGTCGAGCGTGCCGCCCACGTATCTCAACACGGCCGCCTCTACCTCGTTGATCTTATCAGGATCCGAGTACTCATTGTGTTGTTGGATGAGATCAAGCCCGTCCTTTAAAAGCTCCTCGTCCTTTTTTAGGTCCAGGAGTTGTAGTAAGGCCTGGGCGCCGAGTTCTTGGTTGTCGTCGTGTGGTTGCATGGAATGTGTGTGGGGTACCCAGAAGTGTTACCCTGAGAAAGAGTTACCCTGAGAAGGTTTGTAAAATAGGGTAACGGGTGGAAGAGTTGAGGTAAAAATTTGCGGGCTGGGATTTACGCGGAGTGAAAATTACGCGTGCATGCGTCAGCGTCACTACGAGTCAGTGGCGCATGACACAAGCCCTTCCATACATTAAGCAAGACCGTGGCGAATCGTGTGGCAAACCCCGGAAAATGCATCGTACGATCTGTCTTGGGGAATCTACTCAAAAAAAAAAATACTGGTAAAGTGCCAAAGAGGATTCATGCTTTGGGTATTAATCGGTTAATAGTAATACGTGTTGGAATACCAGTTTTATCAAGATCGGGTGTTTGAAGAGTAAAGACTGGAGAGAAAATGGCGAAGGTTGGAAACGGTCCCTTTTTGATACACACAACCGGAGAGGTTTGCACAGGGGCTGTCGCCGGCAAAGTTTTGGGTTTTGTTTCCGTAGAGAAACCATTTAATGTTAGCTATATGTAGGGTAGAACCCGCATTACTTTATGCTCTCAGGTCTATAACTGTAAACAAGTCTAGAATTATACTATATGTTTATAGGCTTTGAATTGGCCATTACGCATTCTAATGAAACCGGTAGCTGAGCACCTCTTTGTAGAGCATCTGTTTCAACTCGTAGCATGTCAATTGGTCCTTGTGGTTATCAAACAGAAATTGGGCCTGGTCAGCAACCTCACAGGTAGGTTCGTCATTGGAGTCATGGTAGGCGGCCAAATAGGGGTGTTCTAGAGCCTCTGTCACCTTAATTCGTTTCGTCGGGTCAAAGATGAGCAACTTCTCCAACAAATCCAACCCCAACGGATTTGCAAAACTAAACTTGGCGCGCAAGTTCACCCTGGGAAACTGTGGCAAGGTTCTAATATACTCCCTCGCCCGCTTAGACCTTACACTCAACATATCGTCACTACTGGGCGTTCCCAATAACTCAAAGATGAGCAACAACTGATGTCGGTAGTCTTTACCCGGGAAAAGCGGCGCGGCCATGAATAATTCCGCCAAGATGCAGCCCATGGACCAGATATCAATCGCGGTGGTGTACTGTGATGAGGATAACATAATCTCGGGGGCACGGTACCACCTTGTGGCCACATATTCGGTCATCATGTTGATCCTCTCATCGGGGTCCTGCTGATGCAGGCTCTGCTCGAACCTGGCCAAGCCAAAGTCACAGATCTTTAGATCACAATTAGAGTTCAATAGCAAATTGGATGGCTTTAAGTCTCTGTGAATGACTCCAGCCGAGTGGATGTACTTCAAGCCCCGCAAGCTTTGGTAGATAAAGTACTGGATATGGTCGTCCGTGAGGGTTTGCGTTTGGATAGCCTGGTGCATATCTGTTTGCATATACTCTTGAACGAGATAGACCTCGGTAAATTGTTGGTACGACTGAGGTTTTTGTATGTCGTATAGTGACACGATATTTTCGTGTTTTCTAAACTTTTTCAAAAGCATAATCTCGCGAAGGGTTCGAAGGCAGAACAAGTGTCGTTCGAAGGGCTCCACTTTCTTAATGGCTACTTTTGTATTTGTGGGCTTGTAATTGGCCAAGCACACAATCCCGTAAGCTCCCTCACCAATAATTCGCTGGACCAGGAACTGATTCGAGATGTTGAAGGTGATCTTCCGGTGGGCTTTGGAGTGTGGGGTCGGCATGTTGTTGGGCACTGGATGGATGGCAGCCATAATATAGGGTACAAATCTTGTATGAATTTGTCTGGAAATTTTTGCTCATTTTATATCTATAAGGGCTGAATTCGGCCCGGGTTAGTGTTTTAGGTGAGGTGTCAGATACTCAATTGTGCAAAGGTGTACACGGAGGGGTTGGAGCCTCAAGAAAACCTCATTCCATCCTCCCCCGGTTGAAGTAATACCCCGGTGTTCAAGACAACCACGAATTCACCTATATTGTCGACTTTAGGTTGCTTCAGCAGTGTTTCATTCTGAAGTTCCCTGGCTATTTACGCTGATGGAGCCTCATCGGTCGCATATGCGCCGCACGCAGCCTCATCATGGTCTTGCATATTGCTTCATCTGAGAATTGCCTCTTTGAGTAAAATGGGGCGTCATGATACGTTTTAGATGGGTGCCCTATCGCTCCCAAGACCTACTCAATCTAACATGTCTGTAGAGATAGTTCCTTGAATTTACAACTATAAAATTTCCAAAATAATGATTGTATTATTATCCAGATACATACCATAAATAAATTTCACGATGTTTTTGCGCTTTTTATATAAATACTTAAATTCTGAGTATGTATAAAATATATCCTGACAGTAAGCGATGAAAATACCTACTATTGATTCCAAACACATATGAATGTTATACATTAAAAAAGTTTTTTGAATAAGTGACATAAGATATGTATATAGGGCCAGATTGTATCTCAGCAATTACCGATAAAATTTCATGTTCTGCCTCACATCGCCAGGATGATTTCGCGGTCGATAAACCTATCCAGATATAGTACGAGTTGGCTATAGGTACATTCTCTCAGGAAATGGATTTGGCATGTCCGGATAGAAGCAACAGTCCTCCCACGAGTTTCTACCAAAATTATCTCTAGCCTCTTGGCTACCTTTCTATCCTGCACCGACTCCGGGCGCCTAACCAGATCGAAAAAATGGGTACAAAAAATCCAAACACCTTACCAACTTGCTCCACGGACTCCACTTGCTACCCTTTAACCTTACACGTTTGGGAAACCCTTATCGATGAAATTCTCTACTGGTGACAATGGTCAAGACAAGGATGATGATCTCCAGATGCTTGACATCCCGGAATTGATAGACGCTGACAGCGAGTCAGACTCCGAGACCGATTCGGGCACCAGCTTGCCCATTGAGCGCTTCAGCAACGGGCCGCTACACGACAAAGCCACCATATTGCAGTTCCAGCTCAATCCAAACAACAACACGGGTATGATGTATGAGTCTGCCAGAAGTGCCATTCACCCCCAGGAGGTTCGGTTGTATGAGTTCAGCCTCCCTGGCATTGAGGACTCGCCGCAGTACCACAACTACCTCGCCCAATTGTACAAAAACTTTGAGTTTCTCGGCGACGCCTCCAAGTACCGCGTGCCGCTGATTGGGTTGGTGTCGCAGTCCAACACCCAGGAAACCAGAAACTTGAACAACGCGCTCAACTACATAACGGAGGAGTTGTCGCGATTGATCGATCAGAGCGATGATGACAGGCTCTACGAGTTACTAAACATCCTCAAGTGTCTCAACGCGGTATACTTCATAACCAACGAGAACGACCGCTGTCAACAGTTGTTCGAGTGGATCAATATGGCAGACGGAGAGCCGGACCTAGAGTTTGCGCGGGATATCATGGAATCTGCAGTACCGTTCCAGCACGGCGATTTCTGGGCATTGATCGTGAAGTTGGTTACCCGAGGGTTGTTCAATGAAGCCAAAAACGCCTTAGAGCAGTCCAATTACACCACCGGCGACTCAGAGTCCCAGCTAGACCTCGTACTCGCGGATATGGCGGCGATTTTTGGGTCATACAACGAAATGGTGCTCAAGGACCAGTTTGGGGAGTGGAAACAGCAGGCCAGAGAATTGAAGGATAACTTGACCCACGGCGAGTTCTTTTCCGAGTCCACAGGCGAAAACTTGACCATAAAGAAGGTGTACCAGATCCTCTCGATCATCACCGGACTGAGAGAAACGCTTCTTAACTCCTGCGACTCCTGGTACGAAGCGTTTGCGGCGTTGCTGAGTTTCGGGATCAGAGAAACCGGCCAGGATAGTGAGCTAATGGCCAAAATACTCAAGCTCGCCACCACCGCCCACCCCCCACCGGTATCCAGTTCTGGCTCCGGCGCCTGGGAACGTACTTGCATCGATGTCATCGAGGGTAACTTCCTCAAAGTATTACGATCCATCGAGGTGTTGGACAAGCCGACCGTCGCGTACGTCTCCAGACTATTCGAAGCCAAGGGTTTTCTAGACCAATATAAAGAACACTCCAACACCCATACATCCAACCTAGACGACATTTCGGGGTACTTCTTGACCGACCATGCCTTAACATGCTTGGAATCCGGCAATCAAGCTCTTGTTGCAATGGGTGTAGGGATTTTATCTCACCTTGGTACCTCTCTTTCGCGCTCCACCATTGCGAACTACCTTTGCGGCTTTGATATCCAGACAAACGATGACTTAGAATGGGCGCTTTCGGTTGCGGCGAAGCTAGAGCTCACGTCTGTGGCCGAAACGCTCTACCGCGTCGCAGCCCAGAAATCTTTGAGAGCCGGCAGGGTGCTTGAGTCGCTCACCATGTTCAGCCGTGGGAAAGATGTGTCTAGCGTGAAACACAACTGTTGGTTGGTGTTTGAAAAAGCGTTGCTTGATGGGTGCCCGATCAACGACGCCCTGATTAACGATGTGGTTACCCATACGATCGAGGCTCCCCCGGTGATCAGGCAGTGTATCGCACCATACGCCGTGCTTGTGGAGTTCTACAACCAGAGAAGCAATGACTCGTCAAGACAGGCGGTCTTGAAGCTCTTTAACTTGTTGAAGTTTCCGCACTTGCCAAAAAAGTATTCCCCGGTGTTGGTGGCTAACTTGCTACCGTTCATCACGTTGGAATCGTTGGCTAGGTTGTTGACCCTTCACGAATTGATCATGATCATTCTCATCATCGACAACTACGAGACAGAAAAGACGCTTGACGCTGAAGATGCGGAGGCGTTGTACACGATTGCCGTGGCCGGAGGCGGGGGTGATGACAACGACTGGAGGGTCCGCTTGTCTCTGTATGGAGCGGAGATTCCACAGACCGTTGCTGAGTTGGTGACAACCTTGCGAAAGAGAATTGCTGCCCAGGTCAGCTCCACGTTTTTAGAAGAGGTATGATGTCAGGCTTGTAATGTTTATGTTGTGGAGGTTGAGCCGTAATAGTAAACCAGGGATCCGTAGAATGACTTTGGAAGGCAGTTTTAGGAAGGAGTGGCCAGTTTCTGCTAAAGGGTTGAGATGCTATCGCGTGTGTATACAAATGACACAGCTACACTGACCTACGTGATTATAATCCTAAGAGTTCTCTAGTTTTACCGATTAGCTATTTAAACCTCGCCTGCACGCCCTTTAGTCAGAAATACATGCTGTTTTTTTTTTACAAGAATCATGCTATTAAATTAGCTCTTGCGTAAAAGAACACTCAAGCTGTTTTATTCCTGGCCGTCAGCGCTCACACCTCTGAAGTAGCGCATGTCACATTTGTTAGCACGAGTCAGGTGCAGGCTGACTTCGGCCAGGGCCGTGCCTCACACCTAAAAGGCGGCACACCATATCTCCATTACGGAGGCGTCAGAGTCCCGATTTAGCCGGCTTGTCTATATTATTTACTCAGCCTTCATCTGGTACACCGTTAAAACGATCGGTTGCCTGCATTGGAGGGCCGTACCGACGGGTGCGAGCCATACGAGTATACGACCTATCACCGGGTACGATGAAAAAGACAATAGAGCGGGGGCGGAGATTAGACGCCGGAACCGGCAACCCCCGTGGGAAATCCTATTTGAAAGAAAACGTCCCATACCATTTTATTTGTCCCTAAATGCATGAGCACACAGGAGCAGCCGTTGTTTTTGACTGTCTTTTCCTCTAAATTTTAGCTCCCATGTGATTACCTCAACAAAGCATAGCTGTTTGGCTGTATACCACCCCACGTGATATGTTCTAACACGCGGCCAACAAAAAAAGCCTGCACGAACCGCGAGCACTGTAACCTTTGCCCTTCTGGTCCGAGACAGGAGCAGGCAGAAAGTGGCTTTAAAAGACAAAAGCGCGATTTGAATCGAAATAAAAAATAATACGTACACAACTGCCATTCTTTTAACCGTAGCACAAGGGCCAGAGAGCGTCTCAACTCTTCCGTAGCCTTAGAGCACGTGGACTTTTAGGATGCTATGTGCAGGCTATGAGTCAGTGTTGCGGTGCAGGTGCTCCGAGATAATGCAGCGCTGCGTTTGTGAAAATTCACCTCCTTAAATAACCCCAGTCTCGCTAATTTTTGTTGGCCTTTTTTTCACATACTAGTACCTGGGTGAAGATTGTTCCTTATATAACTACAGAACCATAAGTCGGCAGACCAAGTATTCTATACAGATCTCTACCTATCCATACCAATAATTTCCGATGAAGATCAGTGAAAAGTTGCAGCAGGCGCACAAAAAGCTGCTGAACACGTCGAACCCCGAACCGACCAAGCCGACCTTCTCATTCGAGTTCTTTGTGCCAAAAACATCTCAGGGTGTGCAGAACTTGTACGATAGAATGGACCGCATGTATGACTTGAACCCCCAGTTCATCGACATCACCTGGAACGCGGGTGGCCGTCTCTCGACGTTGACCAATGAGATGGTAGCGACGGCGCAGCTGGTGCTCGGGCTCGAGACCTGTATGCATCTAACATGTACAAACATGCCGGTGAGCTTCATCGACACGGCCCTACAGAGTGCATACGATGCTGGGTGCCAGAACATTTTGGCGTTGCGCGGCGATCCGCCAGTCGACGGATCGGAATCCACGGGAGATTTCCAGTACGCGACCGATTTGATCAAACACATCCGCAAACACTACGGCGACTATTTCAATATCGGGGTGGCGGCGTATCCCGAGGGCCACCCGGAAGACGATGACGTCGACTTGCTTATCACGTACCTCAAACAAAAGTACGACTGCGGTGCCAGTTTCATTGTCACGCAAATGTTCTACGACGTTGAGAAGTTTATCGCCTGGTGCGCCAACGTCCGCGCTGCGGGAATCGACATTCCGATCATCCCCGGGATTATGCCGATTTCCACCTGGGGCTCCTTCATGAGACGCGCCAAATGGTGCGAAATTAACATCCCGGATTACTTCTTGGAGCAGTTGGAGCCGATCCAGGATGATGATCAGGCGGTTAGAGAGGTCGGGACCGATCTTGTCGCCGAAATGTGCAGAAAAATGGTTGATTCAGGGTACGTCAACCACTTGCACTTCTACACCATGAACTTGGAAAAGGCCACCACCATGGTGTTGGAAAAGCTCAATCTTTTGGGGCCGCCATCCTTGGAGTCCACGCCGCAGCCGGAGTCTGCCGTTTCCACGCCTTCTACCACGAACAAGCTTCCATGGCGCAAGTCGCTTAACCCGAACAGAACCAACGAGACCATCAGACCGATCTTCTGGCAAAACCGCAAGCACTCCTACGTTATCCGTACCGCCAACTGGGATGAGTTTCCCAACGGGAGATGGGGTGACTCGCGTTCCCCGGCTTTCGGTGACGTTGACTTCCACTCGGGCCAGACGCTTCTCCGCCAGACCTCTGCGAAGGCGTTGGAGATGTGGGGCCTTCCACAGTCGCCAGCGGACCTCGCGGAGGTGTTTGTAGACTACTTGAACGGCGGAATTCCTTCCTTCCCGTGGTCTGATGGTGCCTTGTCGAACGAAATCAACATCATTCGCCCGCAATTGGTTGCGATGAACCGCAAGGGTGTTTTTTCCGTAAACTCTCAGCCGTCTGTGAATGGTGCGCCGTCCAACAACTCCATCTTTGGGTGGGGTCCTGCCAATGGGTTCGTCTACCAGAAACAGTACTTGGAATTTTTCATCCACAAGGATCATCTTGCGAGTGTGATCGGTAAGATTCGTGCTGCCAACGGGGATGACGAAGACGCTGGCTTCAACGTCTTGACCTATTACGCGGTTAATGTCGAGGGCGAGTTGCAGACGAATGCCAAGGAGGATGAGATCCACGCCGTCACCTGGGGGATTTTCCCGGGTCAGGAAGTAGTCCAGCCGACTATTGTGGAACAAACGTCGTTTTTGGCGTGGAAGGATGAAGCATTCCAGATTGTGAACGAGTGGGCCAATGCTTTAAAGTTGGAGAAAAGGAAGCAGTTGAAGAAGATGGACAGCGAAACCGAGGGCGACGAGGCGGTCGATCTAGACAGATTTGACACCTCTGTCCAACTATTGGACCAGTTCCAGAAAGACTACGTGTTGTGTAACGTAGTGGACCACGATTTTGTGCACGGCAACGACCGTATCTTCTCCTTGTTTTCCGACATCCAATAGGTATTTCAATTCTGCTGAGAAGCACATTCCATGTATGATTCTGTATTTTTTTTTTAAAAAAAGTAATAAATGATGATAAATGATTGGGGAGGTGACTGGATTTAGTACTAAGGGAAGGCATGAGACACGGAAGATCAAAGCAGTAATAAGCGATGGAATAATGATACTTGTGTTTAACAGTGGCAAATATTACCAAGAATATGCAATCTGGGAGCCTGGCTTAAAGGGGAAGTTGTATTTAACATGAAATTTTCAGACATTCAGCAGACTTCGCTCTCTATTCAGTTATTTAGCTCGAAACTTTGATTCGTAAGCTCCAAGATTTTGACATTTCAGATGACGTTATTTTCGCTTCACACGCACCAACTGAACTAAGTAAGATTGTCAAACCTGGCTTCCTTCACCGATATTCATTTCTACTCTAGACAATTATTGTTCTGATAACTAGATACAAACTTTCAGAAAGAGCTCACTTCTGGATCCTGAGTACACGACAAAATTCGCTCCACCGGCGTTGCTCCTCTCACTATGGTAATCTTGTCTCCACAATCTGATCCTTCAATTTCTCATCCCACTTCGCCGTCAACTTCTCAAAGTACGCCAACACATCATCCTTCCCTGTTCCCTCAATCTCACTCCGTAAAACGTACTCGCTCCCCCCACGGCGACACGCGCTGCCGTACTTAATACTCTGCAAGTCGGTCTTTGGCTCGGCAAACGCGGCGTAGATCACGGCGTTTGCGGACGTATACCCCGAGATACAGTGCCACGGCGAGCCGTACCACCTCGCAAGATAAAACATCAACAACATGCCGTAGTATGTGAAAACGTTGAGAAACTTCCCAAACGACATCGAGACGAAGATCCCCGGATGGGTCACATACTGCGTGATTTTATCCTCCTTCAAGAGCCTGTCATACGACGCGAGGTGCAACAAATCGATGAGGCGCTTGGAGCCCTCGTAGGACACCGGACTCCGGATCAACTCCAAGTCATTAAACGAGAGGTACTTCGGAAGCGACATTACCGAAGACACCCAAATAATGCGGCCACACGCCCTGGTAAGCAACGGCTTGATTTTGTGCAAGAGATAGTATGGGCCAAAAACGTTAGCCTGGAAGACGAGGCCCATCCCGTCGGGTGTCGTGACCCCGACCCTTTGGATTTTGTACATGGGTTGCGTGACGCCTGCGATCGGATTCGCACAGATCTCGCGGCACGCACCAAGCCAGTCAATCCCATCATATACGCCCTGCGCGGCGTTCACGAAGAAGTAGTCGATCTGCGCGTAGCGCTGCTGGAGATCGTGTGCGGCCGCGAGCACCGACACCATGTTGGTGAGGTCGAGCAAGAGGTAGTCAAACTCGAGTACTCCAGGGCGGTGGGTCTTGGCTGCGTGCGCCTTGATGGTGCTAATCACGTCCTTGACCTTCGGCAACGTGCGCGACGTCACCACGAGCGTGAGGTGAGTTGCGGGCGGGAGAGTCTCGAGGAGCCGGTAGGCGATGTTTAGTCCGAGGTGGCTCCCGGTTCCGGCAATAACGGCTACTTTAGACATCAGACAGTGACTTGTTGGAAGGACTGATGGAATTGAGTATGTGGATATTCCTTGTAAGTCTGAAGAGGAAGAGAGCTTTATAACTTGGAAATATTGATCCGGTACGGATCGCACGCATGGTCCGTACGCGCAAACGAGGAACGACACGCGCATGTGCTTCAAGAAAACGAGACACTGAGATATTCCCGTATAAGTGCAAACTTTGTTTTATCAATACCGCCTGTCGATTGATATCCTTACAGGTATACATGGTAATTAGTATAAACTGATGGAAAATTACTGCCTAGATATAAGAGTAATACCTCAAGGAACGCTTCATTAACTTTGAACCGTATCTCTAAATTGCTAAATTTTTAAATTACTCAATGGTTATTTTTTTCCGAATGGGTAAGAAAAAAATGTATCATTCAAACTAGATCTTCTAAAGAGAGGCTACAATAAAAACCACTAGATATGAATATCAAATATTTATATAGCACAACAGTTCCCCGTTTCCCCCGCTTGTATTCACTATATACACTATTCCTGACGCTGCTTCAAGTCCGCGGTGCTGGGCGATTCTAGATCCGTCATCTCCTTCAGCAGCATCATCGACAGCACCCAGCACTGTGAGAGATCATCCAGTCGAAGCTTCTGCTGGATAATTTCCCAGGACTCGTCACTGATCTTCACGTTGCTCATGGCGTTGTACTCCCATATAGTGACGGCATGGCGCTTGTTTTGCACAAAGGTTTTAGTTACAAACCAGGGGTCAAAGAATGGGAGAAGTATGTAGGCGACTGTCCTAGCTATCGAGCCCAGTTTCCGGTCCTGGTAGCAGTAGAATACCTGGTTCCAGTTCTGTTTGAACGAACGAGTGTCGAAGAGGGAGCTACGGAGGTCGGGATCGATTTTCACCACCTTTCGCAGCGACCCGTCCACCACACTGAGATGGAGGTCCAGGGGTTTGCGTTTCGCTATTTCCTCCACGGTGGTGAAGTTGGCACCAATATACTTTAGGAGGTTGGATGCGAGGAGCCCACCCGCGAGCATCAACCAGAAGCCGCAGGCAATCGCCAATGCAATCAAGTGGATATTGACGTGGCGGTCCACAGTGAATACTCTGTTGACGAAGATAACATCCACTATGAGGACAAACAACCATTTGACGGTGAACCACACAAGGAGCTTGATAAACACCGGGTAGTTGGCATAGCCCACCACTGCGTTGAGAAAAATGCAGAAATGGTCAAATTTTACCACACACCTTCCGTGGTTTGTGGAATGGTGCACCCGTAGCGGCTTGTACGACTGGCAGCTAGAGCAAAAGAGGGGAAACCCGTAGGGATCGCTGAGAAAATACGGGGTCTGCTCGATGTTATCGAGGTGCTGCTGCGGAGCAAACGTACCTGGGTCAGCTAAAAACTTTAACTGAAACCAGAGAGCGAGAGTTATAGCCGCTAGGAGCGAATACACGACAACTGCAGCGAGATAAAAGGCGCGGAGGCCGTAATGGAGGTATATGAGTTTGTATGCGAGCTCGTGGCAAAAACTGTACATTACATAGCCGTAGAGGCCGATGAGGAGGATTGGCGTGACGTTGGGCACCACCCACCGCTTTAAAAATGATAGCATGGCGTATCTAGAAAGGACAGCTTGGAGTATGAGGGCTATAAGCAGATAGGATATAGATCATATACTTCAGAGTGGAGAAAGCCATGTGGATGCGCTGGATAATCTATACGAACCTGAACAGGGCATAATCCTGCATAACATGCAAGAGCTGCGCATAGCACTAGTAATGGACGCATAGTGGTGGGCTTTGTCCCTGACAAGCGGCTACTTGGAGTATACCAGAGGGAGGAGATTGTGGATACGTCAAAAAGACGATAGAGCCGGGTGAATTGTCTATCATTTGAGCCAGGATCCGAGTACTAAAGGTGATTATCCCCTGATTGGAGTTCGAAGACGCATCACTGTTTTCTTTTTCTCCTTTTGGCTTGTGCGCATACGAGACAATAGCAGACTGAAACGTCTACAGTCTACGCGGAGTAGATATGTTATGGCCTAGGCTGCAAGAAATTGGTAAACCCCTGATTCATTAACAATCAGAAGCTGAGGGTCTTGGAATAGTGGTTGAGTATACCGTGGGAACCTTCCAGACATTTTACACCCTGCATGTACATATAACCCTGGGCTGTTCTGAGAGATACGTGCTTGGGAATACCTATACCAGCCAGTGGCAACGGAAAAAGGATGGCAAACACACTGGCGGTTGAAGCGAGGTATTAAAAAAAATCGTATTACGTATCGATAAAATATGGAATAAAAGCTTTCCCGTGAAGAAGGGGAGGAGCGCTTGGTGTGTTGGACCATCTCCAACCCACAAAGGCATGCTTAATGATCGTAATATCCATGTAGAGTTTAAAGGGTGTCAATGGATACGAGCCCGATTGAGAAGCATGTTTGCTATGATATATTTCATATATCTGAGCCTAGATCTTCATAACAAGCCAGCTTTGGTCCACGTCCTCTGGGGTAAAAAGTAATGTTTCTAGATTAACGCATCCCTTAGTCTTGCTATACAAAATAACCTCGGGTCTATAACCATCTACACTTTACAGCCTGCACTTATGTTTGAACCGAATCGTATCAACCTAAACTTCCCTTTTATTTCTCCCCTGAGATAATACAGTTCAACCTGAATTTTCCCTTCTATTTCTCCACTGAGATGATACAGTTCAACCCGAAGTTGCAGTCCATCAACGCCTTGTTGAAGAAGTTGTTTATCTTGTAGCCACTCGCACGGAACTCCTTCTTGCTCTCGAACAAGCCGTACATCACCGGGTCGTAGAATAATTCAGTCTCGTCGTCGATTACGAACCTGGAACCGGAATTCTCCTCGTCTTGGAGCGTACGCATGCTCTTGAACTCGCGCTGGACGCTGATGAAGTTGTCGTAGCGGTCGCCAACGAACGGCGTGAACGGCGCGAGCTCCTCTTCTTCTTCCTCTTCTTGCTTGCCCGCGAGTTTCCGCTTGTTGTTCCCGCTTCCTGAGGTGCCACTAAGATTCGTGGCGGAATGGGTGATGGCATTAGAAATCTCCTCCAACTTACGCTTTCTGGCAGACGAGCGCTTTATTACCGACTCCTTGGACTTGGCAATCGTGACGTTATCGAGGATGCTGGCATTGTGGGCCGCCTGATCGTCCATATCGTTCAATATCTCCATCTGGGTCAACTTTATCAAATTCAGCTCGTCCTCGCTGATCTGCTTCTGCAACTTCTGCTTCTGCACCTTCAAGTCGTTCAAGAACTTCATGTTATCGTTGAACTTCATCACGTTGCTGGTATTGATCATGTTCTGCTTGTGGATAACCTGTTCATTCTCTTGCTGGTACTTGGTGACCTTCTCCTGGGTCTCATCCAAGTCCACGGAGTTAATAAAGTTGAAGATGATCGACTCAATTTCCTCGAGGTATGCGTTATAGGCCTGCAATTCCGCAAATGCTTCTTCCGGCTTGTTGTATATCTCCATGATCTTCTTACGGGTGTCTACCTCCTTCTCGATCTCCAAGTCGTCAAACACCTGCTTCTTGAACTTGTTCTTACGCAAAATCTTGTTGCACCCAGGGTATGGGCACTGCGTCAGGCCTAGTGCAAAGATACGGTCCACACAGGACTCGCACATCTTGTGGTAACACTCCGGGTTGATCTTAAAGATCATCGAGGGGGAGAGGTAGCGGTCTGTTTTGCAGATCGGACACATGTCTTTGGATGGCTCCTGCGCCATGAGATCCGAGTTTTTAAGGAGCTCCTTTGCCTCGGACTCGTCTTCTATAGGTGCGAATTCCCGCGTTTTGTTCTTGAACCTCAGAGACGGGCCCTTTAGTCTGGATGGTGGCATGGCAATGTGGCGAGTGGTGCTTAGTAATGACAATAGACCGGCGATCTAGCTCCCAAGACAGGTAGTATAGCTTCTATGCGACGGGAGATGTGCAGTATTTGAACCGTGATAGATATCTGGTGAGATAACACAGGAGTGGCAGGAAGAGTGAATGCTATGAGGTGGTGGAAAAGAGATGACGAATGATCTTTAGGAGGTGCCTTTTTTATCAGCTAATGTACAGGACTAGCTTCCGTAGCCGTCACGAACGACGCCGCTAAAGCCCAAAGCGGCGTATGTGTGAAATTGTTTCTCTTTCGCTGACTAAGATTAAAATAGCGTACGTTCTGGATATGATCTATCAATTATGTTAACATGCAATTTATTTTTGCAAGTTACAGTGCATCATTGACCTCTGAGGATCATAAGGATACTATGTTGGTTTGTACATCAATGATTGGCCGAAATTGGTTAGACAGAAGATTATAACCACTTAAGAACAATATACAAGACAAGGTTACCACTTTATTCTCCAGGAGAGAAAAAAATAATAATGACCGCTAAGCGGTTCGAACGCTTGCCTCTTACGAGATCTGATCTTGAGTCAGACGCCTTAGACCACTCGGCCAAACGGCCATTATATAACAATAACCACATCTACTTCAATACCCCAGCAAGCCATAATTGCTTTGCTCCGCCCCAGTACCTCTTGCGATCCTTCTTTCCTTTTCTTAATCTTTTCCAAAATATAAACCGTGGAAATGATAAATACTAATCAAGTGCGTATACTCATGGATATATCCGTTTCCTCAACTCTTCTCGCACAGGGCACATAACCCATGAATTTTGCCGCTGTCGTGCGACATCAAAACTCATATCAACCTCAGATAGCCTCCCTACCCGTATCACCATACTATTTTAATGAGCTTTGGAAACCCGTTCAACAGTACTGCCGTCCCATCGCTAGGCCACAACGGGTTTGAGGTCTCCTTGAGCTACATTGCAGGCATTCCCGATGCGAACCTTGTGGCAGACCCGCAGTTGAAGATTATCTTCAAGAGTTTGGGCAAAAACAACGAAAAAACCAAGGAAAAAGCTCTTTCAGATCTAGTCACCTTTGTCACGGACCTGACAAAGATTCATGCCTTCCTGGACGACCTCGTGCTTCTCACATGGGTCCAGCTCTATCCCAAGCTAGCCATCGATACCGCCAAAGCCGTGCGGTCTGGCGCCCACACGGTCCAGTCCAGAATTGTGGCGACACTCGGAAAGCTTTATGCAAAGTATTTGAAGGATACCGCGCCGGTGTGGCTCGCGGGAACGTACGATACTGACCGCATTGCCGCGCGTGAGACCGCGGAGTCGCTCCGCGCGGCGTTTGGCGGCGCGCAGGCTAAGGTCGACCGTCTCTGGACCGCATTCCGCGCGCCGATCGTCAACTTTGTCCGTCAGGTGGTGCAGTCGGAATCCCGCGACACGTTATCGGACGAACGGTACGTCAGCGCCGACGAATCTGCCGCAAAGTATGCGCGCGTCGCAGTCGCGGCCATTAGCATGTTCTCAAAGCTCCTCTCTGAACCCATGGACGACTCGACTGAGTTTATCCAAATTCTACGCACCGAAAATATCTGGGAGAATTTGTTGTGCGGCGACGACTTGGCCCTCAAGAAGGCGTGCTACGGGATGATCAGCGTCTTGGCTCAATCCAGAAGCGACTTGCTCGAGCCAAAGGTGATGAAACTAGTCTCCAAGAACTTGGTCAAGTCACTAAAGATCAAGGCTGACAGGGGTATGCAGGTGGGGTATGCGCAGGTGGTGCTTCCGATCTTCGCCGCGCTCATCCATATGACAAAGCTCAGCAGCGGCTTCTGGACCGCCGCAAAGAAGCCGCGTGAGCGCCTCTTGGGCTTGATGGAGCTTGGAAGCTGTGGCTCAGACCCCGCATACTACGACTACCTCTTTACGCTTTTGTCGTCAGACTTACCAGAAGAGGTGTTGTCTTTCGCCGCAAAGGCGGATGCCGAAGCATACTTGGCGGTCGTGGTGAAGGTTTCCCAGGCAGAGAAGCTCGCTCTGTTCCAGGAACGCGCGTGGATTTGTTTGAACAACTTGTTCCTTCGGTTTCACGCCAAGACTCCACTGGTGGAGACGATGGTCCCGGTGTGGATTCTGACCTTAGCTACCGCCAGTCCCAAGAATATCCTTAAAACTGCCAGTACGCTCAATAGTTTATCTGAGGAAGACTCTACCAGGGCTTTGGATCCTATCAGCGACTTGGTCACGTCCTGCTTGCCTAATAAGACGTCCACTACCTATAGTTCCGATCCGGGTCAGGGCTCTGCTTCCGGCTCCATAACCCTTTATAGTGACAAGCTCTGCCCGGCCTACTTCCACCTCCTCCAGGCGATGGCTAACCAACACTACTTGGAAGCCTTGCTCGCTTCTGCCGTGGATAGCTTAGCAGAGTACGAAGAGGGAGAATCTCCCACCGTATCATTCACCATCGTCCGCTGCTTCCTCACCTCCAAGATGATGCAGTTTGCCTCTACCGTTCTCCAGCTCATCAGTGACCTCCCCCAGCATATCGAAACGAACTTCTTTGAGGAACCAATGGCGCTTTTGATCGATTACAACCCCTCAAACGCCTTCTACAACGAGGCCATCCTCGTTGAAACCCTCAATGATGCATTCCTGAAAATTGTCATGATCAGCGAGGACACCCCCGCTGCTATCTCGCCTCTTGCAAAGTTTCTCAAGTTCTTACCGCAGATCTCGCGGAACATTCCGGCCTTTGAGACAAAGTGCCCTGAAATTTTCCAACACGTACACGCTTTGGCGGGGGACTACGACTTTGCCACCGCCAACCATGACATCTTCCAGATTCTCAGCCCTGACGTGGTGCTCAACTTGTTTGACCAGGCATGGGAGAGCGGTAACCAGAGTGTGTTTGTTGCAAACTTTCTCCAGGCGCAGCAGCACGGCTTGGTGCGCGACTTGGTGCATGCGCGTGCGGCGCCGTTGCTCGCGTACTTGTGGGAGACGTTGGCCCAGCCGGACTCCTGCACGTTCTTGCGCTTGGTGGAAGCTGGGTTGGCTACTGACTCGGTTTTGGACGCCTATGTCGCGTCTATCCACGCGCTCATTCTTAGCCCAGCCGCCGATATGGCAGCTGTTTCACAAAACTTGTACGGAATGCTCGAGAGCCGCTTGTTTGCAAAGTTGGTTCCGATGGAAAAGCTCGACGAGATGGTTACACGCGCGATTGGCGCCATTCCCGACCCGAGCCTCGCGGTGGGTAACCCGTTAGAAAGCAACGTGTATTTGGTACAAGGCGATGGGGCGCTGTTTAGCCTTGCCGCGGCACTTGAACTCACCCGGTTGGCCCAGTTTATCTTGAATATCACGTCTCATGTGGACATTCTGTCGCTTTTACCGGTGGGCGCGCACGCAGAGTTAATGGTAAACTTGGGGCTTGCGGGCGAAGTTGCCGCGGACGCGACGTTTTTGACCCAAACAGAGGCCCCGGGGTGTCTCCAGGTGTCCTCTGCCGCGTATGAGGTTTTAAAAGCCGTGGACTTGTCGTTAGAAGGCGTTGTTTCGGTGCTTGGAGGCGCTTCCCCCGAGGATCTCGGCACCTCTATAATCTCTGCCTTAAGCGGGGACGATCTCACCAACCTCAGCTTCTATAAGTCGCGTGTGCTCCAGAAATTGGTGCTGGCAATGGTGGAAACGGAATCAGCCGCGTCTTTCAACGCACTTAGTATCCCGTTTCCAAAGTTGCTCGGAACTCCGCTCAAGCTAGCGGCGGTTGTGCTTGGATTGAAGAAGTTTTTGACTCTGCCAAAGTTTGACAGAACCAGAAACGCCGTCGCAGCCGAACTTATTGGCCTTCCACTGTCGCAGGTCATGTTATCGGGCTTGCAGAATGTGACATTGCTCAACAACTTCGTGGTGGTTGACGACCGCGAGGGATTCGTGCCGTTACCTCCGCAACGCTTCAACATGATCGTCACCGCCGTTGCGGGCTGGCTCGAATCGGAAATCGCGTACGACCCCGAGTTCGGCGCTATGCGCAGCCAGTTGTGCAACTTCTTCACCAACTACGTTTCCTTGGATGTTGGAATCGACACCCGGGTTTGGGAAATGTGCACGCAGTTGTGTCGTGATACGTTGGGCGTCGCTGCGACGGAGGCGGCTCCAGACATGGAGTACCACGCGTTGAAGTTGTTTCTCACATTACACAAGCACTCAGACGAGATTGACGTCTGGGCAGACGAGAAGGACGGGTTGTACGAAGAGCTTATCGAAGTGATTCTTACCCACACCTCCCGTCTTGTCTCCCAGCCGCTGCTTTTGTGCCAGGAGTTGTTGATCCGCATCTTCGATAAGATGCCGACAAAGGCATCGCGCAAGCACTACGGTGAGTTCTTGACCGTTCTTGAGACTGCCCGGTCGGTGGATCTCCAAAGAGTCGCAGCGGACCTTTTGCATAAAGCGGTTTTGGTGCAACAGCAGGAGTTTGTGATAGAGTACGAGCTCCAAAGCTCATCCGTGAGAGAGGGCTCCCCTGACTCAGATCCTGGTCTCAAGGCGCTGTTACCGTCGGAACTCATAGCCATAATCACCGAGCCGCCGCTGGAATACGTGGAGCACGCGGAGCCATGCACGTTCTCCAGATACGTCTGGAGCTGGCTCTTGGTCTTTGACCACTTCAAGAACATCACGTATAAAATCAGACAGCAATACATCGTGGAGTTAAAGGCGCGGGACTTGATTTCCGGGTTGCTCGACTTCATCTTCCAGCAGGTGGACATCGTGGCAGACGTTGCCTTTGTCAAGTCATTGACCCCGGAGAACATCCGCTCCTACCATGTCATTAACTACGGTGCGTTTGAGAGCACCATAGACGAGTTTAGACACTTGTTGGTTCATTTCTACTACCTCGTATGCAAGTACCTCGGCGCCCACGCACAGACGTGGTTCCTCAACATCCGTGACAGACAGCTCAAGGCCAGCATCGAAAAGTTCTCCATCAGGTACGTTTCTTCCTCCATTGTGACCGAGGAATTGGCCAAGGCAGAGGAGCTGTTGACAGGAAACAACAAGAAGTTTTCCGATGAAAACTTGACCATCAAGGTTAACAAAATTACGAATGAAATCAGGTCGGTTTACTTGATCGACGAGCAAACAATGGAGATGGTGATCCGTATCCCTGCCTCCTTCCCGTTGGTTAACGTCACGGTGGAGGGTCCCCAGAGGCTCGGAGTCAAGGAGACCCAGTGGAAGGCATGGTTGTTGGCGTCACAGCTCGTGATCACGTCTCAGAACGGTACGATTCTCGAGTCGATCGAGTTGTTTAACCGAAACGTCACCTACCACTTCTCCGGGTTTGAAGAGTGTGCCATCTGCTATTCTATTCTCCACCAGGACCACTCTTTGCCGTCGCGGAACTGCCAGACCTGTTCCAACAAGTTCCACTCTGCCTGTCTCTACAAGTGGTTCAAGAGCTCAGGGAGCAGTACCTGTCCGCTCTGTCGTGCAACTTTCAACTTCAGGGTTCATAAGTAGAGCTGAAATTGTCGGCATAATATATCTTTTATAGGCTAGTAAGACGAAAGCTGGTGAGCTCCCCCCTAAGTTGAGTCAAAAAGACATCCTATATATGACGTTCTTGGGTAGAACTGTATCTGAAAGTTGGAAGATTCCTCTAGAGGCTGTTTGAATGCCTTTGGGAGACCATAGAGGTTATAGCCAGGCCGGGGTGGATGCAGAAGCATTCTTATTGTGAGTGAAAAGTTCACTTTGACATGCAGCCATGGCTTGATTTTTACTAAATACACTTAGATATATTAGCGTGTGGCCTTGCCAAGAGTAGAGTAATACAAAGGAGAAGAAGAAGAAAATGCGAGAGATGACGAAAGAAGCTTCAAGGGCAGAAAACATATACCGGCCTTAGATGAAGCCCAAGTTGCGGTCAAGCCCAAACTCAAGTTCCTGCTCCAATCCGAGAATGTCGGAAGGGTCGCTGAACACGTTTTCCTGCGGCCTCGGGGGCAAGTCGTCGAGGAAGCTGTCGTTGGGGATGTTCTGCAACATGGTGGGGGTGCTGAGCATCTGGTAGTTGGGGTTGGCGTAGAACTGGTCAGCCTGGCTCTGGAGCTCTTTGGCCGCCTCAAGGTGGCCCTGCTGTATCTGATGGTGCTCTGCCATCTGCTGGGCATAGTGGTCCTGGAGGTTCTGTAAGTTGGTTTGCTCCTCGATGGGGGCCCGGACGGACTGTCGGAAGGTCTGGACTTCGTCAATGATCATTTGCCGCATAACGGCAGAATCCTCGACGCTTTCGAAGGAGAAGTCAAACTTGGAGGTGCAGACGGGTTCATCGGAAGGGTCGTGCCACACGTTCAAGTACGGGTGTTCCAAGGCCTCCTCCGCTGTGATGCGCTGTGATGGGTCCAAGGTGAGCATTTTCTCCAACAAGTCCAAGCCGTCAGGGTTGGCGTTCGGATACAATTGGCTGAAGGGGACCTTTGGCATGAACGGCAAAGATCTGACATACTCCTGGGCACGTTTGGACCCAATTCTCTGCAAGGTAGTCTCATCCGGTGTCCCCACGATGTAGAGGATCTGGTTGAGCTGGTCCACGTAGTCCTTTCCGCGGAAGATCGGCTTACCCCCCAACAACTCCGCGAGAATGCACCCCACAGACCAGATATCAATGGCCTTGGTATAGCTCTGGAAACTCAACATAATCTCCGGGGCTCGGTACCATCTAGTAGCGACATACTCCGTCAAGAACCCGTTGTTCGTCGCAGGGTCCGAGGAAAAGCCCCTTGCAAGCCCAAAGTCGCAGATCTTGAGCTCGCAGTCCGCATTCACCAAGAGATTGCCTGGCTTCAAGTCGCGGTGCAACACATCAGCCGAATGGATGTACTTCAACCCACACAAGATTTGATAGATGAAGCTCTGGTAGTGCGAGTCGGTTAGGGTCTGGCCCGAACGGATGATCTGATGCATGTCGCATTCCATCAACTCCTCGTAGAGGTAGGCCTCGTTGAAGTTTCCCTCGGCATCCGGCGTGATGTCAAGATCGTACAAGCATGTAATATTCTTGTGACCGCGGAAATGTCCTAGCAACTTCAATTCGCGGATGGCGCGCTTCGTGAGGATCTTTTTGCTGAAAATGTTGGTAATTTTCTTGATTGCAATCGACTTCTCTTCGCCGGCGTCATCGAACTTTGCGGAACAGACCACACCGTAGGCGCCGTGGCCGAGCTCCTTAGTGATCTGGAAACGCTTATCCACGATAAAGTCCTGATGGAAGACGCTGACGGTTAGTAAGGCTCGCATGGGCGCTAAGAGGTACGTACTGAAAATTGTGGCGTTCAGGCTGGCTCATGATGTGTCGTGTGAAGCAAGTCCGAGTTTCAATACAGCGACAAGGTCGTTTAAGTACTTGTCGTTTTTTCCAGTTAAAAATAGATCGCTGGCTTCTATGTCTAGCCTTCTGGACTGGATCGGGAGTAAAGGCACGGCGTCATGTGTCTATACGATCAGACGGCAACGCAAAACGCTGTCTTTTATGGACATACTTCCGTGCGCCTTAATTAGGATACTTCTAAAAATAGCGCCAAGCTTTGTCCAGGTGCAGGCCATCTACATTCATCCCTTGTCCAAAGCCTATGGGGAAAGGACACAACACCCAACGGCTCGTGAAAAACCGAGGCAGCATTTGTTCCTTAGTGCAAGGAATCAGCCATATTTGGCTACGGTGTACGTTTACACCACAGGATTTTGTTTGTCGACGCCCCTACATAAAAATATGCATGTGAAAAGGACGGTCGTGTCAGGGTAAGGAGTGATCTTCCGGTATTGATTCTTCCTCGTGTAATGAAATTGAGTGCAGTGAGAAATGCAACCTGGTTGCACCCTGGTAAGGATTGATAGGTGTCGGACTCTCGGAAAATAACCCTGGGAAACGAACCGAAGTAGACAGACCAAAGGTTTGGAGACAGGAGGGATATCGTATTTACCAGATCTGGGCCCTACTGGTGTGGGACCCAAGTACCTGACCGACACGCATTAGAGATTGAGGAGGTATAACTCCAGAATGGCACTAAACTGATGAGTCTACTTTAAAAGGACCTCCAGGATGAGTAGTTGTCAATTTTCAATGGTGGGAAATAATCTATCTGAAGACGAAGGGCTGCATGTGAATGAATACCAGGGACATTGCCCTTCAAAAAGGTTTCCCCCTTCAAGAGTCATTCCCATTGCCCTTTCGAGAGACATTACTGTCGCCCCTCCATAAGTCATTCTCGCTCTATAAATTATCCCATATATATATATATATATATATATATTTTTTGAACGCTGAAATCTCTAACCTGGGGATCTGCTGTGCCCGCTACTTAGGGCAGGAAAGCTTATAGTCCGCCCGCAGCTGCACCCTCGGCAACACAAATGTATGAGATCTTAAAGCCCATGCATTTGTAGTGTCTACCTCTTTCTAACCTCGCTCAGCCAAGTCGTCCACGTATATCGGCTCAACCTTACACTAAAGGATATTTTCTAAGTAAACTAAGAGTACCAAGCAAACCAAGTTACTGATGTATAAAAAGCTCGGAATCAAACGGCGGCCGTGTCTTGTCATGCAGGGCACGTCTAATGACATAATTTTTCCGGGGGGTTTTTTTGCATATGCATACCTATATTGCTTCGAATCTCTCCAACCCTTTGTAAAACCGTTTAACCTCTTCCGATGCCCTAATCTTGGCCGGATTGAAGTTGACGATCTGCAAGGAGTCTTTGGAAACACACCGCGATAACGCGACGTAAACCTGCCCCTTTTCAAAAATCTTATTCAAGTCCACCTTCACGCGCTGTAACGTTTGCCCCTGCGACTTGTGGATGGACAACGCCCATGACAAGAGGAGCGGGAACTGCGAGCGCGTGCCACTGGAAGCACCCTGGTTGCGGTCAATACTAAACTCCAGCTTCTCCCCGACCCAGAGCATGGGTCCCTCGACAGTGATGAATTTGACGATCGGCACTATGCTCTCCTGGGTCTCGCGACGCGTGAGTTTGATCAATGATTCAACGGTGTATCTCCGACTGGGAGACATCGCCGCCAACGTCCGCTCAAGGTCCGGGTGGAACTCACCCGAACCGTAACACGTTGCGAGCAAGCGTATGTCGCTGATGACGGTGGGATCCTCCATCATCTGGTGCGGGCTGAACAACTCGCACGCCTTGTAGTAGAGCGCAGGCGAGAGAAAGTATTGGACCAGGCCAATAGACCCGTTGACCAAAATCTCGGTGAGGTTCTTCACCATCATCACCTGCGCATCCTCTTTGAGCTCGAGAATTTTTGGCGCAATCGTTTCGAGCGTCGCAAGCTGCGATTCGTACTTTGTGGTGTCATCCGCGATAAACTTCCGCCCCACGCCCTTTAAATTACGCAAACGCTGCTGGTTCGCATTGTCCACCTCTCTCCGCGTGGGGAACAACTCGGTGGGAAGGATGTTATCCTCATACTTAACCTCCCGTGAAAGCTCGAGAAACAGCCGTGACATAGCATCGGTAACACTCCCAAAACGCAATGCATTCAACATATCAATCAACTCGTTGTCGCCCTTTTGCCGGAAAACCGTGGTCAACAAGACGGTTTTTTGAATAATTTTTGGCCAGCATTCCGCCTCGAAGCAGAACTTCACCGTAGGCCCGTTACGATCGGGTACTGGAGGCAACTGGAAGAAGTCCCCGGTCAACACAAGCTGGATTCCGCCGAATGGTCTGTGGTTCACTACCAAGCGTTGCGCCACGCGGTTCAACTTGCCCAATAACTCGCCGTCGAGCATGGATATCTCGTCGATAATCAAGACCTTTGTCTTCTTCCACTTATCCGCCTGCTTTGCCTTCTTAATTTTGGCCACCAACTCCTCCACCGACCCCTTCCCCAAGCCGATCGACGCCCACTTATTGATGGTGACACCCCCGATGTTCACCGCTGCCAACCCGGTGGAAGCGGTCACAGCCACTGCACTGCTCCCGTACTTCCGCACCAACCGCAGAACAATCTCCTTCAAGAGAATAGATTTCCCCGTCCCGGCTGACCCCGTGTAGAATACGTTGAGGTTATCCTTCACGATGTATTCCAATACCCCCTGTTGCTCCTTGCTAAGCACCACCTTGTCTCCTGTCACGGCCAAGCCCGCTTCTACTCTAGGCATATCCACTACTCCGGACAACCGCGGGTTCTTGTTGGCGAGCGTATGCACAAGTTTCTCTGAAGCCTCCCATGGCGAGAGCCGCTTGCGTGATCTAGCTTGGCTTCCGCCAAGAGACGTCGCTGGGTCGTACTTGTACGAAGAAGTCTTGACCGGCCTTGCATCTGTCTTTACTGGCGGTTTCAAGTTCTTAAAATTGGTGATATTGACCGATGGTTTTTTGGGGGAAATGATAGGGATATCTCTGATGTATTTGCTGCTCACAGCGAGTAACTCAGCGTCGAACTCATCGTCAAACTCGTCGTCGAGATCGATCACCTCCTGGCCATCATCGTTGAAAGATGCAGAACTGGAAGCAGCTACCCACAGCCGGGATCTTTCCAACATACTAACCTGTGCCAGGGATATGGCCGGTCTGGGGAAGCTCAATCCCAGTGAGGACCCACTCTCTGTGGGTTTCACGATGGGCCGGGCACCAAAAAACGAGGAAATGTCCTTGAGGCCCGTACCGGGTAGTTTTGCTGCTCTGGTCTGTTCAGGCTGCTTCCGTACTTCCTTAAACCTGTTAAACATTTATTGAGGCCGAAGAGTAGGTGTGTCTGATAGAACTAGGAAATAATACCCAGAACAGTCTGGCGTGAGCTTTTTGACCGCACATGCGGTGGGTGACACCGCGTTTTTCTGTATACACCGGATAGTTATTTTTTTCACCGTAAACAACGCGACGCGCCACTGTTAGGCAAAGGACGAGCCGCTGCCACCGCGGATGTAGCATGACACGCAAATGGAAGTGGTTTGAGCATATTTGGTCTGTTAGAACATAGTTCTCTTTATTCCTTCAATGGAGATAAGATATGATTGGAAGTTGGAGTTTGTTATTTAAATGAAGGATATTGGATATAGTTGGAATGGCCTTGTTGCACGTCACAAGAATACGAATAGACTTAGGTTGGATTGGAAAGAGGGGGCTGTGAGCCAGTGTTTTGGCCCGCAAGCTAGTCAGAGCTAAGTCTAGCGGAAGGCGGAAGCTCAACAGCCAAGAGTAAGCATGAATATATATATATAACCTTTTACTGAAATAAGGCGGTTAAAGTACCAGTTATGGTCAATCATTACATATGATTAGGAATGGGTGTGTTGCAACGCTCGTTGTACGGAGAGTGCCGTGTGAAGGACAGGCCGGTTATGTGTGCGTACTAATCCTTGCACGCTAGATTCGCCTCTAGAAGCAGGTCTATACAAAAAATTGAGGAAATTTCAAATAATGGTTATTAACATGTCATTTTAAGTTAATTCGCAATTGAATTTAAGCAAAAAAAAAAAAAAAAAAAAAAAAAAGAGAACCAGCGTTCAAATCTCAAGATAAGCCCTCAGTTTTTATCCTTTTGACTGAAGGTGTTGCTATGCGAACCTGATGTGCATGTGCGACTTGCCGGAATGCTAGGCTTCACAGGTGACCTCTATTCGTCATTTCCTTTCCACTGCTTATCCGTGTATCTGATAAACTCTGGTTTGCCTCCAACATCCGTCTAAAGCTTCTGAACAATTTCGCCGAAATGCTAGCTTCGGTCCGCCAAGTACCCGTGCTCACACCTTCCTCGCTCTTACGTGCTATTCGTTCGGTGCTTCGCACACTTTTAAAATAAAATACAATTCTTAACAATCTTAACCTGCTCATCCGGTACTTACCCACTATTGTTCCGTCCGGTACTTCACCTGATTCGATGCTTCACATCTCAGTCCTGGTCATCCCCGTCCACGAGCCGCGTGTCAATATTCTCCAACGGCGTATCCGTAGGCTGATACTCATCAAGCGACTCCTGTGCGGCGGACGCGGCAGCTGCCACAGCTGCGGCGGCGTGCGCTGCTTGCGCGTGCGCGTGCGCCTGGGCCTGGGCATGAGCGGCTGCCGCGGCGACCGCCACCTCGTGGCTATCAAGCATATGCTTCTGCAACTGGCTCAAATCGGCGGCACCCATCTCGAGCTTAGCTGCGTTCGCACTCGATATCGCAGCTGCGAGTGTCGCGGCATTGTAGTTAGCATTCCCAGACACCGCCATTGCAGCATTGGCAGCATTCACTACTGCTTCAACCGCTCCAAGCGCATACGAGTCGTCCACGTGAACGTCCACGCCCATACGGATCTTGCGCTTGAACGACCTAATCTCGTTGTAGATATCCTCGCGCTTGATCAAGATCTTCGGGAAACGATCCTTTAAGATTTTCTCAATCACAAGCGGCTTCGTCCCCTGCTTGTACAACGAGATGATCGTCATGTTCAACTCGTCGGACCGCTTGCGCAACATGGGGTGCGACGTCAAGGGATCCAATTTGGCATGGTTGTGATGGTTTTCGATCGTCTTCAACGTCCAGATGCGCGTCGACTTCTTGTGGTTCGCGGTCATCGAGAACGGGCACTTGGTCTTCTTAGTTGCGTTGATTGTTGGCGCAAGGTTCAACTGCGCGTTCAACGACGTCGCCTGCTGGAGCTGGAGCTGGAGGTGTTGCTGTTGCAAGATCTGCTGCTGTTGCTGGAGCTGCTGTTGCTGCTCCAAAAGAGACGCGTGCTGGTCCACAGGGACCAAGCCCTGCTCAAGCTCCAAGTCTGGCCCGTGAACTACTGGTGGTGGCGCGTGCGCGGTCCCAGACGATGCCTTCTTGCGGCGGTAGTCGCCGCCCAACTCACAGGTGAAGTAGATAGCCTTTTTGTTCGAGTGCGCAATGACAATCCCAAACCCATTGATCAACGCAAACTCTTTGATGTATTCCATCAACGCGTCGCGCGAGTCAAACTGCAATACCGGTGTCGCAGGCGTGATCATGAAGCCTGTTTCGGCATCAGTGGACGGCTGGTATTGATCGGGTGTTGGCAACTGCGGGTTCAAAACTGGTGGATTTAACGCCAACAACTGCGAGGCTAATTCTGCCTTGCTCATCTCGCGTGCGCGCGGCTTGCGCCCCGCCGCGCGTTTCTTCGGGCCCATCGCCGCCTCCATCGCCGCGTCCACCTGCTCGTCCACTTCATTATCGTATCCAGACGAGCCGTAGTGCTCATCCATCTGCAAATCCTCGGGCATGTGCATCTCAAGGCCGTTCTCGAGCCCGTTCTCGAGCTTTGACTCCTCGAGGATCTCGATGTCCTCGGTCTTTTGTTTTCTCATCAGCTTAGCCATGGTTCAAGTATTCCGTGAAGTTGGGGATATCTCGGAAGGGATTAATATTCTGTGGTTGGCAAGATCTTACGTACACAGAGACGCGTGTGAGTGTCTGTCGTGTGGTGATCAATGTAAACAAGAAAGGTCGTTTGGGAGCAAAACGGCGAGGAGGTTTGAGGATGAAAATGGGAATTGCTTTTTCGGGCGGCGTGTCCTGATTGGCGTGCGAGAACAGGATGTTTGGTTGGGACACACCTGTATCGGCACGCGCGGGGCTCCCCTGAGAGCTAGAGACCAAGTCAGTGCTGGTATTCGACCAAAATCGGGGGTTTTTTTCTCTTTTTTTTTTCGCTACGAACAGGTAGAGAAGCTAGTATTTACAGTGAATGACTAACCAGTTTTTGGAATTGCCTCATGTGTTAAGTACATGAAACAGACGGGCTGGCCATGCGACACGGTGTAGCACGCACCCGTTCCTGAATGCACGGTTTTACTCTTGTGGGAGAACTACACTATACTGCGATGCCCGCCGGGTTGAATACTGCTTTTACTCACTTCTGGCATCTTAATCAGACTCAACCGCAAACATACTGGTCAGCATCACATCGCACGCCGCAGATATCAGCTGGGTCACGTGTTTGTTGTTTTTTCTCATCAACGCGTAATTCCTGCCGCCGGATGTGGGAATACTAAGTAGCCGGAATTCCTTCTCTCGTGGTAGCTTATGCTCTTAAGTGTGCATTCTCGGATCATCCTAACCTTGAGCGGCCTAACACTTTTAGAAAAATTATCATTAAGGCGCAGGTATAACCTCTGAGTGTAGCTCGTCTCGTAACATTCAATGTGATGCTTGGTCATAGAAGAACCGCACGCATCTCACTCATTCAGTCACCTGACTGTTGGTTTTGGCACGCCCGGGCTGTTGCTGCATTCTGGTATGCGGCAAGCACGAAGATAAACGTCAGACTCCTTATCTCTTACAATATACCCCAGAAAGTTTTCGGTTATTATGAACGCCTCCCCTCTTCCTGTGAAACAGATTCACACCCAGCACGACTTGGCAAACTTCCAGAAGTCGCTCTCACACAATGTCATCAAGACGCATTTGATCCAGATCGTGCAGTTGGTTCAGGGAATTCCCAGCCCTCCCGGCAGCCTCGACCCTAAAGTTGTGAGAATGACAGTGGCACAAAATACTAACGCTCGCGTGCTAAATCTTCCGCCGCCTAGCAAAACCGTCGAAAGTCTGCTGCCGATGCCGTATCAGGCAGGGTCACAAGCGATCATCGGCATCCTCCAGTCGCTCAGAAACTGGGTCCGGGAGATTCCGCCGGTCCAGGTCAAGTCCCGTTTCGGGAATCCGTCGTGTAAGATCTGGCACGCAAAGTTGAATGCGGAAATCTCTGAGATGCTCTGCCAGCACCTCAGGCTGTTATACACGTCCTCGGCACGGCTGCCGACATTCGAACAGCTTATGGTTGAGTTGGTGTACTATTTTGTGAACAGTTTTGGCTCCTCTGTTCGCCTAGACTACGGTACGGGCCACGAATTATCCTTCCTCAGTTTCCTTGTGGGGTTGTTCAAGTACGATATCATCCATTTTGTGCCTTTGACCGCTTCCCAGGCTCTGAACGACCATCACTTGATGGCAGACGAACTTCTAGCGATGTTTGGGGCCTATTATGACTTGGCCCGCGATTTGATCGTCGCCTATACCCTCGAGCCTGCCGGGTCCCACGGCGTGTGGGGACTAGACGACCATTTCCACTTGATCTACATCCTCGGCGCTTCCCAGTTGCTCACAGAAACGTCCCCGCTCCTGCTCCGTCCATCACAGTTCTTGAAACCAGCCACCTTGGAGTCACACTATGTTGAACTGAACCTCTTTGTGAATGCCATCTCGTTTATCAAAAGGGTCAAGACGGGACCCTTCAACGAGCATTCTCCGCTATTGTACAACTTAACTTCGGTCATCTCGTGGTCCAAAATCCTCAAGGGCTTGCTCAGGATGTACGACGTGGACGTGTTGGGGAAATTTCCGGTGGTGCAGCATTTCTACTTCGGCACGTATTTGTTCCCGTGGTGCGACATGCTCGGGCGGCCTTTCAAAGAGACAAGTGAGCTGGAAGAAACGGTTACAGATGGGGTAAACACTCCACCTACCTTCCCCTCTACACGTGTGGCAGGTGTCACTACTATTCCTTCCACGCGTGCGCCGGGATCTGGGGTGCCTGTGACCAAAGTGCCATGGTCTGGGAAAACTCCGACTAGCCATCCAGGCGTCTTTCCCGGTACCCGAAGAGGCCCCGTTCCCGCCGCAAACCTCTACCGGGGAAATGGGTTTTGAGGCTTTGGCCGGGTTGGTAACGTTCATGTATATATCGTTTACGACTATGGTTATCCGGTGCTCGTCATGGTCAGTTGTAGAATGGCTCATAATTAATCTCCTATTTTTGGGAAGGCTTTTTCGGCTTGCGCTTCTTGGTGCTATGCGTTTCGATCCCGTGTGATCACTGGTTTGAGCACGCTTGGCCGCTAAGTCACTCTCTACTATGAGACATACCTCAGGGTTAGCAACTATCGCGAAGAGAAATAAACTTTCGTATCACCCAACGGCTGTGTTTGGAAGGTACGCGTGGACTCTGACCTATTAATATAATTTACGTCTGGATCTCGCTTGCAGAGTAATTCCGCTGTGTTACGGTGGTTGGCTTATTGGTTTATTCATCTTTGACACTAAATTAAGGTTGGTAACCGGCGCACCGGAAATCATGAAGGCACGTAACCTTGCTCCCGAGAATTTGGTTTAGTGGTCATGCATGTTTCTCTACGGAGTACCATCCCCCTAATACAAACCGTTTCACCAATCCGTTTGAGGGGTACGCCCTTGTCTATATGTACGTCATCTAACTGCGGTGTAGGTGTCAATTGGATGTATTAAGTATGCCCCGTAACACCTCCTTGCTGGTTATTCCAATTCCGAGAGGTATGTCCATGATAAATTATCACGTAATCCTAATGTTTTACTCGTATTTCCAAGTCTGCACCCCCAATTGCAGCTTGCTAAAGGTGATACCCCTGGTATGCCAAGATTCTTTTGACGCATACACAATGTCGCGGCCGCATGCCGCTATAAATAGAACAATAGGCAGGTATCTGTGAAAGTAATCACTCTTGAATAATGCATTCCCCGATAAAATCAAATATTGAGAGTAACACATCTGGATTGGCCTTGGCTTTATGGCTTTATGATCTCGAACAATCTGTAACTAATTGCTGCGATAATTCTCGTGCTCAAGCGTACAAAGTGGTTCCTGGGTATTTCATGCAAGCCTGCATTCCACCCTGAGTAAAAATAGATGCCTCCGGAGATGTAAATGCATTATTTGGTTCCGAAACACAAACTTTGATGCAAGCCGACAGACGTGATTCTATTAATAACTCTGCTAGTCACACCATAATGAGGCATTCCTACATTATCTGAAAGCGCTTCCCGGAAATTATTGCGCTAGCGATTGGGTATAAATATCGCCCGAATTTACACTCTATTCAACTCTCTTGATTACATATTTCTACATCTACTACAGACAATAACATTGAACCTCTTACAATGAGATCATTCACCACTATCGCTTTACTCTCCCTTGCCGCCTCCTTGGTGTCTGCCGCCTCTGAAAACTTCGGTATTCTCGACTTTAGATCGGCCTCTCCTATTCACTTCTCTACCTGGAGTGTCCAAGGTGATGATATTTACATCAATGCTGGAACTCAACTCGGCACATTGCAGATC